TTTTTAGAATATTATATCCTTCATTTCCCCCCAAATTTTAGCTCGATGGCAGTTCAGAATCCCCAAAACAATTCTGGAAACATTTGTCTAACTTCTGGCCCGCTAGTTCGCCGCTGAACGCAAGATCTCGTGATCACCTGACCCCCACTAATGATATAAGGATATCAAGTCTCGCGAGAGTTGGGCCGAGATTTTAATTTAAAATGGCGCCGCGGACGAAAATAAGCAAGGCAGGCCCGATGTTTGGTTACAAAAAAAGCTATTTGCCGCATTCTTTGCCGAGATAACGGTATCTAGAGACTTTTAATGGGTTTTCTTACAAACAGAGATGATTTTCACTGGCATTGTATTTTCATAATTGTATTTTTACCGGGAAAAATTGGTTGCTATACTAAGGGAGTCCCCGAAGATCATTTTCCCGACTGGGCGAGTCCGAGCGGTACCTTTACTTTCCCCCGGGCCAATTAATTACATTGTTCTCCATTGTCTGAGGTGTTCCTTGTGACAAGGGCAAAGACAATATTTGCTTTCAAATTCAAATCAAGTACTATTCATTCACTATTACTACAGGACAGATTGAAAAGGGAAAAACAACAAAACCCCCCGACGCTGGCTGCACCACAGCGTCGGGGGCAAAATCACAGCGTCGGGGTAAAAATTCACAGCGTCGGGGCCCCCGACGCTCAAATGCGCTGGCGAGAACCCTGCATGACTGCCATAACATCCATTACGTGCACAACTTGAGCAGAATTTCAGAATTTGTCTTGTAAAAAGTCAATAAGAACATGACATGCCTGCCAAACAGTCAACAGTTACGCCCTAAGCTATAGATTTTTGGGTGGGAAATGGTCTGGTCTGAGCAGACATATAAATTTGCAACCTCATTGGCCATGAGCTACGTGCTACAGGTCGTGCTGAGTTATAGGAACATATGACCAATCAGATCATTTAATTGAATGATCTAGACTACCGGTAGTAACTTTTTTAGGAAGAAGTATACAAACTTGTGTTTGAAAAATGCTCCCATACACACAAGTAACGTTATATGGTTCATTGCATAGTGCCACAAAGACACAGGAACACAAACATGCAGAAGTGACAGCACATGGGAAACCTAAAAATCCTGTTCATTGTACCCATGATCAAACCCTTCGCTTCTTTCAAGCTTGTACCACCTGCTGTTGTTACCATGGCAACAAGGCTTGACACACCCATGTGGAGAGCGGCCCCGCCCCCCAGAACACCCAGCTGGGCAAACTACTTAGTATTCCCTTCACATTGTCCCAGGAGTGCTGAATTCTGAGTCTCTGATTGGTGAACCACAGATCAGGTTACTATCTATCAAACCAGCGAGGTTTAATATTAAACCTTTTCGATCAAATTAGGTGAACAACATTTAACTCCATGACAAGCTTAAGTGGGGAGGAAACACTAAACTTTACATGTCAAGTGGGGAGGTAACATGGTACCAAGGTAAAACCTGGTGAGATAGGCAATAAGAATTTCTCATCCAAAAATTAGTCTTAAAACCCTCTCTACTAGTCAGTAACCTAAATGAAGATATTTGGAAAACAGTTAATGTTGGCATGTATCACCTGTACAAATCAGGTTATACAAATATCTGTAATCTCATGATATCATCAAGAATAAAGGGGGTAATAAAAAATTATTTTTAATTCAAAGTCAGTTTGACCAAGCATTTGATCCATTGCAAGTTCTCTATAAAATTACAATTATATAACTTAGTCCATAGCTGTTTGTGTTACTGAGCCACTACATAACCTATAGTGCCCTGCCAAAGGTTTATTCCATTCAGTTACTTAGTACTTTTAATATTAGTACTGTAGGATATTAAAAAAAATTGTTTCAACTCCCACTGTTACTGCTAATAAAACAGTATTGAAGCGCGATAACTTGTAATGACACCCCTTGACGTGGACAAGTCATACATCCCAGCATGGACATAAACATGCCCATCAATAGTTTCATCAACTTGGTAAATCATATAGGATAGTGGAACAAACCTTCAATCCAATATCCAATGGATTTATAAACCACATACCACAGGAGGCAGCCACCTTTGTCGTGTTTGCGTGACACGTGTATTTGTGGAACCTAGTGAACCACAAAAAGGGCAACATGGTGCAAGTCTGATAGGACGATTGTCTCGGTCCTACATTGTGTCAAACGTGTGTGTGTACTCTGCACGAAAGGTTGACATGAAAGACAAACAAAACTTTAATTGATTTTCTGAAATGCCCTACAGAAAAGGTATATACCAAGGCAAAATGAACAACAAATATATGTACTGGTACTACTTTACAGGTAATTGGCAAGGATTTGCTTTTAAATCTTCAAAGTTAGGTTCTTCTCACAATAATCAGAAGGCTAATTTTATTTCCATGTCAATAGCAAGCCAACCCAATGCCAAGTTTGTTGAGGCTTTTGTATCCAGCTTGTTAAGACATTGTATCCACTTTGAGTCCAACTTGTAAACATGAACTAAGTTACAGACTATGCTAAACATGGTGATTAGATATGATTAAATATAGATTTTTTAGCAATAAGGTCTTACAGCCTGACTGAACTCAGCTTCTACTGAACACCATGAGCTGAATACAGAAACCTGAGTGGGCCAACAGTACAAGTTACATGTACAACATTCTTCACCAACCCAAGGTTAGAAGGTTCATATCCTAGTACTTGTCCTGTCATTTTGAGATGTATAAAGTGTGAACAACTGTGGGCTGTGGAAGATTTGACCTGTGACATTAGCATGATCAGAACATGTCCATGAACTGTCAGTGGAACCAGTCAAGTTCAAGTACACAGCTGTCCTTATGTTCTTCTCCCATCCAGCTGCTTCACATCAGACCCCAAAGGTTATCTGTCAGTTACTGTGCTGATTTCATGAAAGGAAAGCCGACTCTGAATGGTTAACACACATTCAGTGACAAACGTGATCATGGTTTTACACTTATTCTACAAATACAGTGTGTATTTTGAAGTCAGTATCATTCTTTTCACTCATCATGGATTTGCTATACCAGATACCAGATTGCACAAGGTCTAAATATTCACCAAAAGTAGTCTTCATGAAATCACCCATACTGAACAACAAGCATGAGATCAAAAACTGAGAGCAAAAGTTCCACAGTCGGTATTTCTTTTGGCAATGTAGAGTACAGGTATTTAATTACACACACATGTATGATGCCAACACCAGCCAAGAGCCAACTGATGAAAAATCGATCCTTATTCCTTGGCACAAACATGTGACGTTACAGTGCTATGAGAACACGATGAGGGGACCTTCTAGTATGTTCTACAGACCCAGACCCAGCCACAGCCTAACCTGCCGAGTCAACCATCTTACACCAGTTCCTTCACCTGTCAAGGTGAGACATATTGGAACAATCTCAGGGATCAGTGACTCCTACCCAGCCTGCACTGATCAGGACCATGGTGGTACTGTATCTCATTTACTCCCTCTCCTGTTGAAGTTCAGGTCAGTGGTGGGGTTATCCATTGGTTACAAGTTAAACCTATCATTGTACACGTGGCTATGTAAACCTGTCACTGTTTAGGTCACACAGTAATTTTACAGATCACCTAAAATAACCAACTTTAAATATCTGCATGATACCTATGGCTCCCTCAGGTTGTATATCTAAGTCATATCTAATATCCATTGTAACAAAGTGAATTGTTCAACCCATTGTTGTCCTTCATTTTGTCAAAACCTACTAGTACCCACATACCAAATATCATCTGTTAAGATCCATCCACAGCTCTCAACACACAATTATAACCAGTACTTACAAAGCACAAACAGCACCGAGAACAGCTTTCTTGGCAAAGGTAGAAACACATGCGCAGGATGCTAATTGCAACCTCTCTTTTTCCTTATGAATCTCCTTAATTGGTTTTACTTTAACTACTCGCTTTTCTTCAGGGTCTGGAAAACTGTAATTCAATCCTGGAGCAGACCCAGTGGGGCCATGACCTCACCAGTAAAAATTGTCTGGCAGCCCTACTGGAATCATGGGGAACTATGAGCAACTGTATGGTCTTTGTAGTCACTATAGTTACTTACATGGTCACAAGATGGTCATATACTAGTATGTGGTAAATACAATACACAAATGAACATACATGTACAAATGATGACCATCTTGTAACATTACAAGTGTACCTAACATACAAATTATACTTTTCACTAGTTAACTCACGACCAGTTTACTACATTTTTAGCTACTGTTGTTTTGTGGTCTCATTAAACTAGCTAGCTGAATTGGTCTGTAAATAGATGATTATCTACAGGTGCATAAAATCAACATGAGCTGAACCACAAGACCATGGCACACTTTGTGCCACCCTTCTTTCAACTAACGTTATATTCAAACTGAATACGGTACATAAGCTACAGTTCAGGTGCTAGCAGTTGACTTTGTATATGTAACATACTGCTTGATCACTAACCCCTTCAATCGTACTGACTACAATGGTGCAACTGTAACGTTACACATGGCATGGGAAGGTACACGTAACGTTTTAATTTTACAGCGTGGGTTGTGGACACACCCAACTTCCGCCTGGCTACAATTTCAAATACTGCGGTTCTCGGACGGCAAACGGCTACTCAAAAGGATCAGCCCTCATTTCTGTATCGTAATCAATCGGCTACTCACCACGAGAAGGTACAGACAAGGAATCAGGGGTACGAACACCGAGGAAGGGATCTCTCCTAGCGTCCTCAGCCTAGCTCCGCACCACCCAGATTGTCTCAGGTGTACCTGTGGCGGTCAAAGGTCGAGCTGTCGAAAAATCACATGGAGCAGTGACGCCACCATGCGACATTTTAATAAAGTGCAGTATCACATGATGTAAACACTTCAGGATGAGGAGAGGGTCATGGCGGAGTGTGGCATCAGTATAAATAGGCTCAGGAAACATTCGTTAGACAGGCGTTACTGACGGCTTGAGCACTTTTCCTGAAGCAGAATCTTCTTCATGTTCGTAAACATGTTCTATGCCAAGGTAAGCGTTGATCTTGATGGTAACGTTATGACCCAGATGGAGGGGGAGGGGTGACACTAGTTTAGTGACAACACTATTTGTATATAGGAGACAATTCTGGATGTTCAGCAGTCAACATGCAGCAGACGGACTCGTTACCAAGACATAGTAACTTTACATGTAACAGGGGTTGACTGCAACATTAAGCGTTAGGTTAATAATTTTTGCAATTCCAATATTTACAAATTGGTTTGTGAGTCAAATACAGTCATTTCACAAATGAATGCTGTCGTGGTTAATAATTTTTGCAATTCCAATATTTACAAATTGGTTTGTGAGTCAAATACAGTCATGTCACAAATGAATGCTGTCGTGGCATAACACATTTCTTATTTCTTTCCACTACAGGAATTCACAGCACCTCAGATGGGCATTTTCAAACACGAAAACTATCAAACTCTTAAGACAGAACACTTTGTGGAATCCAAGTTGTCTCATGGCTCGGGTATACATCCATGAGCTACAATAGAGGCCTTCTGATTTCTGTGTGTCATTACCGAACTGTGTTTAGAGCTCTTCAAGTTGATATCTTCAGGATGTCTGACTCTGGCAATGGAGCAAAGCCAGAACCTACATATACCTCAACCTCAACTCAAGAAAAGGTTCAAAGTACTAACAGCAAGGCCAGTTCAAAGTCCAATGTACTTCAGACACCCAAATCATCTGGAATTTCTCAAGTTTCTTTTGTGACAAAACATTCGAGAAGCTGTACAAGCAGACATGAGCAACAGACTTCAAGTTCAGTTGCCTCTGCATTTGTCAAGCCTCCAACAGCAAAACTTTCCACCCATCTGCCTTCCTCCTTTGTGGCAAGAAAGTTACACAAGTCACCAGACAAAATGTCAGGCAAACTTTCCAGCAAGGACAAACTTAGTACTTCTGCAGATCAAGCAGAAGCTAAGAGTGTAGAATTGCAGCGTGATTCAGAACTAGTTCCATCTGCAACATCATCAGATATAAAACACACAACTCCCAATCCTGACACCAAGGCACCACCTGGGGCAATAAAGGTACGCAAGGTAGCAAAAATGTCAGCATTTCCTGAAGTTGAAAAAACTGACAATGCTGTGTCACATGGCAAAACAGCAGAGTTGCATCCCCAACTTTTGGCAACAGAAACATCAGCATCAGCAAGCAAGGTAAAAGACTCACATGTGCCATTGAGTGTTGAAACTGTTCACTGCTCTCAGGTAAATAAGGTAACCACAACTGACAACAGTGCAAACTCCAAACCTCAGACTGCTGCACAAGGAAGGAGGAAAAGGAAAACTGTGAGAGAAGATCCTACAGAAAGGAAGACTAGGAAATCTGGGAAAGATATGACGCGTTCTAGAGGTACGGCTGCAAAGGATGTCCAACCATCAGTGAAAGGAAGAAAACCTGCAAGAAGTCACACTGCCACTAAAGCTGCACACGTGAAGGGGGGAGTTAGGAGAGACAAAGAGAGCCAGTCATCTCTTAATTCTGTTTCATACACCCTAAAGCAGGAACCAGAATCCTTGGAACAGAGAGCTACGCAGAGAACTGAGTCAGATACGTCAGGCACTGAAGCACCTTGTGGTCATGGTGTAGCGATGAAGGAACAAAAGCCTGCATTAACAGACAAACAAGAAATGACCTCCGATCCTCCTGCAGAGTCAAACACTCAGATCACTGATCCTACAGATATGGAGTATGTGGAAGGAGCTGAATCAGGTGAAGAGGAGGAGGATGGCACTTATAACTTGACAGACCTCTTTGATGGTAGGTATTGCTTCAGCTGTAGGGCACTCTGTTTCACTGAATCAACATGGAACTTTAGAAACTTTGATGAAATACAGTACAGCATCATGTTTGTCAACAGAAAGTTTATCAGAATTGATATGAGATCATCGAAAAGCGGTAGGTTTATATGTGTACATTTTACTGTTACATGTGTACATTTTACTGTTACAAGTTCTCTAAAGAGTTGACTCTACACTCTATTTGTGCCGTAATTATGATTCTGAGAAACATCCTTTTGCTTGATATGTCTTGCAGAAGAAAAGCAGAGAGTTGCTTGGGAAGAGGAAACCCAACAGGTCAGCAAACACAAGAAGAAGAAGAAGAAAGCCAAGTGGTGGGAGAGGAAGAGGAAGCGGGGGAGGACAGGTGAAGCTGAGGAGGAAGTGGAGGAGGGAGAAGAAGAGGGAAAGGTCAAGAAGAAGAAGAGGGAAGCTAGGCCCAGACCTAACTACTTTGTGGCCATCAGAGTGTCTACTGAAGAGGTGAGAGGAGGGCATGTCAGATTTGCTATCCTTCCTGCAAATATTGGCATTCTCTGATCATGTTTACATGTCACACCATATTATTCTCACAGACGTTTTGTCTCATATCCTGTGGTGCTTTTTCCACCTTTGGCAGGAAATTTTGGCTACTCTAATCTTCATCTATCTAAACCTATAGGAAATTTCATGAAAAAGTGTACAGAAGCTCCCTTCTGTGTTCCCTTTTCTCCAGTCTTAATGGCCATTATCCTGAGTCAGATATGACCTATCAGTGATCTCAGTAGTCATCATGTTAACTGTCTCTAGATCCACAGAGGTCTGAAGGCAGTACAGGATGCCGTGTTGGAGCAGGAGCCAAACTTACAACCTGCCATGATCCCTCTCATCAACATGCACATCACTCTCCTGGTCACACACCTGAGGGAGGAGCAGGTGGACAGGTAAGCATGTTGTCTCACCTGTATACATGTATATACATCAGATGCTTGGGCAGGTGGACAGGTAAAGGTATTTACTCACCTGTACACATCACATACTTAGGCAGGTGGACAGGTAAAGGTATTTTCTCACCTGTACAAATCACATACTTAGGCTAGTAGACAGGTAAAGGTGTCGTCTGACTTTCATATCACACATTCTACACTACTCGTCACAATTTAGAGTAGAAAAATGAATCTACCAAACAACGTTTCTTTGTACTATGTTTCAAGCCTAAATTAATCATCACCTTTATGCATGATTTCCAAAAATGGTATATCTCAAGAAATCTACCATCTGCACAATTTTCATGCACGTCTCCTGCATGTCTATGATGATATTGTATTATTGGGTGGGTTAAAGGTTGACAAACGTTACACGTGATTAGAGATGACTGTGTGACATTTAACCTTTTCTATGCCTGGAGGTGCTCAGTAGGGCGGGAATATCAGTAAAATCATATCCCTCAAGCTATAAGCACTGCATAATTTAGTACATTATAATAGAAAGCACACAGTGTTATATGAACAATTCATGTGATTGTGATTAAGGTCAAAGTATGTATCTGACAAGACCTGTGGTGGTAAAAATTGCAATGGGCATTTTGCTCCAAGTAGACTGTTGATTGAAATACCGTTGCACCCGCATTATAAACTAAACAAAAACCTCGCTCAACTGGTCCCCCAGCTGCTTCTCATTAAGCACTCGAGGACAATGAACACACCAACTCCAACCTGAAGCCATCCGGATCCATACCCCATTTCATGACAGCTGAAGGTGGTACATGCATTCATTCATGCAATAACAGTTTTTTCTTCTCTAATGCTACTTGTTAATTGCAGACTACCTGTAGGGTATAGGTAAACTTATGATTAAGCAAATAGAAGCCAGCAAAATGTGTGATCATTCAAGTGAGATGAAGTAAATAATGTCTGTGGTGTTAAAGTTTAGACTGAAGTATTCGTCTGTCTCATGATCAGAGCTAAGGAGGCCCTGAGGTTGGCTAAAGCCCGGTTGAACCCCAAGTTTCTCCGCCCAGACAACAGGCTGGTCCTGACCTTCCAGGGTCTGGGAACCTTCCGTAACGACGTGGTGTTCGCCAAGATCCAGCAGAATGGCCACTTGACCTCTCTACGAGAGCTGGCAGGTACTCGGGACTGTAGTATCCATTTCTGTGGTTCAGTGCAAGCACATTTTGGGTTTTAGAGTGGAGGGGTGAAGGGTATTTCAGACAGATAACACATTCCAGCAAGGCTCAATAATGGCACCTCTTGTGTCAGAGCCATTGCACATTTACCTAACACTTTTTATGACATTACATGATGAGATTTTGAGTGTAAAAGCTTCAACACCTGGAGCTTGGGTGGAATATTACAGGATGGTCAAATTTGCTTGAATTTCTTTCAAAAAATATATAGGAAAGGCTGTTCGTGTTTCTCCCTTTAGCGCATGGATATAATCATTGGTCTCCTAACAACCTGCTTCTGACTTCCTATATAGCAATAAATTTGAAGGTTCAAGAAGCAATACAAAATTTACAATGTCACATTCCAAAATTCAGAAATCTTGCAAAACCATGGTATTCCCAAAGACTTTCCACCAGTTTGTCAACATTAAACAAAGGCACAAAGAAACAAACAAAAATGATGTGCTGATGTCTCATTGGCTGAGCAAAGGTCACAAAGGTGACCTGTAGCAGAGCTAAAGGTTAAGATAAGGAGTTGTTGTTTATCTGCTGGTGAAGGCTTTGTGATCATCAAGCAGCTACGAAGGTATGCTTTCAAAGAGTCTTCTACCTTTCTCAAAAAAGTTGACAATGCAGCTTTCATGCTAATGATTAATACTTTACTTAGTAAGAAGATGCTGAGTTAGATTACTCCTGTCTCCTAATGTACACATTCTATGGCATGAAGTGTTGACAAAGTGTTTTCTGTTTTTATACACAGTACTCCTTAGGCAGATACCTCCATGTTGTTTTGATAGTTAGGCACTACAGTCTGGACCATGTCAGAGCAGATAACACAACCGTCACCATTAAAGAATGTAGCGACCACCAGTTATGTTATCTTGCCATGTCTCAGATTTAGTGGCCGGTTGGTCTTGTCCATATTTACTGTCCCAGCAGTGAAGACATGTTTGTATAAGCCTCAGCCTTGTGCTGCACTTTAGTCAAACACCAAGCCTTGGGGTGCAGTGCATCAGTCAGCTTGAGGTCTTGAGTTTGTCTGAGAATTTCTCATTTTAACTTTGTTTCTTAATTTGTAGAAACTGTTCAGACTTGCTTTGTGGAGAAGGAGGTATGCTCCAAGAATGACAAGGGTTTTGAGCCACACCTCACCCTCATGAAGATGTCCCGCAACTTTGGGAAACTGAGAAGTAAAGGCATCAAGAAGATCGACCCCAAGCTATACGAGGTGAGGCAGTCATGATGTTGTGATTCATATGTGTTAGAGATGCTGTAACATTTGTTTTATTCATGCCTAGCTCCAAATTCAGTTTCCTTTGGTTTAGCCATCTAACATTTCTGATCAATTCCAATGATTTTTGTTGGAATTACAATAAGACAGTCTAAGATCTTCATAATTATTGTCAAGCAAGGTTGTAACATTTTGAAGGCAAGAAATCCTTCAATACTGAAAACAGTTTCACAAGATATGGTGGTTCAGTCCTTCTCTACAGAGTAGAGAAAAACCAGGTCATGTTATTCCAGTAACTCATTCATGCTTATCAGTATTCAGGGTCCCCCTTACCCCTCCACACCCTACCCTGCCCTATCAGCCGAACCTTTATAATAGCTGTGCCCTGTGTTTACTCAGGTCTGTGGATAGTTAACTACTCTAAAAGTAACTGTTGCCATTGCCCAGCCTTATGTGTGGCCCTGCTTTATATCAACTCAGTTAATAGGGAACCTTTGAGGGATTGAGGTAGTGGATTTAAATGATACCCTGAGGGTGAATGCACCTGTCTGTATGGATCCAAAAGGGGGTTGGGGACAGCACAGGGTTCTAGTAGTAGTCCACTGTGTTCTGCTGCTGCAGTAGCTTGGCATTCTGCAGCAACAATCAGTCTCCAGATTCCATTATAATGAACCTGTTGACACTTGCTATTTGTAAGATTTCTTGATAGCTGGTATTTCCATGTGGTGGCAAATATTTTCTCTGTAATGATCAACTTTTGAGAAGTTGTCACAATCTAACAAAGTTTCCTGATGTATCTTGGTATTCAGTGATTGTTCTTGCCTTGTTTCCCAATGGTCATTTTAAAGAGTGGACTTTATCACATTTTGTCCCACATTCTTTTAATGCTGGGTCGTCTTGAAATTTACACACCTGTACCTGTTTACCATGTAGAGAAGGATTTATTGTATTAATTGTAGTGTCAGGCTTGTAGTGTTTGTGATCCCCCAAACTCTGACCTCATCCAGTGGCCTGTGACACTATGAAAGTTAAATGTACAATGGTCTGTGTCCTTCAGGAGTTCCAGGAGGAGAGATTTGGTGACCAGGTGGTGGAAGGCTTACAGCTCTGCTCCATGCTGAAGAAGAAAGAAGCTGACGGCTACTACCACACGGAGGAACAAGTCATGTTCGGTCAGTCACTAATACTTGCTGCTTTAATTTTCATTCTTATTGGAGGAAAAGTTGGGGACCATTAAAAATCATTCACCTATGGTACAGAAATTACCCTACAATACACTTAGCTGATATGACCTCTGTTAACATAATTGTACAAAATTAGTCCTTGCTTGAAGAGCCATTGTCCTCTGGTGTCTTTGATAAGAAAAGGTTTTGGTAATAATCATGCCTTTATCTTCTTCAGTCCTGGTAAAGTTTATCAACTGATATTAGTGCAGTGGTCACCATCACTATGGTTAGAGCAAAACCATCTAGATCTTCTCATCTGTCATCTGACTTCTGAGAAAAGTCACAGTTGTTGCTTTTAGTCCTCCTATTATAAGTAGGAACTTTACTTATTGATTTTATAGCATAAACATTGATTAGCTTTAGACAAAGTCAACCTTCCTTTGTAACTGTACAAGAGTTTGTTCCCAAGTCTGGATGAATTTTGTATAAATGTGCTGCACACATTAGAGTTTTAACCTCAGTTTCTGTTCTCTCTTTTGACCGCTTTCTAGATATCCTCTGTCTTTTATCATTTGATAACTGAATATTTTTTTTACATTCTGTGTTTATCTGTGTCCACCCCCTTTGCTTACCCTATTTGTTTGTCACTATTTTTTTTATCTATGCATCATTGTTTGACTTTTTTTTTATTTTGCTACATTTAGTGTGTCTGCTGTTCCTTGATGTGACGGTGTGGTGTCTGTTTCCTCTCTGTAGGCCTTGGCTTAGAGCACATTCTGGCAAACAGCATTGCCAGCAGAGCAGTCAGGGAAGCCCTTCTCCAGCTTGGGTGCAAACTCTTGGAACAGCAGGCAAAGTCCAACCCAGAGGCAGCTCTGCACACACTGAGTGACCACATTGCTAGATCTGTCATTCAAGATGCCCTGACTACACTAGATACTGGTGAAAATGTCATTGATACTAAGGACAAAGTGTTCAGGACAGACACAATGAAAGCTAAGGTTTCAGAATTAAGTGAGTCGCTAGGGACAGCTTTGGTTGTAGAAGCCATACAGGAGGCAAGTAGCAAGAGTGTTGAAAACCACACAAGTAACAAAGAGGACGAAAAAAATGTTGAGAATATTGCAGACCCCAGTGAAGGAAACAATGGGCTTTCTTCTGTGATTGAAAGTCAAAATGAACTTTCTCCTTTGTCTGAAGAAAATGTCAAAGATAACATAATGAATATGTCTCAGGCACAGACAGGTGAAAGTCTATCACCTGCTGGCCCTGCTGTGAAAAAAGGTAGAGATGACAGTGGAAGCAGCTGTAAGTTGTCTGGAGATCAGCTTAAAGACCTCAGTGAAAAGTTGGTGAAACAAATAATTGAGGCTGCCATGGCCAAAGTACAGGAGTCTGAGAGTGGTTCTAAAATAGGTGAAAAGTGATGTTGTTTAATCTTGTTTGTGGAAGAGCCATAGTATTGATGGTACAGTCCTTTAGTGTCTGCAGATGGAGCAGTAAGTTCAATTTCAGGATGAACAGAAGATTTTGAACCTTGTGACTTTAAAAGTGTATAAATCACATAGTATACATAGAATGCTACTGATTTAACAGTGAAGTCAGTTGAAGTGTAGTGAAGTCTACCTTGATTATTTTTTTGCTTTACCGAAGTGCCTTTACTTCATCATAGCAGTTTTAGGAATTCTTATGGATTGTTTTAGACTTAATATGATAAATAAATAAGCACTTGATGGTTTGAAGATTTATTCAAATCATTGTAACACTAAGTTTTCTATCTTAAATAAAACAAATTGTCAGAGCTATGCCTTTTTAGTTTGAGTATTTTTTATAGGATCATTACCTGGAAGATATGTTGACGTCGTGAAGATGAAGTTAGCAGTGATGAAAAAGAAGTCGCAGAAATGAAAAAAAAAAACTTTTCCATGAGCTCAAGGACTAAATCTGTTGTGTTATGTACATGAATTTGCAAGGGCTTGCATTATTGGCTTTAATATTGTTCTGCAGGCCCATCATCTGCTGAATTAGTGCAGAGGAAGCTGAGAGCACAGGGCAGGTACCTGACTGCTGATAACAGGGACAGGATCGCTGCTGTGGTCAGGAGACTCATCTCACAGGGACACAAGAGCAACTGAAACACCCTCAACTGTGCCCTAGCTTTGGGCTTAAATGGCAATATGGGCCAAAGTACATTTTATGACTGATAATTCTACTGAAACTTTTGAATGTTGGTTTTTAAAATATATAGTTTATATAATAGCAGTTTAAAATTTATGAATTCCAGAAATTGTGAACGTGTTGAATAATCATCTCAGAGACTGCAACAGTGGCTATTTTTCTAAAATGTTTTAAATTAATTCATGTTTGCCTAAAAATACAAGTGCTGCTCTCAGCAGAAGAGCATGTTTGTGTGTGTTTCCTCCACGACCATCTGGAGCCAGGAAATGATCACTTCGATGCTGAAGTTGCTTCAGTCCTGCTGAGAGGTTTGTAAATTTGTGCAGTTTAGATGACGTTATTGCTACTGAGATCAGCAGAGGTTATTGCATATATTAATCAATGACTTGCTTGTTCCCTTTTAAGTTTAAACTTTGAAATTCAGCATACTGATATTCACATACTAGTAGACAAGCCTGTCGCTAGTGATAAATGCCATCCACATACAAGTGAGCAGACCTGTCCTTGGTGCTGAACACCACCCAGACATAAACACACCTGTCCCTGGTGCTGAACATGCACATGCAGTCAAAAAGCCATGCCAATTTTACCAAAAAATGAAATCAATAGAATGTAGAAAGAACAAAAGAATCACATTTCATAAAAAAGTTATATCAAACTACTTGATATGCAATGTTAGTGGCAAAGCATGTTGATTGAAAAGTGGCAATAAGGAAACAACTTAAGGATCCTGACCTTTTTGCAAACAAAAGTATATTAAGTATTTAAAAAGTATATTAAGGCCCAGGGAAGTACTCAATATCTGGAGGACTTCCCTCTTATCTTGGCAGTATGAGTTTCCTCTAGGATACATTTAAAAGGCACTGTTGTGCCAAACAGCATTCATCAGTTCCAGACCTACAGACAAACAACTACTTGCAGGAAGCACTGTGCAGAAGAAGTCTCCAACAGCATGGAAAAGGTAAGAAATTATATATTTTCCTTCCATTCCCTAAATGTAGCGGCCTAAACTTCAGCAGGTTGCAGAAATTATTTTTCTGATCAGATATTTACAAGGGGCTGTTTTGACATTTCAGAGCTGTTCTTTGGTGTTGCTGGCAGCCTTGTTACTCAACTCAGCTGCAGGGAATACCCTTAGTAAGTTACTTTATTGTCTGTGATCTGTTATTATAATTTTATAGAAAAAAAGTGTTAAGTACCATAATGTCATACCTTAACTAGGATCTACCTTTACATACCAAGACCTTTGTATTCACTCTTCAGTGGTCTCTTAGATAACTTTTCATATCTACCCATTGGCACATGTTAAGAGCCCTGTCAATAGAGATCACCTGTGACAAGTTCTTTTAAGTCCCTTGGGTGCTTAGTAGATCAGTTTGACTGGTTTGACTGTATCAGCATTGGGGTGGTGTAAGCTGTAGGGGTTTCAGTATTATCTTCGAGCTAACTGAGGCTGATGTATGTGTAATGCCTGTCACTGTTCTCAGACCAAAGCTGGAAGTGGAAGTCTGGGCACACTACCACTGGTTTCTACCCGTTTGGTCCGTCTGCTGGTGACAGAGCCAACCCAAAAGTGGACGACGGTGGTTCCAGTCAGCTGTCGGTGTCTCTCTCTTCTGGCTTCCGCTACTTTGGCTCTGTCTACCATGACTTCTGGGTAAATTTTCCATTTTTGTCAACTTACTAGGTAGTTCAATTAAAGGGTCATAATCTTAAAGGTATTGACTAGGTAGTTTCTGATAAGTCTCAGATTATCGTCATCAAGTTCCCATTCATTTCAATATAGATTATACCCCCTCTGACAATCTGATGTTCACAAATTCAACCATTTCAGTGATGTATATATTTATGTTTCACAGGTGAACAACAATGGCTTGGTGTCCTTCCAAGGCCAAGTGTCCCAGTTCACCCCTTCTCCCTTCCCAATTCAATCCTTCCCCATCGTGGCTGTGTTCTGGGGTGACGTTGACAACAGGTACTCAATCCTTTCTTTTTTTTCCAATAACTTTAATGGTTCATCACATTGTATAGCATGCTGATTGTAAAGGTTATGCTAGAATTTTCTGAAGTCATACACAGCAGGTTTCCCTGTCACCATGAAAATACTGAGTGCCTGTGTGCTAATATATATATAAAATGCTCCTGTTTTTCTGTTTTGTTCTTTGGCCTCTAACAGTTACAGTTTGTATTTCAGTAGCTTCTACTGCATTGCATTTCCTGAAAAACCTTAGTGGTCTTTGATTTGATTGTGATTTCCTACAGCAAGATGATGATTTATATTTCATGTGTGCGCATTTTAAGAGCATTAAATAACTTCTTGTCAGGCTTGCCGGAGAGGTCTACTGGAGACAGACCACCTCAGATTCCTCACTGATCACCCGAGTGTCGCAGGACATCCTGGCAAACTACCCAGACATTCCAAGTTTCCGAGCCCGCTGGGTTCTGGTCACAACTTACTATGATGTGACCTACTACGGGGGCAGTTCAAGCACCAATGTAATTGATGATATTGTCTTACATCTGTGTATTCAAACTTAAGTATAATGTTAGTAAGTGGAAGTTTCTTGTTACATGTATATTGATTTTGAGCTGCAACTGAAATGACACCACTGTGAGCAGCACTCATGTTTCTTATGTAGGAAAGAAGACTGGAATTTTTTACTTCAATGTTACCAACTGCACTACTAACAATATATGTATATAATACATTCAAACTTCTCTTTTCCCACAGCGCCAGTCATTCCAGGCAGTACTGGCAACAGATGGAACCTACTCCTTTGCCATCTTCAAGTACGGAGACATCGTCTGGACCACAGGAACTGCCAGTGAAGGAGACAGGGAGACCGGGCTTGGAGGAATCCCAGCACAGGTGTGCTATCACTGTCCCATATGCTTCGGATCCAAACATCCATCAATAAATTGAACGAAATATGTCTGTCAAGTACATGTAGTTATGTGTCCTTCCTTCAGCCAGGACACAAGTAATAAATAAGTTAGAAATTTCAAGTTGGGTTCTGCACATCTTGGTTTGAGGTCCCCTATGTTCTTTGATTTCCAATGATTTAACTCACCAAGTTTTCATACACATTTAAAGCCAAATGAGGTATAGTAGAGCCAATTTAGTAGCACAACTGTAGTTAGACATATCTGTCGGGACAGTAGCATTTAGTCTTCATACTTTGATCCCACTCTGATTTCATGTTGAACTTATGTCAGGCTGGTTTCAATTCCGGAGATGGGAGTAACTACTACACCGTCCCTGGCTCACGATCTGCTGAGATTGTCCAGATAGAGACCAGGACCAACGTTGGGCAGCCGGGCACCTTCATGTTCAGGATTGACCCCTTTACCATCATCCCCCTTGGTATGTCAGCCAAAGTTTTTCTTTACAAAACCATACTTTGTAGCAATTTTTGTACCTTATTGTTGATTCAACCATCACTTCTTGTTATGACAATAATGTTTATTTCATTTACAAAATTTCCTCGGCACAGTTATCAGGAAGACACAGGTTGAGGATGGAGAAAGTCAGGCATGCCAAATAATATAGTTCATTGTGCAGGGGATGGAAAAGGGTTCAGAAAATTTGTCAGTTGTCTTGAAGCAGAAAGATTCACACACAAATTAAAACAGGCTCATTAAAAAACTGAATTTATAGTGCATGCTGCTTTCTGCAAGATGCTTTATGACGGGAGCAGAAATACACCTCCATGATATATGATCATGATAAAGATGCTGATCTGTTGTCCAGGTACCGTGAGGCTGGTAGGAGGAAATTCTGAGTTTGAGGGTCGAGTTGAGATCAACCGAGGAGGAACCTGGGGGACAATCTGTGACGGCAACTGGGGAATACTGGAGGCCCAGGTTGCTTATTTGTTGTTTGTTGCCTAGTACATGTACCTACATGCAGATATGCATTGGAACTAAACTTAACAATGGCATAACACAAAACCTTCCTACTGTCATGCTTTATACATGCTACAACATTACATTACTTAAGCAGCATTTGTATAGGAATGAAGGACATAAATATATGGTTTTAATATTGGTCAATCAAAACCAGAATGCATATCATTCTTTAACTGCTGCTTCATCAGCTTTTGCTGGACCTGCTTTATGTCAATCATGGCTTACAAAAGTGTTGGTGAAAAATCCAACTCTCTTGTACCCGTACATTCTACTGTAGGTGGTGTGCCGTGAGGTTGGCCACGGTGGTGCTGTGGCAGCCTACGGCTCGGCACATTTCGGCCAGGGAAGTGGAACCATTTGGCTGAACAACATGAACTGTGCAGGAAATGAGGACTCTCTCTCTACATGTCCACTGCTGTCTGACGTGACCAACACCTGCACACATGCCAACGATGCTGGGGTACAATGCAGAGGTCAGTAGACACTGTTTAGCTATATACCTTTTATCATGCAGAATGATTCCAAGTTTCACCTTGTAGAATTGGTGAGATACATGTATAGATGTAGCAGAAATTTGAAATGGATCTGTAGATATAAAAACCAGTTTTTCAGCCAAGAACTTCTTGTATGATAACTACTAACTCTATATGAGTCATATGGTATCAGATATGTAATGCTAATACTGATGCACTCCTATGTGTAGAGTATGAAGAGCATTCAAAGATGGAGAGTTAATTACAAATGAATGCCAAAATTATAGGAGATGTCACATTTCCATGTCGTGTGCAGATCTTGATGACTGCAGGCCGAATCCTTGCCAGAATGGAGGGACGTGTCTGGACCGAGTGGACGACTTTGTCTGCCTTTGTCAACATCCGTATGATGGGAAGATGTGTCAGATCAATAGTGAGCTCTCCCACCTTATGTATATATATACATGTATATAAAGAAAGAAGTAACTGTTCAATGTGATAATTTGATCAATCTGAGCAGTACTTTTAGAACTGTTGAATAAGTATGGAACTAACAGATTTTCTTGTGGTCGTGTAATTTGTTTCCTCACACCACTAAAAATGGAATTTATTTACTATATTTAATGGCTCTAGACATCTTTGGGATAGGGTATTCTCTGGCCTCAATTACACATTGTTTCCCAACCAGCGGTTGACCCATGTCACAGTGGCCCATGTCAGAATGGAGGGGTGTGCTCCAGAAGTGATGGCAGTTTCACCTGCTCATGTCAGCCTGGATGGGAGGGGACCACCTGCCAGATAGGTAGGAATCTTGATAATTGCCATAAAATTCCAACTGTATATGAGTGATCAGTGCTTTTGTTTACATCATATGCATCCAAATTATTTGAAGACATATGCAAACTATCAGTGGGGAATTCTAAATCAACCAACCGTCACCCGCTTTTTGCCTACCATGGCAATCTTTGATGTAGACTGTCATGGTGATCGCTCATATTGGTTTTTAACAAATTAGTAAAGAGCTAAACTGTGCACCAGCACAACAAGGAAGTCTTACCAAAATTCTAGTCATTTTTACTACAGCCTTCATTAGTAAGATCCCTATACTGACATGAATGCTGTAGATCATTGTCTCCATTGTTTGAATGGAGAATGTTCAAAATAGTAAAGGACCTGTTTTTCAGCACCACGGACAGATAACATCTCTGCTGTAGATCTAATATTGATACTAGTATTTATATCAAACCCTAACCCTAACCCCTGCTGTTCCAGACATTGACGAGTGTGCCAGTGCAGAAATGGAGGGACCTGCACTGATGGCATTAACCTGTACACCTGTACCTGCCCCACTGGCTGGAAGGTTTGAGTTTGAAGTTTATTTCATACTACAGCCTTATAGCAGCCTAAAGGCTGAATTGACAGGTCTGTTTACATACAGTGTATATACAATAAATAATTACATTAAAGATGTCTAAGTGTGCTTAATAAGACGCATTAAAATTTAATAAAAGCCTATAGATATTTAAAAAGTTTGTAAGCAATATATACATATGAGGAAATTAACTATTTTGTAGAATGCTAAGCGAGTAATGAAAAAGTCGTGAGTTACAACAAAAGGTTCACGGGTAGGCATAAAATAGTCGGTTAACAGGGATCATTGTAAGAATAAAATGACGATGTAATAGTGAGACTAACAATACAAGGCTCTAACTTTATAACTTGTGTCCATTCAAGATTCGTTGTTTAAAAGTTCGATCAAGTAGGGCAATGGTGAGTTTTTGTAGCGCTCCGTGCGACAGTATGGTGTGTCAATCTTGTGAGAGTTGCGAGTTTGCCGTCCGGACACATCACGCCTGGTCGGGGGTAACCAGTTCCTGAACTCTGAGTTCAACAGGGATGTGGCGAATGACCGACAGAGGCTAACCCGTCGATCTGACAGTGTGGTGAGATTCAGACTCTCCAATGCTGACGCGTAGTTGTCGTACTGATGTCCGAGAATAATCCTACACGCCCTTTTCTGGATGCGTTCTAGACTTGTGGTTTGTTTGACAGTCAGCGATGAATGCCACACGGGTGTCGCGTACTCCAAGGACGGACGAACATATGCGGTGAAGACAGTCGTCAGGTCGGTAACTGACATGCCGAACCGTTTAAGTCTGCGCAGTGGATACAGTTTTCTATTGGCACCTGTGATCATGTTGCTGACGTGGGTGTTCCATCTTAAGTCGTTTTGAATGGTCACGCCGACGACTTTGATGCTTACTACCGATTCCAGCTCTTGGCCTTCGAGGGTGAGTGGTAGTGGTATTGGAGGTAATTTTGCATAGCATACATGGAGTACCTTGCATTTCCGCGGGTTTAATTTCATTTTGTGTACACCCACCCAGTGGTTGAGATCATCTAGGGGTGGTTGTAAGGTGCAAGGTTGACGCGTAGACCATTTCTGTGCGAGGTTTAAATCGTCGACGTACTTCCAGCGGTCATGTACATCCCGAGATGCCCCATCGATCACGGCCATGAAGATGATTGGCCCGAGGATTGTTCCCTGGGCCACGCCGCATGTAAGATGGGTCCAATCAGAACTTTTCCCCATGTAGTTTACCCTTTGCCGTCGGTTTGCCATAAAACTGCAAACCCATGGTATTAGGGCAGGACGTACTCCCAGGTTCAGTAGGCATTTGATGGCTGTAGCATGGTCAACCCTATCGAACGCTTTAGACAGATCTGTTGTGACAAGGGTGCAGGTGGAAGATGGTGTTGACGTTGACTTGTACATAAAGTCTAGGAGACTTACTAGTGCGTGGGTTGTCGACCTCTTCCGCCTGCAGCCAAACTGACGAGGATCGAGGTGAGGAGATATGTCTTCTAATATCCAGTTCGCGACAAAACGTTCACAAACTTTGGCAAGAAGTGAAGTCAGGGATATGGGCCGCAACTCATCAATATGTGGCGGTGAACACTTAGGTAGTGGGGTGACATTCGCCTCTTTCCACTGATGGGGGACGATCCCCTGCTTGATCGATGTATTGATGAGGTCGCAGAGAGGGCCGCTAATTTCACATGCGAACTCCTTCAGTATGACTCCTGGCAGACCGTCGGGTCCAGGGCTCGTTAGTGGGGGTTGGTAGAGCGTAGGTGGGCATAAACTTCCCAGACTTCAATGGTGGGAAGTGAGAAGTCAGGTAAGAATGCAGGAAGTGATGAAGGATCCAGAGGTGGTAAGGACTGTGACACTTCAGCGAATTTGCGGTTTATTTCGTTGGCTATCGCTGTGAAGTCATTTTGGTCGATGTTAGGTGTATTGATAAGTGTGGTCTTCCTACTCGTATTGCACATGTCCTTGATGTTCTTGTGCCAAGTTCTGGGGTTTTCCTTCTTGCGTCCTTCTACTCTGACTTTGTAAAAGTTGGACTTAGCTTTGCGGATCTCTTTCTGCACCTTGGTATTGTAGTACTTGTATTTAGCTTTGAGTTCTGATGAGAAAGCTTCCTGTCTCTTCCGGATGAGAAACTTGACAAGTGGGGTTACCCAGGGCTTGTCATTAGGATGAAGTTTCACTGTTTTTACTGGGAAAAACCTGTCAATACCATGGGTGAGTGTTCCGTAAAATGCCTTAGCCTTGTCGGTCGCAGTTGTCGCGTTAAATACTTCTTCCCATGTGTAAGTGGTAATCCATCTCCCAAAGTCGCTTAATCCAGGTTCGCGTATTGGTCTTGTAGTCTTCTTTGCACACGTGTTTTGTTTAAATCTCACTTGGGGTTTCCACAGCACACAGTTGTGATCACAGAGCGATAACGGTGGTAAGATTTTCAGGCTTCTTGTAGCACGCTCTCATGTTTGTGATTATGAGATCGAGAATTGCATTTCCCCTGGTATTGTTGTTTACAACTTGAGAGAAATCCCGGTCTAGAAGGATGTCCTGGATCTTGGCGTGGTTGAAGTCTCCTACAAAGGTAAGTCCGATGTTAGGATACTTTGTGCGGAGCTGATCCGACGCAGTGATGAGGTGTTCGACGAGTTGATCTTCATGGGGCGACTGTGGCGGTGAGTAAACAGTACATATCGCAATAGACGAGAACTGACGGGATAGTTTGTGTGGCCGCACGTTGACCCATAGGCACTCGAGAGGCTCGGGGACAGAGATTTCAGAAATGATCCTGGATGGTATGTTTTCACGTACATACAGAGCAACTCCCCCTCCTCGACGACTTGTACGGGATTTGGTGTAGACAGTGTAGCCGTCAATCGTTTGTTCTGGAGTAGTAGGAGTAAACCAGGTTTCTGACACAGCAGCAATATCAACATCGTTATTCGAAAGCACTCCTTGAAATTCGTCCAACTTGTTCAGTAGAGATCTTGCGTTGGTGAGCAGGAATGTTGGAACAGGTGTGATGCTGTTGGGAGAGATGTTGTTTACAGGCTTGATCACTGTAAGGTTTGCGCGGGAAATTCCTGTAGGCAACAACCCATCCCTGCCGGAGTTAATTAGTTCACTTCCCCTCCCTATTACTGTACCAATATTGCGAATAAAGTGCCTACCCGCTTTCTTTCCTCTAGGACGGCTTGCTCCCCTGAGTATTCCGAAGTCTCGTAACACGGTTTTCACCTGTGGGTTTGTTCTTGAGCTACTGTTCTTGAGACTCCTCATAAATTCCATGGTGTATTTGAACAGCGTCCTGGGCGCCATTGTTGTCCACTATTGTGAGGTCCTCGGTGAAAAGGGGTTCAAATTTTCACTCTTGAATGCCGTTCAGTGTTTCTGAGAGACCGTCCCGATGATCCAGGAGCCTTACGAGCGTATTTGAAAACAAATAACATACTGAGTAGACAGTTTAGCTCGTAAAAAATTAGAAAGTTCCCAGCAGTTGGAGAGCCCAAATTAAACCGTGGCTGCCCTTAGAAGCGCCACCTAGAAGGGAACCGAATGTCAAAACTGTGAGTCATTCTGTATGCTACAGAGAGTAATTCTTCCATTTCTGAGTGTCTTGTGTTCATGAATACTTTAGAAAATGTTGCATGCAGTGATAAACCCCAAAAGAACAAGAAGAACTTGGTTAGCCCTTGAAGAAGATAATTAACTGCGAAACTGACTACATTCATAACGGTTGGAAAATGACCTTATTGTATTTATCTGCAGTCACCTGTGAGGGCCGTGCCTTTACCAAGTATCGGAACCCAGATGACTGTAAGACGTACTATGAGTGTTTGGATGGGTATCCAGACTTTGTCCTGCAGCTTTGTGCCCCGAAGTACACCGTGTTCAGTGAGGCTACAATGAAGTGAGTAGATTTGAACTGTCTGATTTCAGAAGCTGGATTCATGAAACAATAACCAAGGTGCCTGTTTCTAGATTAAACTAAAGGAGAACCATCAGCACCTACCTGTCAAGTATGGAAGCATTTGCCAAGAACAGATGTGTTGTTGTTGTCTTTTACATTCATAGCCTAAGCTTAAGCATTGTCAAGTTTTTGTGGTAATATTGTTTCTGCATGATATTTGAATAATCAACAATGCATGCATGTGGTTACTCAATTCAAATTCAAGCCTTGTAGAACACAAGCTAAACTATCTCCAAAGAGATAACCTGGCATTTCACCCATACTTTACTACAAAGTCATTTGTACTGAGCATCATCTGTCCTTGGTGCTGAAATGCTGATCCTTTACTCTTTTGAACTCCCCAAGCAATGAACACTCTCCAAGCAATGAACACTCTCCAAGCAATGAACACTCTCCAAGCAATGAACACTCTCCAAGCAATGAACACTCTACAAGCAATGAACACTCTCCAAGCAATGAACACTCTACAAGCAATGAACACTCTACAAGCAATGAACATTCTACAAGCAATGAACATTCTACAAGCAATGAACACTCTACAATCAATGAACACTCTCCAAGCAATTGATTGAGATAATGATTTCTTCTGACACCTGTTAGGTGTGAGTGGCCTGAGGATGTGGAAGGCTGTGACATCACCTACGTGTGCTCCACCCCGTGTGAGAATGGAGGAAGCTGCTCTGGGCCGGACGAGTGCACCTGTCCCGAGGGCTTTGGTGGGAAAGCATGCCAGCACGGTATGGAACATCTATGGTAGTATTTTGTGCTCCACCTGTACAATACCTTAATGGTATATACCTTTGACAATGATATTCTCTGCTTGTCCAAATTCCAGTCCCTAATTTCTTCTTCAGCAACAACTTCTTTCCGCGGACAGCAAAATTATGGAATTCTCTCACGGACAAGTGTTTTGCTTCCAAATACAGCCTGCCATCTCCTAACATAGTCACCTATACCTCCCACCATCTTACTTCAGTCATTCAGCCATCACTGTAATGTAATGCTCATGTTTCAGTGTCCTCCATTGGATTAGCTTGCCATGCATCTACTTTCATCCTCATCAAGTCTCAATCAAGTTTATATGACATGTTAGTATGGGCATCACTGTAATGTAATGGTCATGTTTCAGTGTCCTCCATTGGACTAGCTTGCCACACATTTATTTTTGTTCAAAACTCAGTCACACACTCTGCATTTCCACAGACCTTAGTGTCCCCTTCAGCGCCACTCTGACCTGTGACGGCAGCACCTTCAACCCCTTCCGTCCGATGACGCTGTGCAACAACGAATACTACATGTGCTCCCCTGGGTACGACACACCCTTCCTCTTCAGCTGCCCTGCTGACCTGGTCTTCAACAATGACAACATGGTGTGCGACTGGCGTCACAACGTGCCTGGGTGTTGAGAAATCTACATCTGCCCAGTGTCTCAACAGACCGCTGACCAATGATATTATAGACTTTTGAAGTCTACAGTTCTACCCAAGACACCAGAGAGGCAATAACTCTAACCTGTACTAGTATTCAATGTTCAGGTTAGAATGTACAGCACATTGTGGAAACCTGTTCCTGTTGTGCAGTATTTCAACATGTGATTTCTCTTCTATGTGGAGCATTAAACTTTCCCTGCAGAACTCCTGTTGTGTGTGTGCATGTTGTTCACTAGTATAATCTATATGAACTAAAGGTGGAGGCAAAATTATTGTTATATTCAATCATAGAACTCAGAAGTAAATTCTGACAGAAAGAGATGTTCCCATACCAACTCAGGGCAGCTGTTGCCCTGGTCTTTCTCAGCTGTAGTGTTTACTCATCAATACCCGTGCAAACATCATACTTTTAATAGGCCATAAAATAGATTGCATGTATTTGCAATTGGTGTTTGACAGGTGATAAAACGTGTCAAGGATAACACACATTTTGTCACTATATTGGAGAAACATAACGTTATTGACATTGTTAGAAAAATGATAGGTTTCGTAACACCTTCTGACATCTAGTATATAGCTCCTTTATCTAGTACACTGTATAATAGCCCACCGTACTGGCAGAACGTTTGCCGGGCAAAAGAAGAAACCATAGCTTTTCAGTATTGCTTCTATTCACACGTGCAGACAAGGGAAGGGCAATGCCCCTGGGTTAATGACCAACAAGCAGGGGAGTAGAGAGGTTTGCGCGTCCCTTCTCCACAAGGTAATCATGTGGCAGGCCACTTGTACATGTGAGAGTCATTCAGTCACACGCACTTGCGTAAGGGGCAAGGGACAAAAGTGATAAGGGAGTATACAACCCGGCCGGGCCCTGTGTATTTTTACGTAAATGATCAACGGATTGACTGGCACCAAGCTCAAACTCACACAGCCATCAGTGCCTGTCCCTGTACTCTCCAAGCAGAGGTTTGGGTTTTGGAGGTCTTTTTTAGCGTGTTTTTAGACTTTTTTATCGGGGTTTCTCTTTTGCACTGAATTGGTGGGGGGAAAAATTCAGTGCAAAAGAGAAACCCCGATAAAAAAGCCTAAAAACACGCTAAAAAATACCCCCAAAACCCAAACTTCTGCTTGGAGAGTACTGTCCCTGGTGCTGAACGTCCATCGCACCTACGGCAAAATGTATTGGCGTCATTACTCCACTGCAAAGATTCGGTCGTACAATGGGAACATTATTCTTCGGGCAGTCATATGAATTTTAAAAAGTCTGGCCTATTGTGTCAGCCTTAGATCCTTACGGACGGTCGGTTCTGCAAAGCCTTGTTGGCCCATCACGCGGCAGACCACTTGACAGGAGTGCAAAGGTGTGAGAATGTGTCAGCCTCCCACCAGGTGCTATTTGTGCTTGGGCCGAAATTATCAGACGTGCGGAAGAATCCACCGCGGATATTGTTGTGTACACTACCAAGGCTCGTAGATACAAGCACGTACACATGTACAAACCTCGTCAGACATGTGAGAAACAAGAGTTTCTTGCCACGATGACCTGAATATCAGACAAGTTGAATGAACTTTTGTTCTCGTAGTTATCAGGTTTTGCTGAATCATTAGAGGATGAGGAGGATGAACGGGCATGCTTAGTATTTGATAAGGGGAGGGAGGGTGAAAATTTTAAAGTTTCAACAATAAAGATGTCAGTGCTCACGTAGCAAGAAATCAAGCTATGTTTTTATTGATTCCCAACGTTTCAAATAACATTGTATTTGTGGTTGTGAAGTTATTTTTAGGATACATTATCAACCCGTTCTTGACTGATCAAGGATCATCAGTTTACCCGTTTGATAATGGTATAGCCCGCGGTGTGAAAGATATGGTGCGATCACATGGAATGATATAAAAGACGTGACACCTCTGAAGATATCCAGTAACTACGTTACTTGGAGACCTGTTGGGAGGGTGACATTCCGTGCTGTGACGATGCTTACTCCGCGTGTCCTGTTCTTGTTGGTTTGCGCGGTGGTGCCAGCCCAGCCCGCCAGTCTGAATGCACATGTTCGGGAGAACAGACGTAAGTCATTCATTTTATGTACTTTTCAATTGATTAAAGTGAGGGTAGCAGAAACGCACAAACCTGGTAACCCTCAACGAGTTCCCTTACCTATCCAAAAGTAGTCTGATATATTTTGAGGGACACTTTTATTCATCTTGCTTAGATGTGCTCTACTATAGGTCCGCTTGAATATCCAAATGGACATGCATGTCGCGCAATCAGGTAGACTTCGTTTAACTCTTCTTTACTTCAGAGAAGCATCTAACTACGTCAAACGTTTCTTTGCAGTATTTTAGAGAAATTCTACTCAGTTAAGCTGTGTACTGGGAAACTCCAAAGTTAAACGTAGTGAGTTGTGACGTCGATTTTATCCCGTAGGTAACATTCGTGCCGGGGGAACGGCGGATTTCTACCCGTTCGGGGTGTCTGCCGGTGACGCAGTAAACCCCAAAGCCGACGATGGTGGCTCCCCGAAGCAAACCTCGGCGCACGCCGGCGGGTTTCCGTACTTCGGACAGGTTTACCGGGACTTCTGGGTATGTCCAGTCAAGTTTGCACACGTATCGTTATCGTTCATTTCTGACATGTTGTTGAGATTTTTAAATGCTATAAAACCATGTTGTACTAAAGAAATCATAGAACAGCGATCAATTTAACGTTAGAGCACGAACATAGTAGCCAAATCACATAATTATGCTGATTCGGACATCAAAATGTGACCGCAAAGGGCATAGACGCATCTGACGGCATATTTAATTGATGGTGTTTTGTTATATATATTTTTTTAAGGTGAACAACAACGGAGTGGTGTCGTTCGAGGGAGAAGTGACCATCTTCACACCCTACCCCTTCCCAATCCAGTCTTTCCCAATAGTGGCGGTCTTCTGGGCAGATGTGGACAACAGGTCAGTTATAATGGACATTTCGATTAGAAAGTTGTCTCCGGTTTTCTCAACGGTAAACCTTATCCCCTATACTATAACTGATTTGTAAAAGCAATATCCAAATTTACCGCACAATATCAAAACGCCAATATACAAACGACCGCTCGTGAACTTTACAGAATTCACATAGCATAGTGGACAAGGATTAGTTCCATAAAATTAAAAGCGATTATTTCTTTAGGCGTGCCGGGGAGGTATACTGGAGACAGACCACCACGGACCAAGCTTTGCTGACGCAAGTGTCCCAGGACATCGTCACCAACCATCCCGGCATCTCCAGCTTCCAGGCAGGCTGGGTCCTGGTGGCCACATATGACGACGTGACCTACTACGGCGGCAGCTCAAACACAAGCGTAAGTGGCCATCTTCCGGCCAGTCTCTCGTCTCAGTTGCGTTGGGTCACATGGGATGGATACTTGATAACTCATTATGTCAATATACGATGTATCCGAGTCCGTTCTAGTTTGGTGAACGCATCTTTTACTTACGAAACATTTGATTGTCATTAGATGATAAAAACACATTGGAATTTGTCCTCAGTTTAATGTGGAAAGCGCCAGTACGTGTCAAAATTCAGAAATTGATTGAATGTCGCCTGACCCGAAAACTTGACTGCAAGCTGCTGTTATCTCTTTGTGCATCTAAAACTATCCTGAACCAATTCAATTTGATTCTCCATGCAGCGCCAGTCCTTCCAGGTCGTGTTGGCGACCGACGGTATCCAGTCTTTCGCCATTTTCAAGTACGGTGACATCCTCTGGACGACGGGAAGCGCCAGTATGGGAGATGCGGCGACTGGTCTTGGTGGAGTCCCAGCACAGGTCTGTACTAAAGGAGAGCTAGCTTCCACAAATGTGAAGATTATCATAGTTACATGTTGTAGATGTTATACTTCCTGTACACAGCAGGCTTTGCAATACAAGCAATCGTCAAAATGTTTACATCCCTGAAGACCGATATCTGAACATGAGCAGAGTAGAAAAGAGTTGCATATAAGATAAGCGTTTTAATGATAATCTTAATTGTTTGTAACGACAAACGTTTGTCTGATCTATTTATTTCAGGCTGGTTTCAATTCCGGAGATGGAACGAACTACTACACCGTCCCCGGCTCACGGTCTTCTGAGATTGTAGACGTGGAGACCAGGTCCAACGTCGGGCAGCCGGGCACCTTCCTGTACCAGATCAACGACGCCAAGATCATCCCGCTAGGTAGAAATCAATGTTGTCTAGCTAACGACGATGTAACGTCAGTGATATGACGGGTCGCCTCACCTTCCACTTTTGCTAAATCACTGTGTATTATGGGAAACACTAGAAACTGTACCAAACAAGTCGTAGACATCATCCCTCCATGAAATAGCTTGTTATTTTGTAATCTTTTGGTGTATTTCAATAGAGATATTATGAGTCAAACTTTGTTTTTATCAGCAGAATGATTTGTGGTGGCACTTTGTATTTATCAAGCTGTCATGTGCAGGCGTTTAGTGTCTTGTTACCATGGTTTGTTTACTTTGATGGCCAGCAGGTCATTTGCCTTAGCCTGGGTACCATCCCCAGTAGTATATTCGCAAACTCTATAACTGTTATAGAGTTTGCGAATATACTACTGGGGATGGTACCCAGGCTACATTTGCCTGTACATGTAGGTCAATGACCAGGCAAATGACCTGCAGACCAGACAAACAAGATTTATTTTCCTGCATCTCTGTCTAGGGGTAAAAATAGATAGGGCTGCCTGGGTCTGACCTGCCAGCTGGAGGTATAAACAAAAACACTCTGTCCCAACTTTTGGGTCAAACAGACCATCCTATTATGAAGTAGGGGTGAAAAAGTAGAAAATTCCTTTTAAATTAAGCAATAAAAGTATGCGACAACCTGCTAATGCACTCCAAAACACAAAGAGACTCAACAACTACCCACATACCAAAAATACATACCAAACCATCCCCCAGATTTTCCAAACATTCAACACAAAAAGCCCAACATTAAACATTTTGTAAATATCAAACGCAAACAGCTAGGGGACCCAAATTTAAACCACTAAACCATGGTAATAACAACTACATGCTACCTTAATATCGCACAAACAGTCCATAACGCGAAAACAACAGAATAAAAAAATTAAACTGCAGTACCAAGGTCAATCACCAGGGGCTCAAAGTCAACCTACACAATCTCCAAGGCCCCATCCATCAATCTGCCAAATATCGTACAGTTCCTTCTCACCGATCTTCAGATATCAGACCAAACATGAAACGGAGTAAAAACAGTACCCCCATTTTCATGGAGGGTAAAAAGAGTTTGCATTGATGTATATTCATCCAACATAACATGGACGAAGTCTCTTGTACGGAGCACAAACGACGATCATGTATTCGTGTTTACATTAAGATATCACTTTCTGTCATTAGTCAATATCTCTTGAAATGTAGGTGAGGGAATTAATAGGTCATCAAAGGAAAGTCTCCGTACTTTTTTCCGTGTCAATGATGTCGTGTTACTCATACCTGTACCGTACCCAGGTAAGGTAAGGCTAGTCGGAGGCAGTTCTGAATTTGAGGGTCGGGTTGAGATCAACCAAGGAGGAACCTGGGGAACGATCTGTGATCACAGCTGGGGAACAGAGGAAGCTCAGGTTTGTACTGATACTGAAAATCACACATACTTGACATGTAGACAATAAAGTGTGACTCGACGGGATATGACTGACGTTTATACAATGTAATCACCTACATTTTCTTTACACAGCCGTGCGTTTGTGCTTATCAGTTGTATGTATACTGCCTTAATATTTTCCGTATTCTTCCAGTAAATGTCAGTATTCTCTTCTGTAGGTGGTGTGCCGTGAGCTAGGTCACGGCGGTGCTGTAGCGGCCTACGGCTCCGCTCACTTCGGACAGGGAAGCGGGCCGGTTCACCTCAACAACCTGAACTGCACTGGGGACGAGATGTCCCTGTCGGACTGTCCGCTGCTCTCGGGCGGGACAGCCGCCTGTACTCATGCTGATGACGCCGGGGTGGAGTGTAAAGGTGGGCGGTCTGTGTTTATTTCACCTGCTACTTTGGTAAATGATACAGAGGGAGGTTTGGTCCTTTTAATCCATTCTACGATCAATCGAAAACGATGCATTCGAGCTTCTGGTCACTAGAAAACCCTTTCATTTCACTGTGTATAAACGAGTGTTTCATCCTTTTGCATGTATCCGCAGACCTTGATGACTGTCAGCCCAATCCTTGTGCCAACGGAGGAACCTGTCTGGACCGAGTGGACGGCTTTGTCTGCGTGTGCCGTCCTCCGTACGAGGGAAAGGACTGCAACATCGGTAGGCAACAGGACACAATTTTATAGTTTCGTAACCCATATTCAGTGGAGAAAGGTTAAGTACAGAATTATTGGAATCATACAGTGTGCCATATGCAAAGTCTTCCCCTGCTCTGCTCTAACCGTTTTCTTGATACATCACCCAGTTTTCCAGATGCCATCGCGACTTGCTTCGCCTTGCTAGATTTTGCCGCTGATTAGTACACGGTTCACAAATACGAGAAGTACGGAATGTAGTGACTTTGTGTCTAGATCTTGCACTTTAATTTTAACATAACCCCCCTTACCCAGATACCAGCAACCCTTGTTGGAACGATCCTTGTAAACACGGAGGCGTGTGCTCTGCTGACGGCGACAAATTCACCTGCTCCTGTCAGTCGGGATGGAACGGCACCACGTGCGACACGTATGGTGAGTTTTCTCTTCTTTACTGAATGACAGGAAGAGATTTTATATGGCTGTAGTAGATAGCCGCTTGACAATCAATCAACTCTATGTTCTTTGAGGGGAACCAGTCTTCGCCCCATTGTCCGTTGCCTTGAAGAGCTTCCGCTGTTTAGCTTCATACCACCTAAATTGCTAGAGTAGCTAGCTAGATCCAATTACACCTTATAGTGTGTATGACGTTGACTCTTTGATGTTACATCTCCCAGCCCTGAACCCCTGTGACAGCGGACCTTGTCAAAACGGAGGCGTGTGCTATGCAAGCGTGGATAAATACACCTGCTCATGCCAGCCTGGATGGAACGGCACTACTTGTGAAACAAGTAAGGAACGAGCTTTCGTCAATCTAGTATTTCTGTTCGTCACATAATTCCCTGGTAACTGCATGGGTGGGCAATAGGATAAACTTGTGACTCATCTTCCTGTAGATCTTGACGACTGTAGCCCTGACCCTTGTCAGAACGGAGGGGTGTGTCAGGACCTGGTGGCTGACTTCTCTTGTAGCTGCCCTGCTACATACGAGGGCAAGACGTGCGAGACATACGGTAAGTTGTCCGTTGTTCCTTGATGAGTAAATAGCTCTTGACCTCAGGCGTAAGACAGTAGCTACTGGCGATATTCACTTATCTTCATCTTCACTTCATCTCTCGGATAACGCTTGCACAATTTTCCTGACTGTATGTACGACAATATCCAGCCATCTGTAAAGTCACTTTCAATCCCCAGTGAGTCCATGTGACAGCGGACCTTGTCAAAACGGAGGCGTGTGTTCTGTAAGCGGCGGTACATTTACCTGCTCATGTCAGCCTGGATGGAACGGCGATAGTTGCGAAATGAGTAAGTAATAGCCAATTTGGAAATGTCCGCTAAATGGTTTATTGATTGTTTGCTTCTGTTTTGTGACGTGAATGGACACTAATAACAGTACATATTGTCAGGGGAATGATAATGTTTCTGTTTTTCAGACATTGACGACTGCAGTCCAAACCCTTGTCAGAACGGAGGGGTCTGTCAGGACTTGGTCGACGATTTCTTCTGCAATTGTCCTGCTCCATACGAGGGCAACATGTGCGAGATATATGGTGAGTTCTTTGGTGTTTACTTAACAGGTGTATGACTATATAGCCTGATTACCAGACCTATTTTAGCTCCAGAGTCTATATCCTCTCCGGAGATATATAACTCAGGATTAACTCTGCTAATTGTGGTAGCCAGGCTAATGACGTTTAGGGTTATTTCCCAATCCGACACATTGTTCTTTCTGTCAAACTGCTTGTTTCTCGACAAGTTCTTAGTAAGTACATAATCATATAGTCCTAGTTGCTACATGTTCTTGACGATCCAATCATGCTATCTTGTGTGCCTGTAATTTTACACTGTACGTTCACTCCTCAGTGGATCCATGTGGAAGCAAGCCTTGTCAAAACGGAGGGGTGTGTTCTGCCTTCGGTGCCATATTTACCTGCTCATGCCAGCCTGGATGGTACGGCATCACGTGTGACATGGGTAAGGAACAGTCACATCTTCAAAATTACACATTTTCTCTCTATAATTCATCCTTTTCGCTTCCCTTTTTCGCGCAGGCCTCTAATAATCAGCGTGGGTGAAGGTATGGGTGACAATATAAGTTAACATCAATATAACATTAACCAACCTTTCTAAGGCAATGATGTTTTATCATGTTTTTTGTCCCCAAGACATTGATGAGTGCAGCTCTGACCCTTGTCAGAACGGAGGGGTGTGTCAGGACCTGGTGGCTGACTTCTCTTGCAGTTGTCCTGCTCCATACGAGGGCAAGACCTGTGAAATCTATGGTAGGTTCTCCGTTCGTCTTCCGTTAGAAGATAGCACCAAGGTTGTATGACCACACAACAGCTACTAGATTGTCGTTTATCGTTCTTCTGGTGAAACTGTACAATCTGTCCCACCAGTACGCTAACACAAGATACAGTCTTTCATATGCTGTACATTTGACATGATTTTCCTATTTCAGTGGACCCCTGTGACAGCGGACCTTGTCAACACGGAGGCGTGTGTTCTGCAAGTGGAGCTACATTTACCTGCTCATGTCAGCCTGGATGGAACGGCACCACGTGCGAAATAAGTAAGGAAAATCATCATTCAATAATTTGATGCTTTTCCTTTCTCACTTACTTTTCACTACTCTCACAAAGAGGTGCAAGACGTAGACGGTAGAATTTCGCATTTGCGTAGCTAGAAACGTTTTTGATAGTGTTACCTGTCCTTATAGACATTGATGAATGCAGCCCTGACCCTTGTCAGAACGGAGGGGTCTGTCAGGACCTGGTCGACGATTTCTTCTGCGATTGTCCTGCTCCATACGAGGGCAACATGTGCGAGATATATGGTGAGTTCTCTGATGTATTACTTATCACAAGATACTGATTAGGCGTGTGACTATAACGTTTAAAGGTTGTTTCCCATTCCGACACGTTGTTAGGTAGTAAGTGATCCAATCATGATATGTTGTGTGCCTGTAATTTTACACTGTACGTTCACTCCTCAGTGGATCCATGTGGAACCAAGCCTTGTCAAAATGGAGGCGTGTGTTCTGCCTTCGGTGCCATATTTACCTGCTCATGCCAGCCTGGATGGTACGGCATCACGTGCGAAATGGGTAAGGAACAGCCACACCGTCAAAAGTACACATTTTCTCTTCTTAATTTGTCATTTTCATACTGTCATCCCTAAAGCATGGGCGGCAGTATAGCATATTGTATAACATAGACGTCCGTTTGTTTGTCCAATAGACATAGATGAGTGCAGCTCTGACCCTTGTCAGAATGGAGGGGTGTGTCAGGACCTGGTGGCTGACTTCTCTTGCAGTTGTCCTGCTCCGTACGAGGGCAAGATGTGCGAAATCTATGGTAGGTTCTCCGTTCTTCTTCCATTAGAAGATAGCACCCACGATATAAATGTATGACCACAGCAACTAATAGATTATCGTTCACATTTGTTCTAGTAGACAAACTGTTCCTCACACAGATATAGATGAAATACTATACAATCCGTGCGGCAAGTAAACACAAGGCAGAGACTTTTATAAGCTGTATCTTTGACATGATTTTCCTATTTCAGTGGACCCCTGTGACAGCGGACCTTGTCAAAACGGAGGCGTGTGTTCTGCAAGCGGCGCTACATACACCTGCTCATGTCAGCCTGGATGGAACGGCACCACGTGCGAAATGAGTAAGGAAAATCATAATTCAATAATTTGATGCTTATCTTCACTTTCTTCTTACTACTCCCATAATGAGGTACAAGAAGCAGACGGTAGAATTGCACATTTGTTTTGCGAGAAACGTTTTTAATGGTGTTTTCTTTCCTTAGACATCGATGAGTGCAGCTCCGACCCTTGTCAGAACGGAGGGGTGTGTCAGGACCTGGTGGCTGACTTCTCTTGCACCTGTCCTGCTCCGTACGAGAGCAAGATGTGTGAGACATACGGTAAGTTGTGTTTTTCTTAACGTCAATATAGCTCGCACGAACATAATAAATGGACCAATCACGTGTACATCCAATCATATCATGAAATGTGCTTCTAGCATCATGCTGTACGTCTTTTTCACAGTGGGCCCCTGCGGCAGTGGACCTTGTCAAAACGGAGGCGTGTGTTCTGCCTTCGGTGCCATCTTCACCTGCTCATGTCAGCCTGGATGGTACGGCATTACGTGTGACATGGGTAAGGAACAACCATACCATCAAAAGTACACATTTTCTGTCTTTGATTTGTCCTTTTCGCTTCCCCATTTCGAGCAGGTCTCTAATACTAGTAACATGCATGGGTATTGGTGATAGTACAACATAAGAATAACATTAACATACCTGGCTAAGGCAATGATGTTTTACAATGTTTTTGTCCAATAGACATAGATGAGTGCAGCTCTGACCCATGTCAGAACGGAGGGGTGTGTCAGGACCTGGTGGCTGACTTCTCTTGCAGTTGTCCTGCTCCATACGAGGGCAAGGCCTGTGAAATCTATGGTGAGTTTTCCATTCTTCTTCCGTTAGAAGATAGCACCCACGGTATAAATGAATGACCACACAACATCTACTAGATTATCGTTCACCCTTTCATCATTCTTCTAGTGAAACTGTACAGTCTGTGCCACCAGTACGCTAGTCTTTTATATGCTGTATCTTTGACATGATTTTTCCTATCTCAGTGGATCCCTGTGACAGCGGACCTTGTCAAAACGGAGGCGTGTGTTCTGCGAGCGGTGCTACATTTACCTGCTCGTGTCAGCCTGGATGGAACGGTGATAGTTGCGAAATGAGTAAGATACAGTCAAATCATATTTTCATGTAATTACGTTTTCTCACTTACTTATTACTCTCATAATGAGGTGCAAGAACTAGACGGTAGAATTTCACATTGGCGTTGCTAGAAAGGTTTTTGATAGTGTTACCTGTCCTTATAGACATAGATGAGTGCAGCCCGAACCCTTGTCAGAACGGAGGGGTGTGTCAGGACCTGGTGGCTGACTTCTCTTGTAGTTGTCCTGATACATACGAAGGCAAGACGTGCGAGACATACGGTGAGTTATTTTACATTTCGTAAAGTCAAGATAGCTCTCACGATGATAATTAAGGACCTGTCACATGCACAAAATCCAATCATTTCATGAAATGTGCTTCTAGCATCAAGCTGTACTTTTATTCCACAGTGGATCCCTGCGGCAGTGGACCTTGTCAAAACGGAGGCGTGTGTTCTGCCTTCGGTGCCATCTTTACCTGCTCATGTCAGCCTGGATGGTACGGCATCACGTGTGACATGGGTAAGGAACAGCCACACCGTCAAAATTGCACATTTTCGAATTCTCTCTTTAATTTCTCGTTCTGAGATTGTCATCTCAAAGCATGGGTGACAGTATAGCATAAGTATAACATAGACGTACGTTTGTTTGTCCAATAGACATAGATGAGTGCAGCTCTGACCCTTGTCAGAACGGAGGGGTGTGTCAGGACCTGGTGGCTGACTTCTCTTGTAGTTGTCCTGCTACATACGAAGGCAAGACGTGCGAGACATACGGTAAGTTGTCCGTTGTTCCTTGATGAGTAAATAGCTCTTGACCTCAGGCGTAAGACAGTAGCTACTGGCGTAACTCACTCACCCGTGTTCCCTCGGTAAAGTCACGTCTTGCAATTTTCATCATCTCTATATTGTCCCGAATAACACTTGCACGATTTTCCTGACTGTATGTATCACTATTCTGTATATTATACAGTATTTGTAAATCAATCACTTCCAATCCCCAGTGAGTCCCTGTGACAGCGGACCTTGTCAAAACGGAGGCGTGTGTTCTGCAAGCGGTGCTACATTTACCTGCTCATGTCAGCCTGGTTGGAACGGCGATAGTTGCGAAATGAGTAAGGAACAACCAATATGAAAACGTTCGTCTTTCGCTTAGTAACTTGACATCTTTTCTATCACAAAATTCTATGGTCATCTGTACAGGATAGATACTAGTAGTACATCGTTTTATTTTCGAAAAATTTCGTTATATCTTCTTCTCCCATAGACATAGATGAGTGCAGCCCTAACCCTTGTCAGAACGGAGGGGTGTGTCAGGACCTGGTGGCTGACTTCTCTTGCAGTTGTCCTGCTCCATACGAGGGCAAGATGTGCGAGACATACGGTAAGTTCTAGTTGATGATAAACAGCTTGTCCTCCATGTTTCTTTACCTAACCTTATCCCATGTCCTGCCAGTTATGAATTTCGAAGTACTATTTATAATATCAACGTTTCTTAAATTTTCAGTTGACCCCTGTGACAGCGCACCTTGTCAACATGCAGGCTTGTGCTTTGCGAGTGGCGCTACATTCACCTGCTCATGTCAGCCCGGATGGAGCGGCACCACGTGCGAAATGAGTAAGGAACAGATTACGTATAATACCATGTATTGTGACAAAAAAGCAAAATACGTACACATCACTTTTAATATTGATTTTTAAAAGACGGATACTACGTCTTGTACTAACAAGCCAAATTGACTACTACTGCTCCGGTATCACCGATTTGGGCAAATTGGTCGACTTGCTCTTGAACAATTTCTGTCTCTTCTAATTGGAAGCCGCTCAACATACTTTTTTCCCTAGACATTGATGAGTGCAGCCCTGACCCTTGTCAGAACGGAGGGGTGTGTCAGGACCTGGTGGCTGACTTCTCTTGCAGTTGTCCTGCTCCATACGAGGGCAAGACGTGCGAAGTATATGGTAAGTTCTGTAATGCCTAACCTGAAAATGCTCATGTTTCCCGTTCTTCTTCGGCCACTCTCCTCCATTGCCCTGCATATGGCCATGGTCAGTACTAACATGTACAAGATCTCTTGTATCTCTAACATAAGTAAGTAAGTGAAAAGAAGTAAGTAAGTGAGAAGAACTTTATTGCACGACAATTGCACATGGTACAATGTATGGCAACAACTATTGAACAAAATACAAAAAAGGTATAGTGAGTAATGGATCACAAAGTGTTAGTAGGTAGCGTCCTAAAATGATATTTCACGAATACTCGTACATGTATACATCGAAGGTGAAATTGCACTAGTACTGATTAACCCATGATGATCTGCAAGTGTTCTTATACCGTGACGTAGGTATGTGGTATAGACATCAGCTGCACATCTTTTGTTGTTGTGAGAGGAACGTGTCGTCATCGATTGTCTCGTCTTTTCCTAGACATTGATGACTGCAGCCCAGATCCTTGTCAGAACGGAGGGGTGTGTCAGGATCATGTCAATGATTTCTTCTGCACCTGTCCGTCTCCATATGAGGGCAAGATGTGCGAGATATATGGTGAGTTCTCTCATCTTTACTGGTTAGCAGACAGCACTAGTGGATCTGTGCCTAGCAACCTCTCAGTGTTGTTTTTATAAAATCTCTTCTGTCCCATTTCCCATATGTTGATTTGTCTCGCTTGGATGCTGCAGAGTTTAATGTCCAAACATTTTATATGTTGAAACATCATTTCCCGTTCTCCTAGTGGACCCCTGTGACAACAAGCCTTGTCAAAACGGAGGCGTGTGTTCTGCAAGCGGCGACAAATTCACCTGCTCATGTCAGCCTGGATGGAACGGCACTACTTGTGAAATAAGTAAGTTACGACTAACGATGTGTGACAAAACGTTTTTATATTAAGGTGTTACTATTATTCATCGAGTAATGTCCAGCAAATCCCTACTTATGTGTATGACATGAACCCCAACTGCACAGTTTAATAATTAGATACCACATGCACATCTTTCTTTCATAGATCTTGATGAGTGCAGCCCTAACCCTTGTCAGAACGGAGGGGTGTGTCAGGACCTGGTGGCTGACTTCTCTTGCGATTGTCTCGCTCCATACGAGGGCAAGACGTGCGAGACCTTTGGTACGCTCTTTGCTGTTTATCTATTATCAAATAGTGCTTAGACATATACAGAAGATCTTTAAATATCGAAAAAAAACAAGAATTCGACTTCGTACTGTCAAATCATTGACTACTAGTTTGCCCCGCCCATTCCCTACGTCTGATTTTCAGGTTCCGTTCTTACACAGTCCGTTTCTATGTTACATACAGTTCCTACGACTCCGCCGTACATGCCCACAACCGCCATCACCGATGGGACCGTTGTGGAGTACCGTCCGGACCTGGAGTGTAACGGACAGCTGTTCTTCATGCTGGCAGGAAACTGCCAAACCTACTATTACGTCTGCTCCCCGGGATATCAGTCCCCGATCCTTATGTACTGTCCGGCCTCCCTCGTCTTCAACAAGGACCTTCTCGTGTGCGACTGGCCGGAAAATGTTGCTTACTGCTAAAAAAACAGACGGACTTCTTTCTCATTAAAAAAATCACGCGCATATAAGTTCTGACAACATCACAATGCTGAATTACCGTTTGTTTTATTATATTTATCTCCCTTTTCTGGCCCCGATGTAACCAGAAATATTGAATCCCGTGTGATGTATGTTTAAAACTGAATAAATCCATTTCATCGACCAACACTTGTTGTCCTCTGTTTTCCCTTGCTTTATCCTAAAGAGATACCTGCTCTGAGTTGTAAAATAATTTTATAAGTTCGAAGAACTCAGAAAGATAGACATGTACAAACATCATCACAAATGAAGACTCTGTTTATATCACACTTGTTTCAAGCATCTTCTTCAACAATGTATTTTCCTTGCGGTGCGAGTTGTCTTAACCCCTCGAGTTATTAACATGAACCACCTTAAACGGCTTACAAAGTCCAAGGTCATCGGCATGCGTGCAACACGATGTCCGAGATATGCTCAGTCCTTCCGTCATGGAATGTTTGGCAAATGTTAAAGGTTACTGAGTAAATAGCCCATGTGAAAGTATAGCCGTTCAGCACGTCCGTCAGAGCATCCTGTTTAAACAATGAACAGAAGTAGACAAGCTGAAATTTATACAGGGTTGGGCAATGTGATTTTAGTATCTGCTGCACTATTATTATTATAATAAAGATGAGTTTATCCTTATAGTAACTTATCTGATACTTTAAGGCTGCGGTAAATGTAATTCTTGAATAAACTTAGCAAACTGTCGTAATAATGCAGTCAAATCTCTAAATTGGTTGTATGTAATACCCCTATGTTGATGGTGAACTCGTTCAGGGTGCATAGTCATAGTTCCTTTGTTTAAACACTGACGTAACACTGTGTGAAGAAATCTAAGGCACAAAATCTGCTGGTAAAGTGCAGTTTTAACGTGGAGACGATGATGCTCCTCCTCATCCTCCTGTACCTGGTGACCTGGGTGTCCTGTACCCCACCGTTACCTGAACCGAACAGCGATGGCGGCCAACCCTCAGCAGAGGACCGCGCAGTCTTCAGCGACATGCTGTCGAAGAACGCAATGGCGCTACCATATGGTAGGTGGAAACGGGATAGCGAGTAAACCTATTTATGAACAATATTGTAGTGGAGACTTCACCATCCATTTCGCCCTTTATATAGTACGTACCGCCATACGTAATTGTTTCCCATGTCTTTAGAATGAGAAACGACAGAGCCAATTAACTATCTTGACTGACAAGGTTGTGAACCACGATTTTCTACTGGGAACATGTTATGAAGTGTGTCGCGTAGCTATTGTAAACATTTAGAATTATGACACTATTATTTAATTACAATGTGTGTGTTCATCATCAATATCAATAACTTTCCGGAGTTACTGACTTGAGGGCACATGACACATCAACAGCTCAATTTGCCATATCAAACCACATTTAACAGCTATCCAACACAAAAAGCAACATTTCCGAGATCCATAGAGTATATGTTGCAATGTATATACCAAATTGTTTTAAACAATGAATGAAGTCGACAACATACTCTTCGTCATTCTCTAACCAAGCCCCCACCAGTTCACCTGCTGACGCCTGTCGGAGCAATCCTTGTCTAAACGGCGGGACGTGCCTGACACGACAAGACGCCTCCTACTCCTGTCTGTGTACTCATGGGTGGGTGGGAACCAACTGCGATACAGGTAGGAACACACATCCCAAAATATGTTGTTTTGAAGGAAAAAGCTCAATGACTTTTTTGAACAACGTTACATAGGATAACATTTATTTTTTCTGACAATTTACCACATTTGTGGAAGAAAATATATTGTCATTAGTAGGACTGTCATCTACATTCTACTAAATGTAAATTTAGTAATTGATCCTCCTACCCTTAAACTTGTTATCTAAGTTCTAACCTAGTGCATTTGGCCCATGTAGGACGTGAATATGCAATTAAGTTCATTGTCATTGTCACTTTATGTGTAGTTACCACTGTATCACCTGAAATACGTCTATGACATAAGATGATGAGAAAAACGATCATAAACCATACTTTTTTATACTTGTTAACGTAACTGTTACTTATTTTGTTGCCTTTTGTAACGCAATAAGTGCTGACCACCCCCGACAACAGAGGCACCCGGTTCATGCTTGGTTTCCTTCAGAACCACCAGGGAGGAACTCAGATTGAACTTTTCATCACGAGTGCAAGTGCAGATCCCGCCTCTGTCACCATCACCGCTCCACACGCCAGCTACACGCGGTATCTAACGGTCACAAACGCGGCAGTGGAAGTCGTGACCCTTCCAGAGTCTCTGTCCTTGTCTGGCAATGAAAAGGCGCGCAAAGGGATCCTCGTAACTGCAAACAGGGAGATCATCGTGTACGGTGTCAACAAGTTCCAGTACACAACCGATGGCTTTCTTGGCCTTCCTATAGATGTCATGGGTACCGAGTACATCGTTGCCTCCTATAAGGACAGTGGCAACGGGCCTTCTGAGTTCGGCGTTTTTGGCATTGAGAATGATACAGTGGTCAGTATTACCCTCAAAGAGTCTGCTCTATGTGACGGGGTGGCATACCCTGGCGGAAGTGTCGTTAGTCTAGCTCTGAATAAATTCGATGCTGTTCAGTGTCAAGGGACTGGACGTTCGGACTTAACTGGAACTAAAATCGTGTCGGATAAGCCCCTTTCCCTCATGTCTGGGGTTCAGTGTGTGGATGTTCCCAATGACGTGTCATCTTGTGATCATATCGTGGAGCACATCCCTCCTGTCAACACTTGGGGACAACGCTTCGTGACAGTCCCTCTCGCACTGCGCAGTGGAGGAGACATCTTCCGCATCGTGGCGGCGTCAGACGGTACCACCGTGGACGTCACAGGACATTCCTCCAGATTGCTTGATTCGGGTGAAGTGTGGGAGCTAGATGTTCCTTCTAACACCTACCAGGCGATCACATCTTCACAGCCCGTTATGGTCCTGCAGTACTGCAAGGGGCAAACTGCTGATGGGATGGAGACCGATCCATTCATGATGTACATTCCACCAGTAGAGCAGTTCGCCGCTGACTATACCTTTGCCACAGTCGATGCGGTAGGCGCCGTATTCACCAATTATGTAAACATTGTCATCAAAACCTCTGAAACGGCTGGTCTTACTTACGATGGAAGTCCCCTGAATTCCTCAACGACATGGACTGCGATTCCTGGCACCGACTTGTCGGCGACACAGCTACCCATCACGACCACAGGGACGCACAAGATCAAGCACAACTCCGCCATTGTCACGTTTTCACTATTCTACTACGGATTCTCGGATGCTGACTCCGTAGGTTTTCCCGGGGGCCTACGTTTAGCTAGACTCTCTGGTGAATGTCAGATGACTGAGACTGTGTGGGGTGACGGAGTGGACAACGACTGCGACAACCTAGTGGATGAGGAACTGCTCAATGGAAGGCAAGTCTGTTTTATTCTATATTCTTCTCCACGAAGATAGTGGCCCAAGTCTTTCAAGCGCATACATTTCCCAATGTTGGCTAAAATTGCTTAAAAGTCATTTTTCGTGATTTTTCGCGCTTGTGGAGCCTTCATGAACACCATGACTGACACATCACGTAAATCTTACAGAGATGACGACGGTGACGGTTTGATCGACGAGGACGTTGCTGAAGTTACCCACGACATCAACGAATGTGAGCTGGGACTGGCCACCTGTGATCCGGACGCCATCTGCGTCAATACCCACGGGTCCTACAAGTGTGAATGTCAGCCTGGGTTCACCGGCGATGGCAAAGTCTGCTGGAGTAAGTACAAGCCTTTATACCTCTAAGTGTATATCTGTAGCGTTATGACTCTTGGAGTATGCCAGGACAGAGGATATGTGAATGTTGAATTTTGCTCCTGCCTTTGTCTTTTAACATCTCTGATTTGCAGCAAGGAGCACGTGCGTCGTGTTTGGTCTCACGCACTACGTCACCTTTGATGGCCTCGCCCACGACTTCAACGGCCAGTGCCCCACCACCCTCAGCAGCAGCTGCGGCGGCTGGAACCTGCCGTACTTCCAGGTGATAACAGACAGCGACCCACGCGGGGACCCCACTGTCAGCTATGTCTCAGAAGTGACCGTGGAAGTCTACAACCACACCATCGTGATACAGCAAGGCAAGACCGTCTATGTAGGTAGACTTTGTTATTACAGTTCTCTGTTGCTGCCAATTCTCTTTCATTGAAATGCCGTCGTATTGCATACAGGTTTGCTGTTTCCAATAGAGCTCATTATCCGATACTAAAGAAGCATAGGCGAATTCTTACAATTCAAAATTTACAAGTATCATATACGATGCTAGCCGAGCGATATGCCCTATCTGACAACTTCCTTTCTTTACAGGTCGACCAGATCATCACCACCCTACCCGCCCAGCCTCATGATGATCTCACCATCAAATTTGTCGGTCTGTATGTTGTCATAGAAACAACCTTTGGCCTTAAAGTATTGTACGACGGCTCCCATCGTGTGGAGGTCACCGTTCCCGACACATACCAGGACGCCCTGTGCGGTCTGTGCGGGAACTACAACGGCAACGACACCGATGAGTTCCTCACTCCCGACGGGTCCCTGGGCGCGGATATCATGCAGTTTGGCAACAGCTGGGTGGTGCACGGGCATGGGGAAGTGTAAGTACAAACACTCACAACCTAGGCTGTGTTAAGGTGTTGTGTCGCATTGCGTCAGCTTGACACTTACACGTAGTGTGTGGTAACCTTCCATCAAATTTTACCTTATGCTGTGTAATTTTGTCTTGAGAGCGATAACGTGGGTTATCAATGGTTATATTTTTTTGCCGAACATCATGTCCATTGAACAGGTGCAACGCGAATCCTCCAACTACCATCTGTGACGCCGCTCTGCAGCAGACGGTTACAGGTCTGTGCGGCATGTTGACTGATGGTGCGCACGCGTTTGCTGCATGCTACTCCACCCTGAACCCCGAGGTAGCGATGTATTTCACTATTCTGACCCCAAAGATAATTCAATGTCGTATGACTTTTGCAACACACTAATCAAGTGCCATTCAGAGGTGAAGAGCTGTTCACTGCTCCAGATAGTATGGGGGGAAAGTATTTTAAGAAACATGTCACTATCTTCTACCGTGAATACGATTCGAAGTTTGTCGTGTTTTACAGGGAACGTACCAGACCTGTGTGTATGATGTGTGTGCCCTGAACGGAGACGAGGCCTCACTCTGCAACAATCTCCAAGCCTACGCCGACGCGTGCGCTGAAGCTGGCATCAACGTCGGCTCGTGGAGGAACTCGTCCTTCTGCCGTGAGTTTCGTCTGTGTTTACTCTTTTGGAAATGACCAACCATGACAGATAAATGGTAGCAAGTACAGGACAGATGAGGAGTTATGTGTCATAACAAACTTATTTCTGATCAAACATCATAACAGATATCTCGATCCCTTATCCTTTTCCCGAACATCACTTGCATGCCATCATGTGACCCATCTTTTCAGTCGCCAGTCGATATGCAGTGCACGATCGTTGATGTTTATAAGATTGCTTCTTTGTCATTTATCTCCAACAGCCCTGTCCTGCCCAGCCAACAGCCACTACGACCCGTGCTCCAGCGCCTGCCCTGCCACCTGTACGGACGTGTCAGCGCCGCTCTACTGCAACACGACGTGTGTGGAGGGGTGCGAGTGTGACGCCGGGTACGTCCTGAGCGGGGACCAGTGTGTTCTTCGGGAGGAGTGCGGCTGCACCAGAGATGGGATGTACTATGCTGTAAGTACGGGCCCTCTTCAGTTCATTTTGTAGTGGCTGAGCGTTTTCGTCATCATCTGTTGATCATGACGTGCCGTAGCCGTTTCTGTTGGCTCCATCTCCTTCTGTGTTGCTATGAAAATGAATCAGCAATGTATCAAAGTATGACCGTTTGCCTGGTTACCAAATCCATTTTAGCTACCGAGTCGTCCTCTCCGCTATTTGCGACATCTTAAGTAGATTTTTGGCAACCGTTGCACTACAGGTAGGTCAGACGTGGGGGTTGGACTGTGACCGGACCTGTGAATGCGTCAGCAAGAACAACATACAGTGCAGTGAGGGCGGCTGTGACGTCAACGCCACCTGTGCCATACAAAACGGCGTCCAAGGCTGCTACTGCAACCCCGGGTACTGGGGAAACGGCTCTTACTGTGGAGGTGAGAAAGGTCTCTCCGCATAAGTATTTCGCGTATCTGTTACATTGTACTCAATAAATCTTCCTTGCAATGTGTAAAGAAGCTCTGTTGTCTCTTACTTCAGTCTACATGACTATTTTCTTCTTGATGGCAGAATTGTGTGACACCAATCTTTGCAAAAACGGTGGAACTTGCATCAATGACGACAAAGGAGGGTACATCTGCGTGTGTACGGCGGGATGGAAGGGCGACGAATGTGATGAAGGTAAGGTATACATCCTTTACGTTATGATAATCACATTTTCTGCATACAATGTAGTTTTGACGGCTTTTACTTTCTCGTCGAATGGTTCTCTCACTGTGTTTGTTCTTATCTATATGAAAAATGTATTTGTTAGTACCATGTAATTTCATTGTACCATTCGACATCGTTGCAGGAGCTGACTGCTGCCATTGCAAACCTGTTTTTTTTAAAACAAATTACAGCATTAATCTGTGTACTATACAGTAAGGCCATGATATACCTTGCTGATTGACCTATTTGTGAATGTAGACATGTCTGGTCCGGATCCCGCTGGACCGCCCCCCACCTCCGTCCCCGTCATCATCGGCGCGTTCATCTCCGGCATGACGTGTGACGGCTGGACCTTCTTCCTCGTGGAGAACGACTGCAGCAGCATCTACTACGTCTGCTCCCCGGGACACGACGCTCCCATACTCATGCGCTGCCCGGCCTCCCTGGTCTTCAACAAGGACCTGGGAGTGTGCGACTGGCGCGACCACGTGCAATACTGCTCATGCCAGAATGGACTGGCCGGTGCCTCTTGCCAGATCAGTAAGTAACGGTGCAACAATCACTTCTTACAATTCCTTAGTGTTGATGGTGCAGCTTCCTGTCGAATTGACATTCATCTTATGTATGTGTCTCCTCTGTAGATCTTGATGACTGCAGCCCTAATCCTTGTCAGAACGGAGGGTTATGCCAGGACCTGGTGGGTGATTTCGTCTGCCACTGCCTCCCTTCATACCACGGCAAGACGTGTGAGATATACGGTAAGTTCTGTGCTGTTCAGTATCATCTACATGTAGCAGATGTAGATCAGATGCAGATCCATGCCACACCCCATTTGTCCTTGTCCTTGTACTTGTTACTGCTTGGCCCTTACGTCATGAAGTTCATCTTTGTATACTAATAATTTGACACAATCCCCAGTGAGCCCCTGTGACAGCGGACCTTGCCAAAACGGAGGCTTGTGTTCTGCAAGCGGTGGTACATTTACCTGCTCATGTCAGCCTGGATGGAACGGCGCTACATGCGCGATGGGTAAGGAACATACGTACATATGAATGTCCTCTGTCTGTATCATAGATATGAAACAAGAACACAAGTACACATTAAACGGTTCCAAATAGAATATTTCCTCACAATTCATTGGTGTAGATGGTACGTAAAGCACCTTGCGTATATAATTATGATGTCTATAGTTCGATAAAAGTTATGTAATACTCTCTCTCACTAGACATTGATGAGTGCAACCCGAACCCTTGTCAGAACGGAGGGGTGTGTCAGGACCTGGTGGCTGACTTCTCTTGCAGTTGTCCTGCTCCGTACGAGGGAAAGACGTGCGAGATATATGGTGGGTTCCATGCTGATTATTAGTCGTCAACTATAGGTTTAGGTAATCAAAGAATAACCACAAGAACAAAGTGCTTGTCATCCATCAAAGTGCATTTTCTCCCTTCACTGCTTCTCGCCTTAATTGCCTTCCTCTGTCTTGCCTAACTTGCATTTGTGCACGGTCCTTCTGGCGTGTAGTACAGCATCCGATCGTACACCACGTCTACGGGTGTAAGTGTTACATTTATACTTCTATTCCACAGTGGACCCCTGTGACAGCGGACCTTGTCAAAACGGAGGCGTGTGTTCTGCAACCGGCGCTGCGTTTACCTGCTCATGTCAGCCTGGATGGAGCGGTGCTACTTGTGGAATGGGTAAGGGACTTGATCTATTATCTGATGTTTCGTTTCGGCCTGGTAGATTTAGTTTGTCTTGTGTTGAAATAGGAAACATGAAATATTTTGAAATATGTTGAAATAGGTTCCTTATAGCATTTTTATTTCCACAGACATTGATGAGTGCAGCCCTAACCCTTGTCAGAACGGAGGGGTGTGTCAGGACCTGGTGGCTGACTTCTCTTGCAGTTGTCCTGCTCCATACGAGGGAAAGACCTGTGAAATCTATGGTGAGTTCTCTGCTCGTTGTCATTATTCGGCATATTATAGAGGTTCTGGGGTCTACGGATGGCTGAAGCGATGTAATTCGTGTTCCCTCATATTCTTTTCATAAAACTGCTCCTCGTATTCTCCTCTGTACCTAATTATTGCGTCTAGATCCGTAACAAATTACCTCCGTTTTACAGTGGACCCCTGTGGCAGCGGACCCTGTCAAAACGGAGGCGTGTGTTCTGCAACCGGAGCTGCGTTTACCTGCTCATGTCAGCCTGGATGGAACGGTGCCACTTGTGGAAATAGTAAGGAACTTGTCTGATGTTTCTTTTCTGTGTGGTTAATCGCATGTCACCTTGCAATGGCTACATATTCTATGTCGTTAAGGGAGACCGTTACATGGTGTTTTGTTTCCTTAGACATTGATGAGTGCAGCCCTGACCCTTGTCAGAACGGAGGGGTGTGTCAGGACTTGGTGGCTGACTTCTCTTGCAACTGTCCTGCTCCATATGAGGGCAAGATGTGTGAGACGTACGGTAAGTTCTCTCTTGAAGCGGGGGCAAATTTAACTATTCACCCCATTTTCTTTTGATAAGGCTGTTTATCCTATCCTCCTTTCCTTTTCTTCCTAACTTACATGGACCCATGGTTCATACGACCTGAACTAGAGTCTGTCACAAATACCCTCCAATCCCCAGTGAGCCCCTGCGGCAGCGGACCTTGTCAAAACGGAGGCGTGTGTTCTGCAACCGGTGCTACATTTACCTGCGCATGTCAGACTGGATGGGACGGTGCCACGTGCGGAATAAGTAAGGAGATTGCTTTGTGATCTCATTTTTTGCATGTAATTTTAAAGACTTGGTACTGACCACAAAGCTCTTAGTTGCTAAAAGGAAGCTGTTCCATTATGTCTTTCCTTAGACACTGATGAGTGCAGCCCTAACCCTTGTCAGAATGGAGGGGTGTGTCAGGACCTGGTGGCTGACTTCTCTTGCAGTTGCCCGCCTCTATACGAGGGCAAGATGTGTGAGATCTATGGTGAGCTTTCACTTGTCACATGAAGATATGATTGTATCTATCGCGTCATTTTCAGATCCCGACTACAATCTAACAATTTAGCCCGGCGTGTCTTTAGTCAGGGTGTAGGCCTGGTTCTTACATTGAACAATAAATGTAGTAAACCATTCCTGTGTCACACCCAGTCTCTACACCCCCGCCGTACGTCCCCACCACCGCTCTCGTCATCACCGAGGGGGCTGTGATCCCCTGGAGCCCGGGGTTGACGTGCGACGGGCTGAACTTCTTCCTGCTGGACACCGACTGCAGCAACATCTACTACGTCTGCTCCCCGGGCTTCGCCTCCCCGATCCTCATGTACTGCCCCGCCACCCTGGTCTTCAACAAGGATATCAAAGTGTGCGACAACCCGCAAGCCGTCGTCTATTGCCCATAAACGACGAAGGGTTGCTCTTTAAATCTAACGTCACCCACTAAAGTAATCGTTGTCATCCACGTTTAAGTTGTGATGACCAGAGTGCTAACATCCTCTTTCGTTTAATCATCCATATGTCCTGATCACGATATGACCAGAAGTATTGGTTGTGATCTTGACCATTCCTCTTATTGACTATCTTGATTTTCGACCTTCTCGAAATAAGAATAAATCGTACGTTCCGCGGACACAAGGGTCTGATTCTACTTTCTCTATGTGAGAGTTACCTTGAGTAGTTTGGATAGTGATTGTGATCCTGCCTAGAGTTACAACAGATACTCGACAGTACGGGCTGCATGGGTACCAAGTTTGACCTAGTTAGATACCTTCCCTGTCCTTGGTACTGAATGTGCTCGCTGTCATTTGGATTCCCCGTGTTTCCTCAAGGAGCTTCTCCTTGGTTTCCTTCACTCAAGTGTAACTTTTGGAATATTTTTGTAGACTTTGTCAACGTAATTCCAACTTAATCTGCAAGGTCATAAGCCTATTCTAGCTATTTAACAAAATATTTCTATCACTCTTAAACCCTTGTCCTGCTGTGCGCAACATATGTCGCGCGGCACATACAGTACCATCTATATAACACCCTGTATAGGTACGATTTGGGGGTATTTCTCGTGCAACGCTTCAAACCGAAATGAAACGCAACGAATGGGGAAGTAACTATGCCACTTAGGGGCAAAAAAATTTGGGGGTCTATGATCTAATTAAGACATGAAATTATTGAAAATTATTGTGCCAGGAATGCCAGCAGGACAAGGGTTAAGATAAATGCAATGCATTACTCAAACTTGGTTCTGTCATTTTGTTTTATTGTATCACCCTATCGTTTACAAAGACATCTTGTATGACGGCTCGAATAATGTTTTTACTGAAAGACATCGGTAGAAAATTCTATTCCGCAGTGTATCTAACATATTCAGTAACTTAATATCAGCAGCCATTAGCATTGCAGTAATCCCAGCAATGAGGTCCACTCCAGATGAAAAGTCATGAGCAGCACATAATACATTAGCGTAGAAATCAATCTGTGGTATAATAGTATGACTTTCAACACCCTTTTACCCTTAGGACACATGTGCGAAGCAATCTGGTTCTGAATTATCTTGAAAATTCAGTCCAAACATTTTGTGTTGGGAAGCAGTTAAACTCTTCCCTAATAGTACATATTACAATTTTACAACATTAGGGTGTATAAACATTTCTCTGAATTCGATGAAATGGATGAAGTTACTATATCTTACATAAAACTAATTTCTCAACCAGACTGTTTGTTGCATAACAATATATACTAGTAGTCTGAATTATATACATTCTGTTTTACATGAAACAAAGATTATCTTATGTATATTATGTATATACAGTAGTGATTTTCACTCTTAGAAAGTTCTATGTCGACAGATAGACTGAATAGAACTCAGACCAGATGAGGGGAAACAGAATCCCGCAGGCTTTGTACAAAATGGCGGCAAAGTTGTACATGGCGCGGTGGACAGCCCACCACGGCTGCGACTTGAAGGCAAAGTACCCAGCATACATTGCAACAGCAAAGAAGTGACCAATGAGGAGGGTGGGTCTGGGGGTCAACCTGTTGACAAAATAGAATAATCTAGTTAGAAGTCCTCTTCAAAACATTGGACTTTTTTTCTTTCTAGTTATTTAGTATCGTCATTATATACTTTTGAGCACTCATCAGGATAACCTAGTCAGAAACGTCACAACCCAAACACTTCAAAGCAATGGCTACTTAACCTGTGTATGTTATGTACACATAACATTATTGCTACATGTAGAAAAGGGTACTCACACAGACAGCAGTCCTATAGGTCCTGACTGGGCAGATCCACCCAGGTCAAAGTAGCTGAAACATGCCTGCTTCATCTGCTTCAAATGTTCTGTAAGGAGGAAGAAGTACAGAGAAAGGTTATCACTATGTACGTTATGAATACATATTGCATTTGTGAGAGTACACAACAATTGAAAACAAAGAAAAAATATCACTTCTTGTGCCAAAAAGTACAGTTCTTCTGCTTCCTTCATATTCAGTGTGCTTTTGGGTTCTTTTTCTGAAAGTCCACTCCTTTCATACATTTAAGTACATCTTACTAACAACCATATGTCACACTAACTTCATCTGTTGCAGGCTGGTTTGATCAAGGGCCAGTGCAAGTTAGGCACAGGCAGACATCAAAATAGATGCAAAGCTTGAATGTCATCTGTGCTAATTAACCTGCATATAAGTACAGGTCTATCTCTCAAGCATTCTCACCATCCTGAGCAGCAAACAGCTGGTACAGTGCCATCGCCAGCACATTCACCACGAAGGAGTGGGACTGTTTCCTGCCCCAGTGGAAGTCCTTCAGTGCCTGGGACATGGCGGCGGTGTCGCCGAGCTCCGGGATTCGCTGGATCAGACCGCGCCAGATCAGGACGTCGTTCAGGGCCACACTCATGCCGCCTCCCGTCAGGGGATGTCTCATGTTGTAGGCATCACCCAGCAACAGGACACCTGCAGGGAACAGTAACTCAACTGTCAAGGAGGACTACAGCATTTGGTATAATATGACAAGTCTTCAACAGAACAATATGCTAATTTGTCATGGGACTACCACTATCATCATTATCATCCCAGACTGGCATAGTACAAATCTGTCCTGTCATTTGTTTCTAGACAACTCTATTTCAAACAGGTTGTTTAAAAATTACAGTGGAGTTATTCTAATATAATAATAACATGACTATGAAACAATGACTTACCTGGCTTTTGTACTGGGGCTGGGGGTAGGAAGCTATTGGGCATGCTCCGTACCCTGTCGTTCTGCAAAGCATCCGTGAATGGCTCTTTCAGGTGATCTTGAAAGGAAATGTAACAGTTAGAAATATCTAAAAAAATAACATGAAACTTAGGACATGAAAGTTGTCCACATTGTCCAGACCTTTTAGTCAACCATCATTGTAAACCGATAGATTCTGAATTTTGAATTGACCAGAGCATTATGCAACACTTGTTACCTGGTAGCTGTGGTAGAATCTTGGTACTCAGGTAACCTTTCATGTCTCTTGGCATGTCTCCCTGTACATCCACCAGCACTCTGCAGGGATTAAGTACACATTTTTACAAATCTTAATAACAAAAAATATTTCATTTATCTGTCAACAAGAAATGCTCAGAATCGTGCCAAGTTTAGAGTTAAGTCTAGCTTGTTGACCCTACAGCTGATGAAAGTAAACCTTACCTGGTGTCATTAGAAGCGATCTGGTAGACCAGCAGAGGACTGGGGTCTGCTAAGACGACCTCTGCATGGTGCTTCTCAAACTGGGGACAGTTGATCATGATGGTCCCCACAAAGTGGGAGGTGGTGTTCACCTTAGACTTCACCAGGGTCTTCCGGAACCTGGAGAAGCAGCCGTCTGCAACTACTGTGAGGGGAGCTCGCAACTCCTGGGGAGGAGACAGGAATCATGTTGCTCGTTACTGAGGGAGGCTATTTTTGGATCATTCTGGGATATTTTCTGTGCCTATTTCTTAATAGTCTACCTCTTTTAAATGAAGGCCAACTATTAGAAACCAGGTACAATCAGAACAGCTGAGAAGGCTAGGAAGAGTGGAGGATAGAGACAGTGTAATCTTACACATTAATTTGTACAAAATAACTGATCCCCTACCACATGTATCTTACGGTTCTCACCTTGACAGTATCAGTCTGTTTGTCCTTGTAGACGACACCCACAATACGTCCATCTTCTTCCAACAGTTTTGTCACTGTTCCCTCCATCATGGTTACACTATCAAAGGTATGAAGTATTTGTATAAACATCTACTGTCCAACATCTCATGTCTACAAAAGGCAGCACTTATCAATTGTAACAGTTACATACATAGTCTAATAAAGAACATGTACAGGAGTTACATAAGTTACAATAAAACTGTTAGGGAGTAAAACCATATCTAAAGTGACTCAAGTAAATAATTCTTGATTTAAGGCTAGATACAGACTTTTCTAAAGACAAATAAATGAAACTCGAGAATTAACTGAATATAAGAAATGGTCCAACTGTTCTCACCTTGCTTGTTTCTGTGCTTCCTTGCGGAGTCCCATGATGAACCTGCCGTGGTGGAAGGCCCTCCCCTCCATCACAGCACAGCTGTCATCCTTGGGGTACGGCAGCTTCACATTTTTACCAGACTCCAGGTCGTGGACCACGTAGCCTTGAACATGATGGGCATCAATACCTTCTACTGCACCTGTTAAATTTAAAAAAATGTATAGAAAACATGAATTATTTTTTTAAGTAACATTGAACAAAAATGAATAAATAAATGAAAATGAATAAAAATTTCTTTTACTCTTTATTTTCACCCTCAACCCCTCCTCCATCAACACTCATAAACTGCACCTTACAAAACATGACCAGCCTATCTACTGAAGCTTGGTGCACTGTTCTTACCCCCGAGACCCAGAGCCTTGAGAGCTTGCACCCCGCCTGGCTGTAACAGTTCTCCCACGATCCTGTCAGGTTCCCGCAGGTCCCGTTCGATCACGACCACCCTCCTCCTGTCCTGTCCCAGGGCGGCGGCCATGGCAGATCCCAGGACTCCGGCACCAACCACCAGAACTTCTGGTTCTTCTGGGATTTCTCTCTGGGTGATACTTCCATTGGTGACTGCTGTTCTCTGCATTATGAGACAAAATTAATCTTTAGCATGCTATAAGTTGTATTTGATTCAGATGAAATATGCAACTTAATCATATTTTAACAAAATCTACATTGAGCAGACAAAAGTGTCTCTAAATTTGAGGAAAAACTTATTAATAATGATAATCCACACAGGTAACAAATGTGCATTTTAATCTGATACAATACAGATATAATCCCTTACCGACTTGCATAAGCATAAGTTGCATTTTTAGGCCAGCTATTGGATCACGCACAAACAGCGTGTACCTTGGATGGAAACTTTGTTTGCCAACCTATCACGTCACAACCCCTGCATGTCAATACAATGTATTTACTTTGTGGTCGTTCAGTGTTGGCGGAATTTGGCCAAGCCTTCAAAGATATGATAAACCATGTCAGCATTAAAGCACTCACCAGGATAAGACAGGCTGCAAAGATCTAGCAGACAGATGATACATAATTACTAAAAGCTTCACTTGCTAATTGTCACAGTATGTGACATATCTTTTGAATTTCTGATACTTATATTGCAAAACCTTTTGGCTTTGTCATGACAAAAAATAAAATTGTTACCTACTTTTAATATTGAAATTCCAGTCTCTGTCAGCCTCACTTTACAGCCAGTCTCACTAAGGCCTGGGAGTGCAAAGGATACCCTCTTCTGTCAAAGAGGATAATGCAAGAGGTCAAATTTGGCTGCACTTTTATGTATAATGGTTAGATGGCGCTGATAGGCAATTAGACATGCTTTGTTTTAATACGCGCGCGACAAGTCAAGAAACCGACAACTTATATGGCGTAAAAAAAAACGTTATGGCACTCAAAAGTCCCGATGCAGAGCCTGCTAAGGAGACTAGTGTTGACGCCAGAGGTGTACTTGTTTCTTCAACTATATGTAACGTTTTTAAGTCTATATGTCATACTATGCTGCATCTGCACTAATTTGAAAGATTCACCTCTTGAAATTGAATTATAGAATGTAGAACGTTACCTTAGATTTGGGGGGATTTTTCCGTCCATGATAGTGGTAATATATTAGGAGCTCCACCACCAAGTAAGCCGCTACCGCCAACTTGAACTCTTTCCCGGTGTACTGGTACAGGTCTTCTCCATGTTTAGCCATGAACAAGAGCAGGGCAAAAAGTCTGTGGATAAGAACGTTCCAGAAAGAAAAGTCAAACGTCGCCATCAGAAATCTCTTGAAACCTTGCAGAAACGAATTATTTGTAACGCTGATAAATCTTCTCTATTTGTGCAAGTAAAACCTAGCTGTTCCATTTATCACACAGACATGGACTTGTAATCACTTATGTTATAGTTATATATACCCACAGTGACACGGCCACTCTTCCTAAAAGTAACGTTATGATGAAAAGAAACCCCGTCGTATCTTGAGTCGTAACATTAAGGTACGAAAGCAGCTTTCGTTAATAGTACGTAATGACTGTGTTCAATACTATGGTCACTTTATAAACTAGGTCACTTTGCAAAATTAACACGTGCTGGCTCATGTGCTCTTCTCGTTTACTCCTTCGTGTGGAATACTACAACAGAAACTCTCTAAAAAGGCAAAGGAACCATAAATTGTTAAAAGCTCACCTGAGGGCGCCTGGAGGCAAAGACATTTTTCCACGCCGAAAGGAACCGTGATCACACAGGTCGGGGATGGCAACTCCTTGCTTGAACGCTCGTTTTCTCGTTCGCAGAGGAATCGAGATAAAGTGAGACTGCCTTGACAAAATCTAGGGAAGAGCTAATCTGATTTAATACTGTGGTGATCTTCTGAAATGATATTTGGTATCTAGGGCAGATCTACTGTGTCTTGCCCGGTGTGTCAAAAGACTCACGTCCCCATCGCATGATTGCCGGGTGTGGACCAATGGGAGCCCGGCACACATGGCCTGATGGCGGGACGCGGACCAATGGGAGCGCGGCGCTCATGGCGCGCGGTCGCACGATGTGGATCTGCCAATCACAGCGGAGAGGAAGACATTTGAAACCTTCGGCGCGGAAAGTGGTTAGCCTCCCCAGCAGACTTCTTTGGTGGAGTATTTGCCATTTGTACTTTATCCTCTATTAAATTACTTACAGTTTATGATTCCTTCCATGGTCATACCAGCCTATGATGTTAAAAGCTGTAGCTATCGGAACACGGCAATATCAGAAAATCGTATGTGCTTAGCAAAACGACAATCTTATGTAAGACGACCCGGAGCCTGATATGGAGGCTATCATTGCGAGGTGCGTCGTCTGCTAGTCACCAGGTCATCATGACATGAACACTACTCTCCAAGCAGAGGTTTGGTTTTTTGGATTATATTTGGCGTGTTTGTAGGCTTTTTTTTTTATCGGGGTTTCTTTTTTGCACTGGATTTTTTTTTGGTGGGTAGGGGGGGGGGGTCCAGTGCAAAAAAGAAACCCCGATAAAAAAAGCCTAAACACACGCCAAAAATAACCCAAAACCCGAACCTCTGCTTGGAGAGTATTGAACACTGCGTCTTGTAGTCACGTATACAGTACATACATGGCTATGCACTGGGAGTGGAGGGGAAGATGCTAACACATCATTTTGTAAACGGGCCAGGAATTCAGTGTATTGTATAGTAAAGATCTACAAGCTATTGGATACATAACCTATCTTACATAACGTTAGTACATATTGAAAGAAACAAACCAAAGCAGTATGCGAAAATCACAACAAGCAAAGAACGCCAGCTAAAAAATCGCGGATTGGTTCGGTGTTTGTTTCCTTTCTTTCTTATCTTTCTTTCATCTGCTTCAGAACCTTTTAAATATCGATCTGACAAAGCATATGTCACAGACATGATACACAAAATTTCACAGCGGGCATTGAAAAAAAAAGTTGGATCTTTTGCGCATTTATAGCCCGCCCGTCGTGTTCAATTAAACAGTTCTTTGATCTTAGTCCCGATATCATCTGCGAAGAGGATAAATACAATATTAAGGATTTCATTAAGGGATTTATGTTTGTACTGACCTGGATTGTGTCTCGTTCATTGATTTATAGCCATCAATGCACATAATAAAAACATATAGAAAGCCAGATGGCAAAGATGTGCCCATATGGTGTTGCATCATTTAAAATCTGGCCAGTTCCTTTGTCGCTTCCTCGTCATGTTTACCTATGGCCACATTATCTGACAATGGTGAAAGGTGTGTGTTTAGTTAAACTATTTTATATGTATCTGTATATATATGAATATACATATACATACATCTACGGCTACACAAACTGCAAATATGCACGGAGATGTGAGTTTTCGGTTGGATGTAGGGGTGTAAACATGAAAATAAGGATGGCCCTCAGGGCACCAACCACATGGCTAGTGAGTAATTACTAGTACTGTACTATAAATGGTATAATACGTAGAGGCACCTGTCAAACAAGAAAGTGGGTCAAACTAGCCACTATAGCTAGCTGAAAATAACTGGTAAATCTGTAGCTGTGCCGGCCAGCGAAAGCATAGGAATGCGATTTAAGGCCCAAATGCACTGTAGGTCAAAGGGGCAGTAAAGAGTAATAGGCAAACTGTTTATATTATCAGTTCATCTGTCCTGTCCCATAGTCCTGCTCTGGATATCGTTACCAGCACAGATCCCATGGGATTGCACAGAAAACACTAATCATCACCGGCCTATCCAGGGCGAAACCAATGCCATCGACAGTTTAGGGGTGTTAGCTTTTATGTAACTTATTCCGAGCAAAAGTTGTCCTTGTAGTACGCTAATCCCGTATAAAAGGGGTAGATTTCCTGCTTTCGTTATCATGAAAATTTACACAAAGCAACTTCTATGCTTTTACGTCCCTTACGAAGACACTAAGGATTTGCACTTTACCATCCTTTACCGGGCATGATGTGGAATATCCCGACCTAAACGTAAACACTTCGTCAGTTCACTATCATGATCCTTGGCGGTCCATGTTGTTGCAGCCGATATGTCGACTTCAGTGACAATAGTCGGTGGTGTGAAACTCGCCCAAAAGCTTAATGACACTAAGCTGAGTAAGGTAAGACATGTGGTGCTTCAGATTAACTTATGATTTATGTCATGTGTCGCTTCTTCGCCCTGTTTCAATATACCCGGGTTCTTTTTTTCTGAAGCTGAGTTATTTAAACCATAGACCACTGGCCAGCGCTGGTGGTCTCACGAACCGACACAGGATCACCCTTTGAAACGTTTTTCTGTTGTGGTATTATATATATGTTCACTGAGAAATAAGCCATAATAGCATGCCTTCGGGCATAACTTTAATAGTGATAAGTCGTTTTTCGCGATACTGTCGTTTTTCACCATACTCCCTTCTTGTCACGATTGGATCAGTTTACAAATCCGTCCACAGAAAAACATGTAGTTTTTCCCAGCATGAGATTTGTTTGTACCGGGCTGCGCCTGGCGGACCTTTGATTAATTACGGGTCTTGCTCCATGCTCCTTACAAAGCTATTATTCATTTAGGCCTCAATGACGTGATTTTATGGACGGCATCCTTTGGACAACCCAAAACTTATGCATGCACGCAAAATAAAGATGCCTACATTATATAAAAGACTTAGAACTTGAAGCAGCTCTTCCCCGGGCGCATTGTCGCAAATCAGGTAACATTATATTCAAAGACCGTGGCTTGTTCAATTCCATAGCTCCGCAAATCTTTGCCTGTAGATCCGGAATGGCATATAATTTTTCGTGAAAACAAAACAAAACAATAACAAAACGGCGGCGTAAAATTATAGATGCGCGTGCGGATGACATCCATGAAATTTATTAAGTGTGCGTGGCTTTAGGTACAATTTCCAAGTAAATGAATGTTATTCTAGTGGAATTACATATAGTATCAGATAACAAAACGGCGGCGAAAAATTATAGATGCGTCTGTGGGTGGCATCCATGAAATCTATTAAATGTGGCCTTAGGTACAATCCAAGTAAATGAATGTTATTCCAGTGGAATTACACGGTAGTATCAGATAACTTCTTCCAATAACATCGTAGAGTAATCGTTCGTATCTCGTATTTTGATGCTGTACAAGCTTTTAACAAGAAGATACGTGCCTCAATTCCTGATTGTCCGTTTCACAAACTAATCGACTTTAGAGGATAAAATCTGACACAACGGGAACGTGCCTTCCACTTCTAATAGCGCTTATAATTTATGTATAAAGCAGCATATCCTGTAATGCTGTAATGACTTGAATCACTCGCTGTTAGTATTAGGAACTGGTGGAATAATTAGGTTAATCATCGAAGCTTCACGGTAAGCACATTAAGTGTAACATATGTTTCTACTGATCCTGTTCTTTCTGTTTCATCTACATAAGCTTAGGGACCGTCTTCATGCGCACGGAAACGTTGTTGTTGTCTCTGTTGCAATGGATTCGCTCTCGTTCGTCGGAAGATGGTCCTACTTGCTTGTTAAGCACGCTTCCAATGAACCTTAAAAATAAATCCGGAGCAAAATTTTATTAATGTGTGTTTACAAGAGAAATAGAACTTGCGGTCAATTCTATGTGATGCACTTTTTTATCGTATAATGACAGCCTTTATTTGTAAACTATTAATATGATAAAACTATAACTACAAAAGAGAAGGATGGAGCGGAACTTGACGATCCCAGACGTCAGGACAGACGGAGCCTGCGTTCCCGCGATATCGGGATGTCTTTCCGGCAGAGCTGCCATCGCCTTCGGAATCCTGTTTTGTAGTATATATGTAACGCTGTGGGCTATTTGGCTGGCGCTTTCATATCACCGTTTATTTGGCTTATGACGTTATAAGAAGCCCACTAGCTACGATGAAGCACAGCGGTAACCCTTTATCAATAAATATGACGTTACTCCCGTTTAATTTGAAAAGTCGGAACGTTGGCCGCTCCCCGACCTCACGACTAGGCAAAGGTGACTTGATCTTGTAAAGTTCAAAGATGGTTTGTTGTGTTGCAGGTACAAACGGTTTCGATGTTGGTGCCACATCGCTCGAGAGATGAAGAAATGAAGACCCAAGACAAATTTGTAAGGCAATTAAGAACGTGCTGGTCAGACCAGGAAAACCATAAGGCGGGGGTGTGGGGTTGGGCAAAACTGTACTTGTATTAAATAAAAGAGGGGAAGAGAGACCGTAAATGATTTCCCCTGGACTGCCATAGTATTTGGTATGTGAACCAACTTCCATGTGGGTTATTTTCTCCGTCATTCACACACGTCATTCTCCAATAATAGTGTTATATATGCTGGATGCTGCTATAGAGATGACCACATGCTATAGAGATGTCCTTCCTGGTCACAGGCCGTCCATAAATAAGGTAGATAATTATGTAGCACGCGGTTGAGTAGTTGTGAAAGTGCTCAGCAACGTGCGCGAATGTGTTGATGCGAAAGTACTAGTAGCATGAAAGAACTTTTCAAAAGCGAATCCTCAAATGGTTTGTATTGATTGTTTTTATAGCAAAACAGCCGGAGTGAAGAGTCCTTTTATGTAAGGAATGCAGCAAAAGAATGCAGTAAAATCCAATGAACTTCCAATGTTCCACGTCTTGACGTGCTTTCATATTTCCTTTCAGCAAACCCAGCGGTACGAGGAGTGTACAAGGCTGGTGGCCGGTAAGACTCGTCATCACTGGCGCGTCTGAAGCTCTCAACAGGCTTGGTCCAGGGGAGGAACATGTCACCGTTTTTGAGCGGAGGACAGATGAAACTATGAAACTCCTCTTGCGAAACTCTCCTCCCTAGAGGCATTGAACACTGTTTCCAGTATCAGGGACCACATGTACGATGCATTGTCATCATCATTCCACTCAATGTGTTTACTTAACTGCCCAACCGTGACAGTGAAACAAGAAATTGTTTCAAAGTACGACGAACTCATGGTGAAATGAATATCACTTATCGTTAGCTAGGATTGGTTGGTGCTAACGTAAACAGAAAAGGTAAAATGTCACTACGTTAGTATTTTCTTATATATATTCCAGATTTACCGTAGGAAGGCCTGATAAAACCTGTATGTATATATAAACAGATCAAGATTAAAGATACGTGTTTGAAAGATTAACTAAAACTTCACTGAAATGGTCTCTGTCTTCATTTACGTACAACATTCAATAGTCACCCTGGGAACGAGTGAATATCGCCAGTGATTCCTGCTATCTGATTGGATGTCGTACAATACAGAAGAAAAATGGCGGCTTTTTTATCAGACGACTTTTACAGCAGATAAGCAAATATTTGTCAGGAAACTCAGGATTGCAAGAAATACAGGAAATCTGGTAAGTAGCCTTGGATCTTTGAAGGCTTACAACATGATGTAAAAAATCTCCGGGTTTCGCAGTTTGAAAAGGCACAGCTTAGTGAGCTAGCGTCGACTCGTTCGTTCTTGAAGTTGACCTCATCAATGTCTTCCCACCGCATGTAGGCGCGCATGTAGCTGGTATTTATACTCTTTCTTTCGTGACTTGCCGGCAAAAGTAGCGTTACGGATCCTTTGCAAGGTCAGATATCATACAAGCAATTTGGATTTTTTTGTTCGATTATTTCTTGAAGAAAGTAGATAAATCTTACTAAAATAGTCTTCTTCTGATATGTGACCTTGGGTCACACTTCCGCTAGAAGTCACTCGGTCGTCGTCTCCTTTTTGGCAACAATGAAACGAAAATGCATTGGTGACTATATAACAAGGGACAACACTATAGACAGGATCTTGATTATATCTTAAGAACGCCGGTTCACTATAGACAGAGGCCTTACTCAACCGTATGCGGTATAATCAAGGTAACCTTTGGCTTTGGGCTGGCCGTGGCGACGCAGGTTATATACAACGTATTTCATAAGTCTTCATGAGTCGCCACGGCTAGCTTTGAGTGTGGTTTACAAATAGAGTGATTGCGAAATCGTTTGAACGAGAAAATAATAATGGAAGGAAGATTCATGTAAATTATGAATGTGGTATTTCTGTATCCTCATTGTGTTTAAAACTTTTGCATGTGTGCAGCAACTGAATTGCCAAATCCTTACTGGACGATGACTGCCCAGTTTTTCCCACACAGGAAGATGCTGAAACATTAGGAGCTGTGCACCATTGACTCAGATACCAGTGGACAGGTAAAAAAAAATCCTCTACAAAAGTATACTTTCTGTGATCAAATGATTTAGATTGGAAAACATGTGAAAAGCCCAAAAATATGTAATCATTACCAAAATATTTGTAGTGCATCTTTACAAACTCTTATTGATACCGCTCATAGGAGACACAGACACAGCTACCATCTAGAGTCATATGCAAGTTGTCAGGTTTCAGCCATGATTTCCCTTGGATGGCTCTCTGAGGATGGTCAGGGTGGTCAGCTACACGCTGCAACCAGAAAAGGGAAGGTCCATATTGTCAAGAAACTGCTAAAGGAAGGTAAGAAATTTCTATGAAATTTTTATCTTTCTTGTACACAAAATGTTCCAAGCTTCTGTTGTGTTTGCACCTTATGGGACACTAGTGATGGAGGTTTTGAGCATGGACATCTTGGAGTTGACATGTCAATATATACATGTACTATGAAATGAATCTATCAAATTCCCACAGGAACTCGGGTGGATTATCCCAATTCTAGAGACCAGACTGCACTCTTCTGTGCCTGTTACTTGGGCAAAGAGAAGACTGTGAAGCTTCTTCTGAAGTATGGAGCCAATGCAAATGAGTAAGTGACTGTCCCTATAAATACAAAACATAATGTTACGTAGTACCTAGTCACTACCTACATTACACCATACACAAAAGAAGGGATACTTTTTTTATTACCAGACAGTAGTTATGTATGCCAGCACTGCATTTTTAAAGAATGGCTTTGAAGACATTGATATTCAGTAAGAATTTTCGTTGTTTCCAAAAAAAATGTTTAAAGTAAATAAGAAAAACCAATTCTTTGGCCTGATGTTGTTTTTCCTTAGACGTTCAGACAATGGCAGCACTCCTGTCCACGCGGCTGCCTGGAGCTGCAAGACTGGCATCCTGCTGAGGCTGGTCAGGGCAGGGGGGAACATCAGGCTGCATGACAACGAGGGAAGGACACCAAAGGTAGGGTGTACTTGTAGCAACAGATTCAGGGTTGATGCAAATGACATGGTTTGAAGCCAAACTTTTGGTATTGTGAAAAAATGGGGCATCCCTGTCCTTGGTGCTGAACTTGATATCAAGAGTGTGGTGACGACAACTTTTGTGAGGTTGTTATTTGTCATTTTTTGATCTTACAATAAGCGTGAGTCTTTATTTCTTCAGGATTGGGCACTGGAGAGAGACAAGAAGAAGAATAAGAAGATGTTAATCCTGCTGGACCAGATGTACATGCACGCTGTGGCCCTCAGCAATGGAGAAATCACTGGTGCAGCTGGAGAAACTGTCAAGGTAATGCAATTAATCAGTGATGTTAGTAGTTTGCCAATTTACAGATTTATGGAGTCACAGTTGAGTAGAATGTTAGGAAATACTTTAGGCCTTTCCTGTAGAACAGCTCAAATACTAGTAGATAACCTCTAGTGTACAAAATGGTCATACAATAGTTTTCTGTTTGGTCCACAGGAGAAAAAGTCATCAGCCAGTTCCCTGTTAGCCCTGCATACCTCTATGCCAAGGGGGAAGAAAAGTGTGGAACTTCTTGGATATGGAAGGGTACTAAAAAAACTACAAATTTTGTCAGCTATATCTATTTCACAGTGTTCAGTGCCTGTTGTAACTTGTGTTATTTCCGTCAGCATATTCAGTCTACAATGAATGTTTTTATCATCACTCTTTGAGCCTTCAGACCTAGACTTCCTAATATGTCCTGATTTCTTCTGAACCTGGAGTGAGCACTTTTCCATTTGTTTGAACCTTTGAGCATTTCCTCACTCTTCCTGTGACTGTAGATGTACACTGGGACTGGGAAGAACCAATCAGCAGGCTACATCTCTACCATCCCCATCATTCCTGAGACTCAGCTGTCAAAGGCCGAGGGGGGCACATCAGCCCTCAAGTATGTGACAGGAGGATTCTTCACAATGCAAAAGTAAGAGATACATGGGACATATTTCTGAACAGTAAATGACGGGTAAAATTGTTTTGCTACATACGTAAAAGCTTTCAGTTTGGTTTTTGCCACAACAATAAGTCACAAATATTTCATCATGCAGTGTGGTAAATTTAACAGACGCATTACAGATTCAGATTATTTGATGGAACCATAGAATAGTAGATGCAGATAGATAACATATTTGAATGTTGTATTATGAGGTAAGGTAATGGATTGAGTGCTCTATTTTCCAGAATGAACTGGAACCATAGTAGGGTAACAGTTAAGCAGTTAGAGCAGACAGAAGACAGGGCCAGACTGGATCTTCTGATGGATGAAGTACAAACTTTAGGGTATGTGGTGACCACAGTTATCTATCTAATCAATATTTCCTCTTATATATTAATTAATGTACCACCCTAGTTATCACATTGTGTTGCTGCAAATGACATGGTTTGAAGCCAAACTTTTGGTATTATGAAAAAATGGGGCGTCCCTGTCCTTGGTGCTGAACTTGATATCAGAGTGTGGTCATGACAACTTTTGTGAGGTTATTCATAATTTTTTGAGCCTCTATAGAAAAAGGATACTTTCACAGTACAAATAGACAGTATGCTGATAAATAATGTTATTTGTAACTTAATAATCTCTTTTGAAAAGCTGCTGGTGGTATAGAAAATTCAGTCTAATATAGTATTTGGTTTGTTCCAATCCTCAGCCACTTGCATCACCCGAACCTGCTCCTCCTGATGGCTGTGACCCACAGTGCCCTGCTGGATAACATGATGCTTGTGTTTGAACATGTGGAGTCAACTTCTCTTTTCTACCTGTTACATCAGGAGGTTAGTGTTCGAAATATATCTTTTGCTAACTCATGGTCATGAACCTGTGTTGTCTAAAGTCTTTGCAGGAGGAATTATTACTAGCTTGGTCCCCGCTGAAATACAGGCCAATGATGATGATGATTTATTTATTCATTTATTACATCTTAAGACGACTGGCTTACCCCTACAGCTATTATGATGATTACTAGCTTTTCATTTATTTTTGTTACACATCACACTCATATATTATGTAACTGTCAGCTTTTAACGATTCAAAGCTGTCACAGTATTGAAGTTATCAGTTACCTTACAGCCTGCAGAGGTAAATGTGAATTGTGAATACTATGTGGCTCGGTGAAGAAAATGTCTCTTTGATGAGCTATTCCAGAAAAGAAATGTCACCATGATGCTACAGCTTCCCATCATTTGATAAATATGTGTCATTCATAGTCACTGAGTCCTTTTAAAATCAGTCCCTTTGTTTCTCTCCCCAGAGACTGCTGTTCAAAGAAGAGACGGTGGTCAGCTTTCTCCTGCAGATTTGTGAAGCCCTTATCTACGTCCACAGCCGGGGCATCCTGCACTGCTGTGTCACCTCTCATGCTGCATACATTACCGGTGGGGACAGCTGCAAGCTGGGCAACTTTGAGTACGCTGTGGAAAAGTGAGAATGATATCTGTCACTTTCAACAAGTTCTGCAAAACATTTTGGCAAGTGTTTGGGGTGATGCATTGGGGCAAGTACAGTGGTATTTGCTTTTTCATTACTAATCCGTAGCATGATTGTATGATGTCTTGTCAACACCTATCAGCTACATGTTTCTCACTGATCTAACCATCTTTCTTTCTCCAAGATGTGAGAACCAGGCTCTGCAAAAGAAATCCTTAGTGCTCCAAAATTCCAGGCCTCTGGCAGCTTACAACTGGTTAGCCCCTGAAATCCATGCAGGGAGACCCCCAACCACCATGAGTGACATCTACAGCTTCTGTGCTCTCATATTTGAGATCTATACAGGTTGATATTGATATTCACCATCCATTATATGTACCATTGTTGAAATAATCAATTTTCACTTACCATTATATTTACCATTGTTGAAATAAAACAAAACAATATAGATTTTCAATGTGTTTTTCAATTAAGGTGGAGGAAGGTAAATGTAGGTCAAAGAAAACCTGCACCTGCAAGTCATGATTCAGGCACTCACAAATTGCATCATAAGCAGATTAGCAAAGACAATTTTTCATTTGCTTGCATACTGCTGTGTTCAGCATGATTCCTGTCAGTAGTGCCAGTAATTAGCCATTTAAACTGAAGGATTCTCTCCATAATTTCTGCAGGACAAGTACCCTTTGAGTCATTGGAGGCTCACGACTTCCGCAGACATGTTGCTACCGGTAAGAGGCTGCTTCAGCTGGAGGAAGGCAGTGTACCACTGGGGCTGGACCATCTGGTGACATGTGGCCTGTCTTACAGGGGTGTGGACAGGCTCACACCACTCACATCATACAGGGAACAACTCTGCAGGGAACTAGAGGTAACTCATACCCAGGTTTTTCTTAATCTTGAATGATCAGATATTGCCTATGGAAAGTTCAGATCTATTCCTTTTATATGGTACTGTCAGTGTTCCTACATATGTAAATGATGTAATTGTTGTGATGTAATGATGTAATACACTGCATTTACATTTTGTACATGTATATAATTTCAGCCTGAACTGTTGATCTATGTGAGAGAGACTACTGGTATATATTTACCTTCTCCATATTTCCAACATGACAGGTCCTGCAGCCTGCAAATAAATCACCTGGGCAGGTGTCCAGGTGTACCTACACAGTTGGTGCATCACCAAGCTGCCTTGGTGAGACGACTATGGACACAACACAGGACTCGGTGACTGATCAGGACCTGGTGGCCTCCCTGCCTGACTGTTTGGATGGGAAGGGCAGCCTTTCCTGTGACAGGACTAGCTCAATGAAGCAAAGTCCAAACAGGTAGAGTGTAAAACATGCATCTTAGTTGTTATGTCAGTAGGATGGTTGCTGTGTTTTGTTTGGTTGTTACTTTGTGCACTGTCAACATGTCATTTGATTGAGGTTGACTTTTGTTTTAATAGTTAAAATAACCTGAATGACAGATGCATGATAGGAGCTAAATGCTTTAACTGTAGGAATAATGATAGTAGGGAGTACAGTAACTGCTATTATATCTTAAATAAACGTCATTTTGATCTGTTTTTATGTTCTGTATAGGAGGTCGATACCAAAACAGGGGAGTCTGTCAGCCTGTGACACAAGTGACAAGGAGAACCTTCCAGCCTTCCCATCAAAGTTCCAGACTGTGCTCGACAACGCCTTACATGCTGTCAGCAACATAAGGGAAGACATCACCTTCCAGGAGAGCCCCATTCACTACCTGAGCACTCAGAACAAACAAGGTAAGGCAAAGGGTGTTTCTCTACAAAAAAGGGATTGATAAGGTACATCACCGTACACGCGTTCATTATGAGTCTACTGAGCTTTGATATTTTGATTCCTATGTGCATTTTATATTTGATCAAAGTATTTACTTTAATTTGTGGCTTAGCTGATAACAGTGTTATGTTTCTTCAATAATGGCATTCCTATTACATGTTTAAAATGCAGGTAGATAGGAAATGGTCACTTCATAGATGTTCATAGATTATCCTCTAATAAATTTAAAACAGTGCTTCAAGAGAGGAATGAAACCAGTGGGGCAGACGAAGGTGTGGTCATCTTCAGAAGGGATCACGAACTCAAGATATACAACAACCCAGAGGACATTGAGATATACGACACTCACATGCCTGGAGAACAGCACACCCACTCCACACCTATTGTGTCAAGCAGGCTGCACCAGAAGCTACAATCTCTTTTAAAAGAGAGTCCTCTACAGCCGCATTATGAGCCTAGCACCAGCTCAAGTTCACTGAGTAAACGATGGAGCTTCCTGGCCAGGAAATCCAAGTCTGTTGGGCAGCTCATTCAAACATTTGAAGCCAAAGCAAGAGGGCAGGATACAAAATCAAACAGAGCATCAAAGTCTGATTTAGCTGCACAAGATGCAGATTCTTCCTTGTACAGTGCAGAGAAGGAAGACATGTCAATAAGTGCCAAAGAGCAGAAGCAGATGGAAGCAAGACCAAATCTGAACAGATCTGATGAAAACGGAGGATCCAAATCTCCAAACGTCACAAGTACAGTGCTTGACAAGGATTATAGCAGTAGCAGCATCTCAGAGGCAAACACCACTACTGATTTGCACTGGCAATCAGCAATTGACAGGTCAGCTGCTACAGTGACAGACTACCAAGACATGAGTAAAGCAGATGATTCTGCTGTATCTCTCAGCCTGGACAGGAAGGAGTCCTTCTACATGGAGACTCAGGACCAAGACAGTGTCATAATGTCGAGGGAGGCAGGTTCTTGTGCAGCTCCTGTTGAGGTTCAGTACTGGCCACAGCAAGTAGAGACACAGGAACGCTGCAGCGACACCAATGACAAAGCAGAATGTATGGCCACTGCTAGCACAGTAGAGGCAAGTAATGCACAGGGTGACAGTGAGCTACCAGCAAATCTACTGAGCCAACCAAACTTTCTAGATTGCCGTTTCAAGTCCCTGCAGGAATGCCAGGCTATGGACAAAATGAGCTTCACAACTGACTCCAGTTTCATCAGCAGTGGTACAGAGGACACCAGTGACAGTGAAGATGACAGTGGCAGCTCCACAAGCAAAGAGTCTCTCCAGCTGGACCCAGCGTCTCACGTTCTCAGCAAGGATGGTGGGGACTTGCGTGTTGTACATCACAAATTCTTGCAGTCTCTCCAGGAAAGGTCAGCTTTTGAGGATGACTTGACACAGGTTTCTGCCTTAGAAATGTCAGGGACAAGCCTGGACCAACCAGATAATGAAGCTAAAGGAGACATACCTTCAACTGAAAGTGACCCAATGACAAGAGAGGGTGAAGAGTTGACAACAGAAGGTCAACAACAGTCTGTGCCCATGGAGAGCTTTCATCCAGCAAAAGTACAGGCAGTCCTCACAAGTAGGTCCAGGAATGACAGCATCCTCTCTGAAACAAGCCTGGAAGTTTCCGCCATCACATCCTCAGCCGTGCTCAATCATAGCACATCAATCAGCAACAGTGAGAGCAAGGATGGCAGCATCACGTCTACTTCAAGCCTGGAAGTCTTGTCCTTGACCAAAGCCTTAGAAGAGATGGTTCCCGTAAAATCTCAACTAACCAACATCAGAATGCTGGAGTCCCCAACAGTGAAGGCTGTTGAGATGTCAGAAAGCTCATCAGAAGGAAGTGAAGATGGTTCAGATGACAACTGGATGTTTGGAGATGGGGACGGTCGTGGAGCTGGTCAGAGTAAGCAGATTAGCAATGACACCGAGAATACTGCATCTCCAGAGACAGATAGGAAGATGGAATTCACCAGAGAGGTAGAAGTCTTTGGAAGAGGTGACTGTGGGGAGAGAGGTAATGGAGTAGATGATAGCCAGGATAAAGAGCAAGGTTCACACGAGTGTGGTAGGAAGAAAACAAGAGTGGAGACATATGTTTGAAATAATGTTACATTGCACATACTGCTTGTTTGACTTAAGGGTACAGACGTTTTTGGCTTGGAACCTTTGACAAGTAGTTTTTTGTCAAATGTTTCAATTTCGAGGAAGAGATATTAGTAAATGTTGTCCATGTTTAGTAAGGTAACAATGGTAGATTTGTTTTGATGTATCTGAGGTCATTGTATCTGAAAGACCAGGTAGCAGACTGAGGTCTCAGCTCTATCTTTGTCAGAGTTGTTTTCTAAAGTTACTGTCTAGTTGTTTGATGAAATTGAACTGTTATTCTTGCAAACTCTAGATATGTTGGTAACTTGCTACTTGTGGAAGATACCCAATGTGATGGAAAGTTATGATTGCAACTTCTACTTGATACACTTCAGTTGCCAAATGCTGCTATGAGATTTTTCTTAAAAGTTGACAACAGGTTACTGGTATATTTGATTTTTTTCAATTGATTGTTATTCTGGAGTTTCATGTGTGTACTTTGAACAGCACATTGTTGAATACTGTTAAACTATGGTTTGAATAGTGATTAGGGCATCTGCCAATAAGGTTGATTAACATAAGGCACAACAGTAGTTTTATTACATTTGGAATATACATTTGAAACTGCAATTGTCAAACTGGGAAGAAAGTGTACTACTACATACAGCTTTCTATGATGTCACATTTTAATTCAACAACAGAAAACTGTTTAACAAACCCTGGCAAGACAAGACAAGACTAAATGCATAGAAATTCATATTTCCTGATCAATATGATTCCCATCTTTCATCCATATTAACAATGGAAAAGAATAACATGTAAAGATTGCTGTAGTTGCAGTTCAAGTTGTGCCTCGTTTGCTTGCACTGACTAACTTTTTGTACTCCTCTGAGTAGTAATAGTCAGAATCAACCTTCTGTTCATCGTTAGATAAAGTCACATAAATGTTTCCATCCCTGACTTCTGCCGTGTGTGTTCGTTGCTTCACCCCTTTTGAAGTCCATCTTGTCTTGGGTGGTCTCTGCTTTATTGTGGCAGGGTCTATGGCACGGTACAGGCTCTCACCAGTTGCTAGGGTGATCTTGATCTTGTGCCACGGACAGACAATACAGGCATGGCCTGCTATGTCCTAGAAGGGAAAGTAGAAACCAGTAAAATGCATGAGTGGCAGAACCTTAAGCTAGAAATCTTAAGAGATTATAAAAACACATACTAAAATATGTAATGAAGTTCTAAAACAATTAAAATATGGGTGACGGGTAAATTGAAAGGCTAATCTGGAGTAAAACACACAAAATGGGCTGGTACCATGCACTAGAGCTGTTACACTTTCAAGTCTTTCATTCAGCCCCTGCCACTATTGGTACAGGTGTTTCTGCTCCGTTGCACATATTCAATACATGTAGCTACAATGTGCTTTGGTGTATGCTAAATTGGGGGCATTGTTCAAAAAGATGTTATTACCTTTTCTATAATCCATTAGGACTACCTATTATCAAGTAACTACCACCTTGATAGCATCAACACATGAAAAGTATAGAAGGAATTGAACCTGAAAAAAATAATCAAAGTTTTGATCTTCCATCTTAAACAGAGCAAATCTTTAAAAGCATCAACAGCTCACCTCGATGTCACCATCTTGTAAAGGTCCTCCTGCATCTATGAAGATAAAAGAAATAAAAGATCCCATAATTAATGCATCACTTGTAAATGCTCTGCTGGTTTGGTGCTTAGCAACCAAGGTGATATGTTCCATATGGGACAACCTCTCTAATACAATTGGAAATTTGATATGCCTTCCCTTACACAATATGTACTGGACAAGTACTGATGATGGACCATTGATTGCGGAATTCTCTTACAATGAAGAGTTTTGTGAACATATGTAGGTCATGTAGGAATTGATTACTCTCTGTCCCCATCCCCGTTTTACCTGTATCATGATAATCATGAGGACGTAACTTAGCAACCAGGGGACGCACATACAGGTGTTTCCTATCTTTATACAATGGGCTCTGGTAACTACATATATTGGCTTGCGTTATTTGAAGCGTTACACAGGAATACATACATTTTAAGCTCGATTCCTCACATATTTAGTACAATACCTGCCCTGCTAATAGTATTGGGGTTCAAACTCACGATGGCATATCCTGTCCATGGAGTAGCAGCCGCCCAGGTGGTGGAAGACCACCACGTCCCTGCCGTGCACCTGCCCGCTCCACCTGCCCTCCCTCAGCAGCTGCGCCTCCGTACACACCAGGACAGGTTCCTGGGTTAAGCTGACGGCATCGGGGGAAGACCTAGCAGCTACAGCTCCGTCCATAATTTGCAAGTCAGTCTGGCTATGTCCCTGCACAGAGTAACCTGCTTGAAAACACCAAAGGTCAATTTACCCTGAGAGATAAGACTTCAGACAGATATCAAAGCGCCCCCGACGCTGTGTACATTGTGCAGACGGCTACAAAATGAGCCCAAGTCAGTCGATGTTGAGTCACTGATCTCGAAAGCTTTCGTGCTTGCGGACGCCGGGTTCCAAGTGAACCGAACCTGTGCACACACGTTCATTCACAAGCCACAGCAGGGTTCTGGGGAACCCGGAAGTGGATACATGGGCCATACCACTTTATCAGAAAAAGGGTTACCGTAGTGACATTGGTAAAAGAATACTCTTCATCCCACCGTGGATAAAATCATTTCTTATATCAAAACCAACATGTTAATTTCCTAAGTGAATGATCGGTATTATTGTAGTTGATTGTAGGGCAAATTCCGTCATTGCTTTGACTTAGTGGCAGTTCCAACATACGCCGCTAGGTATCGTTTTTGTATTGTCTTGCTCTTGATTGTTGCACATTATGTAATACTAGTAAATAAAGGTCACAGAATATGCTACTACAACACGTCTGACATGACAACAAATGGTCTCATCCCTATGGGCAAAAATGTCCTCTTAATCGCGGCAAAAACAAATTGCAGTCAGGATCATTATGACCAGTATTACGTTTTCTTGGGATAATTTCGACTGCAAGTGTATGTGGAATGCAATCATTTTTTGAAAGTCAGATGTCTCTGGGACATGTGGGATACCCCAGGTTTTAGCTCTGGAGCCTGAGGCGGCCAATGGATACAGGCATGGAGTCAAATGATACAGGCGGCTAACATAAGTCCCCTTGCCCCACCGAATCTGCTTGGAGATCAGCTCTAGAACACCATGTCTACTTCCAAGGCCCATGAGACCACGCCTCCTGAAAGAGACAAGGTAGTTGATTTGCTGTTCCGTCTAGTTTCTTACCCGATAAACAATTCCTTGAAATTGTCGATCTTGATCATATTACAGCATCTTTACTTGAGCGTAGCTACTTGTTTAACATAAAAAAGTATAAGTCACGTTTTCTGACTGTTGGCAGCCGACGTGGCTTTGAATGACGAGCGACTGCTAGGGAGGGGGGAGGTGAATATACGGAACAGCCAAGTTTCCCGCCCTTCCCAGAAGTTTGACGTTAGTTTGAAGCGGGACCTTGTAGGAGAAGGACGGCAGGGATTTTATGCAGAGGTAAGGCAACTTGTCTTCTCACGTATCCCTACAAAGTTTGGCGATTGAAGTTGATAAAATCAAGGTTTATTTATGGACAACATTTCTAACCGAGAGAAGAACGTCATGGGAAAGTTTCTGACTGTGGGAAAGCGGAGAGGTTCACCCGCGGCACGGGTAGGGTTGGCGGGATTGTCCCGGGACAGAAATCTGATAGTGAACGTTCCCAGAAAATAAATGTGATACGCTTGGGAACTTTCTCGGGTGAACTGAATTATGCTTACATATATGTAGACGTAAGTTGTTACACACAGTTGTTACTAAAATTCAATTGTACGTTCCTGTATTACAAGACATGTAAGGGTAACGTGGGAAGTTTGACTTGTATATTTTGTCGGACTCATGCCATGGTCTATGCTCTCAGTTTCCCTGTTTCTGTCTTTATTTTGTTCAAATGTTTGTACAAGTAAGATGCACCACTACTATAGCAAAATGATCATGGTAAAATTTGCAGACTATTGTAACATCTTTGGGTTATTGTGAAGGATGATTTTTATGAGGAAGATCAACTTGTTGGAATTTTGTCCAAAATGGCGGGTAGTTCTAGAAGTGTGCACCTGATCTGTGCTCCGAGGCCTGGCAAAGTTTGTCACGTGATCAGAAAAAAAAGCAACTTTACTGTAAAAATGTTCATAAAATGTTCATAATATGCTCCTTAGTTGGCAACACAGAGGAATACTACTGTGAAACCCACCATCCAGAAAGGTTGAATAAATCTAAGGATATTTTTCATTTCTATAATGTTCTAGAAAACTTCAAAGAGTTCGGCACATGACTTGTCAGTTGATCTGGGGCCCAGACACAGCCAGGCGCCAGGGAGGGCGTGAGAGGGGCCCCCCTGAGAAATGTGTCAGAACAGCCAGAGATGGAATGTGATATTCCCACTGGTGCTCCACAGCCCAGATCAGGACTCCCTGATTCGTAAGAATTTTCATGGATGTCAAACTTTGTGGACAGAAATGGAAGGAAATATGCAATGGAGTACAGTGGGTGGATCAAAATGGGTGGGCCACAACTCGGGTCCGATGATGGTATATAACAAAGGTCTTGTCACCAGTCTGAATTTGACACACTTTGCTAAGGATTGTTACTTTAACATGAAATGCAATGTGGCCAAGGTAAAAGACTAATATTAATGCTATGCATGTAATTTTTGCAAGCTTTATTTTGAATAAGCTGGTATAAAATGTTTATCCAGGTTGTTCTACGGATACCTGTTGAAGCACGTCGGTAGAAAACAGGACAACAATGGTGAAGAAAAAGAAGGTGAGGGCAACTCATATTATACCCTGCATAAATAGATAAAATGAAAGGAACAATAGACAGCTAAGGTTTTAACTTTAATCTTTTTTTCATTCTAGTGCTTGATTTTCCACAAAAAAAACAAGGAGCTGTTTGTTTCAGATTGTATGCAAATAATCTGATGGTAAATGAAATATCTTTTATCAAATAAATACTGATCATGAAGCCCCATATGTTGGAAAGAACAAACCTGGAACGCTTCACAAAATCAGTATTTGACAAGGCCATTGACCCCAAAATACCTTATCAACAGGATTTTGTTACATGTCTGATCTTGCAGGAAAAATCACAGGCACGTAAGAAGAAAAATAAGGATGGATCATCAGAAATGAATGATACGGTACAGCAACAGTTAGTCAGAAGCAAGAGTAACAGCGGAGAATCATCAGCACAGGGACAGGTAGTAAACTCTACTCCAGAAAGTGGAACTAAGCACAGAGCCATCAAGGCATCCTGCAGCAAAGAACCTGACAAAGGCATTCCACAGGAATCTAAGGAAATTGGTTCAAGAGGCCATGGAATCTCAGAGTGTTCCAGCAGTGGGGAATCAGCAGGGTGGAGAGATGGAACCATGCAGGGCTTAGCACCAGGAACCAAACCTACTGCTCCAAGTGCTTCATCTGGTGTTCAACTCCCAGGGGGATCAGGTACAAGCAGTCATGTCTCTGGTGTCAAGAAAAAGAAGAAGAAAAAGCGATACAGGAGTAGGTCAAGGAAGAGGTCGTTAGAATCATGTGTTGGCTCCAATCATCCTTCAGGAAGTAAGAATTTCCGCAAGACAAAGGGATCAAGTGCCTCGAGACGTAGGTCAATAATACAAATGGAATTTGCCAAGCTGACAGCAAGGGCAATGTTGATGGCCCTTTCCCATTCCCCTTTAACAACTGATGGTGGAAGAAGGAGAGACTTACCAGTCCATAGTCAGACTCCTACAGAGAGAACACAGCCAACGGATGTTAGTTTCAGCACCAAGGAAAGAGCTGCTTTACCACGGACAGTGACAGACAGATCTAAGTATCCTGTGAAGAAGAAGAATATTGATAAGGGGCGCAGAAAGAAGGTTGTTTCATCAGAAAATAAGGAACCAGATCAGTCAGAAAGACCCAGTCATTCTGGAGCATTCAGCACCAAGGACAGGAACGGTGGTTTGGGTAATCATGGAAACAAGCATGTTTATGCTGTCAAGAAGGGAGAGGTTCATGTGTGTGAAAGGAAAAACAGTGGGAAGGATGTCACCAAAGCCTTATGTACACATACAGCCCTTTCTTCTGATGAAACTTCTTCTAGCTCTGAGTCTAGCAGTGAAGAGGAATCTTGTTTGGAAGAGGAACTATCACTTATCAAGTCTTCAATGCAGACAAAGCTGTCAGATGCTGGTGAACAAAAGAAAGTTCTCAAAATGCCTTCTTCGGTAGCAGCATCACACATGAATGGAGAAAACCCATCAGCTAAAGGTAAGCATCCTGCCAATGGAAAACAAGGGAAGGTGAAGAAATCAAAGAAACCTGGTACTGACAAATGTGGTAAGAAGAAACAGTACAAGATAAAAACGAGGTATGTGACACCAAAAGATGTTGCAAGCAATTCAAAGGCCACCAAGAAAACCAGGAAGAAGCTAGAGGCTGATGTCAGCAAAACAGAGTGTCACTCTGGGAAACTTGAGACACCTCAAGAGGGTACAAACATCCACTCTCCTCAAACATTTGGCAATACATACACATCACGCCTTGTCAGTTTGATGGCATTATCAAGGTTAGCCCCGGAAAACGGGACAGTATCTTCAGCCGAGCACAAGAAGAGAAGGAAGAAAACAGCAAATAAGAAAGAGACTACTCTGTTTGGTCCTGGTGGATATAGCTGCCTTGGAATACAAAGCAAAGTACAGGATTCCTCTGCAGGTATCAAGACAGATTCGCCTAAAGTGCATCAGTTAGGAAAGAAGAACAAAGTTAGAGGCAAACAACGTACAACAACTTCCCATACAGGGGATTTAGAGCCATCCAACATTTTGGAGACATTAGCCAATGGGAATCCGAGTTCTATGGAGAGTGAGGAAACAAACAAAGCTACTGATCAAAGTACAGTGGCCGACAGTGCAGCAGTGTCTTCTGTGAGAGAAGGGAAAAGTGGAGGATCATTGCAAAGTGGAGCTTCTAAGAGCAGAGACAAGGAGAAGTATGGTGTATCAAAGAAGAAAATCCCAAAGAAACAAGGAACTAGCAGTAAGAAGAAAGTTGAAGGTGTTGGTAAACAGACTGTTGCAAGTAGCTCTCAAACAGAAACAGAATCCCCTGATAGCTTGAAGTGTACACAAGTCCAGCATCCCAGTATATCTGGTAAAGATGTCCTGAACACCCTTACTAAAGATGAGACAGTCAAACATGCTTCCAGTTCCCCAGTGAACTTTGAGGCAGTCTTCACAGATACAAGGCCTGGAGAAACAGGCAGAATCACTTCAGATGTGCCCAAGTCAAATACTCAAGACACAGGGAAACCTACTTGTAGTTCTGCAGGCACAAAAATGCCACCCTACCATACAGGTACACTGAAACCTCACATTACTGACAGTACAAGAAAGCCCTTTCCAAATGTTGAAGGTACACCTGTCCCTGACAGCACAGGCACAGTTAAGGCCACTCCCAGTAATGCAGTTACAAGCAACATGATGTCAAATGTTACAGCTAAAGAAGACTATTTTGGCATCATTGATACCAACAGGCCTATGTTGAATAGAGACCATGTCTCTCCTGGTCCTACTTGTAGCACTACAGATACAGACAGCAGTATTGTGAGTACCACAGGTAACACTCAACTAATGAACAGCACTGGTACAGATGGACACAGCCAGAGCAGTAAGGATAAACAGAAGTCTGCTCTTGTTACTGCTGGCATTCAGGGCACTGTCTCGGATACAAATAACAGCATTACTGCTGGCACCACAGGAAAAGGTGGCAACTCATTTGATGAGACAGAAAGTGACATTTCTTTAGTAACAGACAAAGATGACTCTTGTATCATCATAACAGATTCACCTGAAAAACAAGAAGAATCATCACCATCTCAGGAGCCAACCACGTCACTTAGTTCTCTTTCCACATGTGTCTCTAGTGATGAATCTTCAGCACCAGGGACAGTAGCCAAGACAAGCAAAAACCCACACTGCGCAAAAGAGCTTTCTGTGCAACTGACCAGACTGGAAGATGAAGTTATGCTGCATCTTGTGAATAAAACAACCAAGACCTATGAGGAGAAAGACATAGCTAAGACGAGAGCTACCCAGGAAATCCAGGATAGAGGCAAACTGGTTGAAGGTGACAAAGCTGGCACTGAGGGAGGAATATTACAGGACAGAAAAACCTCAGGAGAGAAGTGTACCATGGAAGATAACAAGATAGAAAAAGGCACAGTTCCTCAGTTATCACAACAGGAAAGTTGCCATCAATCAGTTACTGTCGGCACAGATGACAGCAGAGGTGGAGTAGACAGACGTACAGTGACCATCAAACCAAGGAGTTTTAGGTCACCAGACAGCAACCAGGAAACCTTCATCAGTACAAGCAATACCATTGAGGAATCCTGTCCACATCTACCACAAAACTCCTGTCCACAGTGTCTGTCCGGATCTGAACAAGAACATGCTGAAGAAAAGTTTAGCAAGTCAGACAAAAGCTGCCCAGAAGCTGCCAACACTAAGCCTACACAAAACAAGAATACCGCTTCTGGAAATGATACACTACCATCTGGTAAGATTGGGGATGTCTCTTATACCCTAGACAAGGCAGGTGTGAAAGAACAGCCAGGCAACATAGACAAGAGCAAAGACAATACTAGTCATGGTATCAACAGTACTTCATCGTGCAAGACTACAGCTGTTGAAGTACAAGATAGCATCAGACAGGGATTGCAGACAGAATATGATATGCTGACCAAAGGTTCAGGAAATCAGCAGGAAAAGCCTTGCCAGAAGAGAGAACGAAGAGCAAACCTGGAGGAAGCGATACAGAGGGTGTGGGAAAAATGTGGAATCAAAAGTCAGACATCAACGGTGACTGGCATTGGCACTATGGAGATACCAGAGGAAGAACCCAGGGAGAGTTTCCACAACAAAGATGAGGCTGATGATGATACCACACCTGATCAAAACTGTTCGGCAACATTCAAACATACTGATGCTGTCATCAGTTCTTCCAAGTCACCAGCTCAGTCAGGAGTTGACCAGAATGGAGTAGAGCATGATTCTAACAGCTTGGTTACTGAAGATTCTTGTGAGATGGTGGATACACAGTGTGTTAGACAGTGTCCAACTGCTACAAATGCCTTTATGGAAACGGATGAATCACGGCCTAGTAGAACAACGCCATTAGAGCAAACAGCAATTGAGACAGAGGATCAAGGCTGCATCCATAGATTGGAGGAGTCGTTGTTCTCAATGCAGAGTCAAGAAAGTGTGGAAATGTTTGCTAACATGTTTGTCAGTGCCATGTATGGAGAAGGGGAACCAGGCCACAAGTCAGCTTTGCCCTGGGAAATGTATACCAGTTCATCAGACTCTGAAGACAGCACAGGGTCAGACATTTCTTCAGTTGAAGAATCCACAGGTTCAGAGGAAAGTGATCAAGAGAATGACTGCAATGTGTGTGACAACTCTGAAGAAGACTCAAGCAAGGAAAATGACCCTATAGCTACAGCGGACTTCCAAACAGCTTCTGACTTTGATGACAATCCCGAAGACACTGTCGTCACTAAAAACTCTGCCTCTTCGTGGGATGCCACTGTTCCCGGCAAAGATAAAAATGTAGAGGCTGAAAATTCAAACCACCATACAGGTCAGCCCAGTAATGTAGTAGCTAGTATCAGTAAAGACTCTTACTCCAACAATGCTAGCCCACATACAAGTCAACCAACGGAGACAAATTACGACCTGGTGCTCAATGCTGAGTCTGACTTGGAAGATGCTGAAAGTGATGGTGAAAGTAGTACTTACAGCTTCATACCTGGTGACCACAGCCAGGGACCTGAAGTACCTGATGATGTAGAGGAGTACCTCGAGTCTGTGGACATCTCCCCAATCATTGGATCAGCGAATGCTGTAGGGGGAATGGTTGACCAGAAGAAGACATGCAGACGGAGCCTGTTTGAGTATAAGGGAGACAATGAAAAAGCTGTTGGTCGTGAGGTCAAGTACAAGGTGGATGTTCAGGAAGACGTGAATGAAGATTTTCATCTGGCTCTGGACACGAGTGCAGAAGATTGGTCCCCACCGATAAAGTCACTTGTTGCTGACTACTCCAGTCCAGGAGACCCGCAGCTGGCAGGTCAACATGAGGAAGCAGGGGAGATGTTCAAGCCTTTCAGTCAAGATGCTGAGGGAGATCAGCTGCTTTCAGCCTACATGTCAGGAATAGAACCCATATTGCAAGATCACTTTGAACCCACTTGTGGAAAAGATGTACCACCCAAACACAATAACCAGGTCTCAGATGATCTCTCCAGAGATGTGGCAATTCAAACAAGTCAAACAACAGACAGGGAATCAATTCAAATACAAAGTCCCCTTGTGAAACAAACAGAGGAGCAAGAGCAGCAACGTCAAGTCATGATTAGGAAAACTCCAGCAGGCAATATCTTACAGTCATCACGCTACACGTCCAGTACACCCTCTGATCAGGGGTCTAAGAAAGCAGCTGGTAAAGGAGGGACACCAAGTGAAGGTAAGAATGAGAATTTGGAGAGGGAGACTGAAAAAGATGGAGTCAGACAAGAGGCTCTGCTGGCTGAACCTCGTCACCCCGATGCTCCTAGCAAGCCAACTACCTCAGCACAAGCTGGAGTGCAGCAGACATCAATCACAGGACTGCAACATGGACAAAGGAAGAGACGGGCTCATCCAGGCCCCAGCTACTCAAGCCCTCAAAAACTTCTCCCATCAAAGAAGAGGCAAGCTAAAGAGGAAGCTATCCAAAAACTTACCACAAAGGGGAGGAAAGAACAAAAAAGTTCTTCAAGCTTCCCCACTACTGTGGAGAGAGCTAAACAAAATGATCACAGTTATTCTAAGACTTCTAAGCCAAAGAAAATAGAGGCTGAAGGATGGTCAGGCGTCCAGAAAAAGCAGCAGACAGTGAAAGATAGCCAAAGAGCACAAAGCCTTCTGATGAATAAGATCCAACAGCTGTCTGGTTCTAGACTAGTTCTGCCTACTTCAACCGCATCATCTCATGCAAAATCAGTTGAAGGTAGGCCAAAAAAGAAGTATCTTGTTGCTATTGAGAAAGGGCCTAACACTCTGCCTTCTGGGAAGAATATGGACAAGAAGATTCTTGAGAAGGGACATGTTGATGCCACACATACGAGGGATGTCCACCAAGCAAAGCAGAGGGCCAAGAAAACTGCAAGAATGTGTGCACCATGTCCGGTGTTGAGGGGAGCCTCAGAAGCACTGGTTGTTGAGGAGACAGATACACTGTCTGCCACACAAGACACTGACACAATGGACACTGTGATTCCTCCAACACAGATAGATGACACAATGAAGAAAAAGTATGTAGTATCCCCGAGAGGTGCGCAAGGAAAAGAGAAGACCTCCGTATCCAAAGCAAGGCAAGAAGGTGATGTAGAGACACAGGACAAGCAGACTACAGAAAATGATACAGCAGTTCAGGGACAGATAGAAGAAATACAGGTGGTCCAGAATCAGGGACCAAATGATGGTGAACACCCAAAAGGAGCAGCTGGAAAAAGGCCCTCCCAGGAGAGTGCAGAGAGAGGAGAAGCTGGCAACAAGAAGAAGGCAAGAGCTGGGACTTCTGAGAAGGTTGAGGTAAGACAAGTTAAACTTTTAGATGTAACCTACAGTTACATGTATGTAGCATGGAAAGTATTTCACCACAATAGCTTGAAAGGAGAATGTGCAGATGTCACTCTAAGACTAGTGATTTGCCTTGTAATTAGCATGAAATCTCTGTGAAACTGACAATTTGTTTGTTACAGCTTGAACTATTTCACATGGAGAATACCAGAGGCATGTACGGCTGGGAGGACAGTCTGAGACAGAGACCGTCACCTGTCAAGAGGTTCCAACCTGAGGCTCCGCCCACTGCTGATGACAAGGGGAAGAAAAGGAAGAAAGACGAACAGGTGCAAGACTCTTATTATATCTATACGTATATTTATTATATCTAAAAGTATGTATTGATGATATAGCACTCTATAACTGTGCAGCACTGTTGTAACTTAGAAATCAGCGTCTACAACAGCAATGTTTGTAACTCAGGAAGATTACATTACAAAGGACTTATTAATAACAAAAAGTACTCTGTCCACTATAGAGTGGTGCTGTAAAGAAAAAGGTCAAGCCACAGATGCAGCCTCTGGTCTTTACAACAATAAGGAACAACCCAACCACTTCTTCAAAGGTATGGTCTTCTGTTGTCAGTTTTTCTGTTGTCAGCTCCCTTACGTCTTGGAGTTTCTTTCCTGTTGTGGGAGGGACTAGCCCTCTGTGCTTCATGTCTCCCCTCAGCATGCTGAGCAGATTGACGGTGTCTCCCACAGTGTCTCCCACAGTGTCTCTCAACTAGAGCCTATACAAAATGACTATAAGGAATTCCTTAATTAATCATTCATTGATCATCAATGAGTAAAAGTTTTTTTTTCCTATATTAGGGAAATCTAGCTGGTCCCAAGGACCCACCTGCTGCATCTGCCAGTACCTCCTCAGCAGCTGTCTCAGCACCTGTTTCTCCAGGTGACATAAGGACCAACAGCTTTCCAGAAAATGGCAGTCCTACAGACAGTGGCCAGGAGGAACAGCTGCCACAGGAGTATAAGGTAGGCAAGATTTTCTTTATGTAGTTACAACAATCTCTCCATCATTTCGTCACTTAGAAGATCACCAAAAAACTGCATTTCTACTAAGATCACAAAACCCACTAATTATGCAGAATGTGGGACTATTCATTATCCCCTGCCTTCAAAGAAGAAGTCGAACCCCATAATAGCTAGCGTAGTAGTAGAAGTTTTTTCCAGACAGTTGTTACCTGTCTCCTGTTACTGTATTGCAATGAGTATTATACTTCATTGTAAAAGCAATTAGCCTTTGGGCATGATTTTGCAAATAAAGTTCACTATTATGTATTTATGTAGTGATAATAGGTATAAAATATCCAATGGTGTCTATACAACAGCAGTGTCTGTAACTCAGGAGGATTATGTTGTTAAGTACTTATCGCCAACAAATGTAAACTAAGATTACAAGTGGTTACAATGTCCTGTGATGTATTTATCTTGTTTGTGTACAGGAGGGGAAGTATGGTATGGGAGAGCTGGTGTTCGGTAAGCTGAAGGGCTACACCTGGTGGCCGGGGAGGGTGGTGTCCTGTGTGGAGACAGGCAGGGACCCTGCACCCGAGGGGTCGTGCTGGGTCAGGTGGTTTGGAGATGGGAAGTTCTCCATTGTAAGTATGCACTATTTGAACCCTTGTTTTACTATGCTGTGCTTAATTGTTTCCAATATGATCCATATTTCCTGCAATGTCTTTCTAATGAAATGAAAACAAAATGGATGGTGCAGGTACTGTTTATCTGGTGTGAGTAATTTTGAATGCTACCTGCACCTATGTGAGGGATATGCAGAAAAGTTTCCAGCAATACAATGACATGCAACGATACAATAATACAGGTGCAGGTGGAAGACAAGCTGGAGCCATTTGGGAAGTTCAGCCAGTTGTACCACGAGAGGACATACAACAGACTACAGACCTACAAACGTGCCATACTGGAGTCTCTACAGGTATGAATATGCAGCGTCTGTTTTGAAAGTTTTCCCTTATCTGATAGAGACACAGCTGTTTGTTGTTATAGGATCTTGACTAGATGCATTTTTTTTTCAAGCTTGACCAACCGGTGCAATGGCCAAGTGGGTAGAGTGCTCGCCTTGCATTCAGTAGGTTGTGACGGAGATGCGCGCTGCCATATGCAACCATGCAATGGTTGCGGGAGGGCTTTAACTAACTAATGACTTGTTGTTTTCAGGTTGCTGCAGATCGTGCCAAGAAGAAGTTCCTGTCCTCACCGGACACTCACAAGAACCAGGACAGGGACAGGACCATGGTGCAGTGGGCCTTACAGGAGTTTCCTCCTGGTGGCCCCGACAGTCTGAAACCTTCAGCAGGTAACAAGCAAGACCTAACAGCTTCAGTAAACATGTTGGAGTCTTTCTTCTTCTTCCCTTTGACGCCCACGATTATGTATGATCATGATCATTCCTGCATGTCAAAGTCAGAGGTCTCAGTCTGCATATTTGCCCTGTTCGTAGTCTGAGTTCTTTGTCCGTATGTCCATGCATAATTTCATTGACATGAAGACCAACCAGCTGCCATGTAGAACTCTGCTAATTTAAGGCCCTGGACACAAAGGTGTCAACTGGTGGCGGCCTGAACTGCAGTCTTTGGTCTACTATACATTTTCAATCCTCATCCACCATTGAGATTCAAGCGTCTTTCCTAACTAAGATCTTGTACTCCCTGGTTTCAGAGGAAGCCAAGCCACCTGATCACCTGGTGCATCAGTGGCTCCAGGCAAGACACCTGAAACAGCTGGAGCAGGTGGCAGCTGCATCATCTGAGGGAGTGTCGTCTGAGGGTCGCAGGAAATCGGTGGACTCAAGACTGGAAAGGGGTGAGTTATGGGTCTGTGGTAGGTGCCACACAGTAGCACCTATTGTCAAAAAGATGCTGTGACTGTCCCTGGATATTTTACTTGCCAAGGTCTACCTTGTTTGACTGACATACAAAATTGTAAAAATCTAACAATTAACTTCAGTTGCCATCATAGCCTAAGTAAGTAAGTCAGTCAAGGCTGTTGCAATATTCTACATGACACAACTATTGTTTCATCAAGTTTAGTGCACTTGTAGATTTCACAATTCTTTTTTTTTTCTGTAGCAAAACTGTTTGAGGATGTGCGGAAGAGGCAGCTGTCTGTAGACCAGTTGTGTCTGGCCTGTGGGAGCCTGGATGTGGAGACACAGCACCCACTGTTCAGGGGAGGGCTGTGTGAGGGCTGTAGGGTAGGCTTTACCCAGTCTTACCACTCAAGCCCTGTACACTGTGCTTAGGATAACTTAGGACTTTTTGCTAGCCTGATGATTTACCTCAGATATTACTTAGAACAAGTATGACTTCTATGCCTAGAGTGATGTAGTGAAACATTGACTACTTAGAATCCACATTATGGCTATCTATATTGCCTCTGTCCATGGTAAATAGAATGATCATTATGATAGTTTCCTGGTGCATTTGTACTACTGTTCTTTGGGAACAGTGTTATGGTACTGATTACATATTTGATGGAAAGTGAAACTGTACCTGTCCTTGGTGCTGATAGGATAGCAAGTTATTATTGTGACTTTCCATCAGTTCATGATTCTGTCATCTGGCATTATATTATATATGTGTAAATCATAACTTTTAATGTTCACCAATGGGTTTTATCCCCAGATTGAGTTTCTGGAGTCATCTTACCAGTTTGATGAGGACGGGTACCAGTCCTACTGCAGCTTGTGTGCAGCTGGGACAGAGGTGCTGATGTGTGGGCAGGACAGCTGCTGCAGGTGTGTGTTCCTGTGTGTGTGCCTGTGTGTAGGTGTGTGCGTGTGTGTGTGTTTATGTGTGTGTGTGTGTGTGTGTGTGTGTGTGTGTGACTGCGCGTATGTGTGTGTGTGTGTGTGTGTGTGTGTGTGTGTGTGTGTGTGCCTTTTGTGTGTATGTGAATGTGTGTGTGTCTGCATCATACAGACACTTGTTACTGTGTTCACACCTGCATGTGACATGTCCTCTGTGTTGTTGTTGTCATTTGATTATGTCACATTATCACCTTACTACTGTTCATTAGGTCCTTCTGCAAAGACTGCCTTGACCTGATTGTTGGACCAGGCACAGCAGACCAGGTAGGCATCCTGTATACATGTACTTGAAAATCTGTAGTTTTGTTTTCCATATAGTTTTGTTTTGTCAAACTTTCCAGCTATGACTGGTTTGGTCAGTTACTGTAAACAACAGAAGTTTTGTGCAGAAAGTGGTATCTGGCACAGGTGTTGAATTACATACACCCAACTATTCATGTCCCTCTACAGGCTGTACTAGAGGACCCGTGGATGTGCTACATGTGCCGGGAGGAGCCCAGACATGGGCTGTTACACAGGCAGCAGGACTGGTCAGCCAGGCTGCAGCAGTTCTTTGCCATGGATGATGTGCAGGACTTTGTAAGTATGGAAGATTTACAGTAAGATTTTGTATGCCTAGAATCTCAAATAAGGTGGGTTATTTTTATGATAATAGATACATCAACTGTTACCATGCTGTAAGAATCAATTGAATTCAAAGCAATGTTTTCTGTATTTAAGGGTGAACCAAAGCTGTACCCCCCTGTCCCAGCTCAGCAGCGACGCCCCATCAGAGTTCTGTCACTCTTTGATGGCATCGGCACAGGTAAGAAGTTCATTTTTTGGTTCCAGCTTTCGTAACTACTGAGCCTTGCATGTATTATTGCTATTTTATTTATTATTTTGATCATAACATTTCCTCATCTTTGTTACTAGTGGTTCAGCTGTATCTAATATTCAATTTAGTAAGTATTGCTACTTCATAAGATCATCTAATCCTAATTTTGTTTCCGTACAATCATCATATCTAAATCCACTAAGTTGCCAATGACAAGAGACTAACTAAGTCCCTTTCCCAGCTCTGCTGGTGCTGAAGGACCTGGGAGTGACTGTGGATATATGTTACGCCTCCGAGATCGACCCTGATGCCATCAAGGTGTCCCAGCTCAGGCACGCCGGGGGGATCCGCCATCTGGGAGACATCCGCAGTATCAGGAACACTGATGTCAGTAGCCTTATACAGGCTTGTCTTTGTACAAAACTGTTTTCTTTGAATTCTGAGAGGATTGATTAAGCAGCCAATTTTCTGTGTTTTTAATAGTCATTTAGTCAATTGCATGTAGCAAGACTTGGTTATTTGAAGGGTTTTTTATAGTCTTTAGAAAGATAACCTCACTAAAAAGATTAGAAGAAATGAGCTCCAGAGGAAATACTTGAGTAACAGAGTGATTTGGAGCCAGCTAATTGTTCTACTGTCTGTGTTCCACAGATACCAAAGCTTGGTCCTTTTGACCTCGTGCTGGGAGGAAGTCCATGTAATGACCTGTCTATCGCTAACCCCAACAGAGCAGGACTGTATGGTGAGTGGGAAAGGTTTCTGGTGTCAATCTGGAAGATAGTTCTATTGTTTGACAACTGTGATAGATGGATGAATGGAATCACCACCTTTCTATCCCTAGTCGGTGACATTGACTGACATATAATAGATTCTGTATCTGTATTGGTATAGCTGGTATAACTGCCCTTCAGCATAACACACCAGCTTTGCAGGCACATGGCGCTGGCTACATTACACTGAATGACTTGTTACATCTAACCCTTAATTGAACATCTAACTCTAAACACAGATGACATATCTGTATATATCTCCAACAAGAATAAAATTGTTACAACCTCTGGTGCTGTCTCTGTTGTCAGATTGATTAAAAATTCACCTTTTGTGTTCTCCCCACACAGCTGGAACTGGAGTGATGTTCTTCCACTTCTACCGCCTGCTGCAGCACGCAGCCCCTGCTCCCGGGGACGAACGCCCGTTCTTCTGGCTGTTTGAGAACGTCGTGGCCATGAAGCACCAGTACAAGCAGGACATCAGTCTGTTTCTGGGGGTAACTCTGAATTATAATACGCTTACACTCTTTTGCAATGTTAAATAGATTATAAAAGGCTTTGTTGTTAATCATCTTGTGATCATCTTAAGATGATGAATCTGTAGATGATAAGGGATTGGCTTGTTCAATTTCTTTCCCAAATTCTGTACACAGTGGTTGTCACATGATGATATGCACTAGATTGCAAGATTATCTGTTGGAAAACCTGCACTAATCTCAGGTTACCAGTGGAAGATTGCTGATGCTTCAATTATGTAAGACGTTTAGAGAGAATAAGTGAGAAATGTTAAGTACTTTCCAAAATACTTTTTCTTCCGGAAGGATTCAGTGTAGAAAGATTCAGTTACTCTAGATACTGTACCAGTACTCCCAGTTGACCAGTAACATGTCTACGATCCCATCCTCAGTGTAACCCGGTGGTGGTGGATGCCAAAGACGTGTCTCCTGCTCATCGCGCTCGCTACTTCTGGGGGAACCTCCCCGGCATGAACAGGTCAGGCCCAATGTTCCATTCTGACTTCAATCATACATAGTATACATAGTAATGTTCAAATAAAGAGGCATTGCCTATAAAAATCTGCTTCAAGTTCATAATCTAGCTATATACACATAGTGTCCAGAGTTTATGGTGAAAGTTTGTGTTAGGTAGGGTTGTACTCCATCCCCTTCCAGTGATTGTCTAGCTTTGACTTCTAAAGACAGTTTTGGACTAGTGTGATATGTCTAGATCGGCACTGTTACAGGATGAATGATGAATGATACTTAATCATTTTAATGATTAAGTTGAATGATACTTAATCATTAATGATTAAGTATCATCCATCTTAAAAGTTGTGGTTGAACAGGCATTATTGGGCTTACAATGATGTTATTCCTTCTAGCCACCTACCAAGCAATGATGATTTTAACCTGACTTTCCTGTTCCCTCACAGGCCTTTGGTGCCCCAGGCCAGTGATAAGCTGGCTTTAGAGCAGTGTCTGGAGAAAGGCTGTGGCCGTGTTGCTCAGGTATGGTGGGGAAATCTTTATGAAAGAAACATGTATTACAATTTTATCCCTACAGGTAAGAGAGATTTAAATGATGGATGGACAACATGTTGACCATCTAGCTTCTGCCAGCATAATAGAAACACCCTTATTAGTGAAATGTTGCACCATTAAATGTCCATCCTTTCTAACCCATAGTCTGGATGTCATATTACCAAGTCATGTCCATACGTAGTACAGTGTATCCTTTGTCAAAAAAACACTGTCATGAGACTTATCTTTTAAATGACTGCACGGTTTATAATTTGAAAATGAACTGAATTTCATTACGTATTTCTCAGGTTAAGAAGGTGCGGACTGTGACCACCACTCTGCACTCTGTGCGTAACCAGGGGAAACAGCAGGCGGCACCTGTACTGATGGAGGGGCAGCCAGACACACTCTGGTGCACCGAGCTGGAACGGTGGGTCCTACCGAAATTGTTTTTGCTATACTTGCCAAGGAAGTTCAAACATTTGTCTTTGCACGTTAGTGCACTGAAGTTGTTTGCTGTGCCCTAATTGTAGATAAAGGGAGCTTTTCTGCCAACTGTTAAACTTCAGACTTCATGTATTGGATTAAATTCTAAATACCATGAAGGTCTCTGTGTTGGACATCACTCTGTGGTTTCGAAGATAACCTACATTGTAAACTGTGAAGTTAAGTTGAAGTGGTCCTGCATAAGAATTGCCCTGGTTACATGTTATAAAACCCCACCTGTGTTTCCCTGCAGCGTGTTTGGGTTCCCCAGCCACTACACGGACGTGTGCAACATGAGTCGCTGCTCCCGTCAGCGGCTGCTGGGCCGAGCCTGGAGCATCCCGGTCATCCGCCACCTGCTGGCTCCTCTCAAAGACTACTTCCAGTGCCAGGACAAGGAGTAGATAGTGATCTTTTGGAAAGGTTAAGTGTGTAGCGTAAGTTTGCAACATAGCAAAAAGAAAATCTGAAAGTATAAGCAGTATAGAAGGACTACTTCCAGACTCAGGACAAGGCATAGATATTGAGGGTTGAGAAAGGTTAAGCGTGTAGCGTGAGTTTGCAAAAGAGCAAAAAGAAAACCTGAGAGTATGAGCAGTATAGAAGGACTACTTCTAGTGTCAGGACAAGGAGTAGATATTCATGGTTGGGAAAAGTTAAGTTTTGCCTAGAGAGCAGCAAGTTGGCAAAAATCTCAGCAAAAAGAAAAGCTTACAGTTTATGAGCAGTATAGATTACTGAAGATTTGTCAATCATGTCAACCAAGTCAAAATTACTAGTACAGAAGTGTTGATAATTATTATTTGATTGTTATTATTTCATGATGATCTGGGTAACATTTGTTCTTATAGTCATTGATATTATACAGAATTTATTTTGTAAGTTGTGCTTAGATTCATCTTAACTAGAATAACAGCTTTATATTGTAGTGTGAATTGTCATCAAATTGTTTTAAATTTGTTATTCGTCATAAGGCAGTTACAGATCTGTTACAAAAGCTACATCTTTGCTGCAATACTTAAGTTGCAGGTGAGGTGTGATAGGTTATAGGTTAAAGCATTTCTGGTTATTTGTTGTCCAGTGTTTTTTCATGGTCATATACACCAAGTTATTTATGTTCTTACAGTATTTTTCTAGGTTGCTGTGTTTAAGCAGTTTGATTTCCTCCTTGAGGTTTTCAGTGTTGACATTTTGCATTTAGTTCTTGTTCTATAAAGTGTTCTATTACAACAAGAAACAAGTACCTGAAATTATAATGGAGCTATGCTCAATTTGATATTCTTATTCTGGAAGCAGGGTGAACTGATGTGTGATGTCATTGTGCAATCTGGGTTCCTCTAAACTAAGAAACAGTACCTACCAGGTATTTGTCAACTTCACAATGCACAACTGACTACACATTCTAAATTTTGACCCAATGAGTCAGTCTGAATACAATCACTGAAGTTACACAGAGTGTGACACAACAGCTTTCATTTCAATTTCAGGTCCCCAAAGTTACTTTCCTATTTGTCAAGTAAGCTTGCTGTGGCATAAGATGTATGAGTCATTGCATCAATTAAGACATCCATGAATGATGTATAGTGCAGTGCCTCTGCTGCACAGGACAAGAGAGCAAAAACAAAAGCTAGTCATGAAGTCTTCAGCACCACAGATGCCATATATCATACTTTATTGTATCAATGGTAAAGGTAAGCTTGCTCAATATCCTGCACTTAATATTCAGTTCAGCTCTTGACAAGTTCATGTTTTTCATACAAAGAAACAGACTTTTCAGTAATAAACTACATTTCTTTACACTCAATAAGCTGTTTCCTACTTTTTTAGATGCATTTTATATAACCATAGCCACATTTAATTGAAAAGAAATTGGACACAACATGATGTTTTTTTACATAAATGCTACTACAGTAATAACTATTGTTTTTTACACTAAGCAACACTGCTAAATGAATTTTAGATGACAATTACTACCATCCTCAACAAGCAACACCCAAAAAAAACCTCATAGACTGGCCTTCTACCTATGTTGCTATCAGTTACGTCGCATACTGATGATGTAGACCCTGTCAAACAATAGTATAAAAGCCTGGAAACATTCTTAATTTCATAGTTCCTGTTACCTTATGAACCTGTTCTGTGTTTTTGGCCCTCATTTTGTGGCTTATATATTTTTGGGCTTTTCTGAAGAACAGCTAAGGTTGACAGGGCTATACAGTTTACATGTAGGTAAGATGCTGGGTGTAAAGTTAATACAATGTCACACTGGGAGGTACCAAAGGTTTTGTGTACATCATCTATCCCTAACCTTAAGCATTTTATGAGTGTCAACCACATTTGTAATGTTGACCACTTATAAACTCAATGTGGTACAAACATTCCTCACCCAACAGATTTTGCCCCATGACTGGAGACCCTATCAGGATCTGGATGCAGAGCAATGATTTATTTCAACAACACCTTATCAATTGGTAGTGGCCAGCTCTGCAGAAAAACCTTTAACTTGTATTCCCCATAGTCATGTACTATTCTAGAGACATTATTTCCCTCTCTACATAAAACATAATGCTATCCAAAGTTTGCAGTTGAAAGCCATACATGTACTTGTATCTCAAATGCAGCAAAATCTTTTGATATCATACTCAAAATAAGCTTAAAAACATTGTTTCCTTCCTATACATATCAAGTTCATGTAGATTTAATCCATGATATAAGTTATCCTTGTTAAGGAGATACATGTACATGTAAGGTGTGTAGATTGGTGATGTTCACTTTGTGTGGACAGCAGCAGCTTTGAATTTCATCAGCTGGAAAAAAAGATCCCAACATTGTAACATCTTTTACAAATGAAATATGGTTTTCAAGAGATAAATTACAGTTTTTGCAGATTTAGGAAAAACACTTGAAGGGCACTCACCTCATTCTCCACAACTTTTTTCTTACTCAAGGCCTGGTGTGCTCTATCCTGTAAAATGCAAAAACCATGCATTAAAATCCTGGTATGAAGTTAAAGCTTAGGTCAAAACTCAATGAACATCCAGTTTCAGACACTGCTTGAGAGACAATGAAAATATTTCGCCTGTAGTTGGAAGTTTAGGGCAGAGTGTAACTAAATGCTAGCTTTGAAGGGAATCAGATTAAAACAATGAAGGCTGCTGGAACCTACCTTTTTGCCTTGCTTTGTCCACTGCACAGCCTCTGCATGGTAGCTGGTCAGACTGGCTTCCAGCTGCCTGATGTAGGCTGTAAGATGCATATATACAAAGGAATAAATTTCTGTACAGCAATACCATTGCTGAATTCTAATATATACAGCATGGGGGTTAGGTGTGGTCAACCTCATAAAATATGACTGTCAAGTCGGTAGCAAAGGAATGAATAGTCAAATGTGAATATTTTGGCGAAAGACAACATCACCTAATTAGCTGCCGACCTCTGACCTCGCGTGACCCAGAGGTCATCTTTGAGATCAGAGCCGATGGCACTGACAGCACGGCTCCGTAAAACTGCCGGTAACTGTAACTCTACAACCCTTAAAAGTTTCTGCAACGCTTGGAATTTTCTCCCTACGCCATGTAAAATATGACTGTACATGGGGGAACAAAGCTGATACTTTGTGCACTGGTAGGGCATGTTAACTTCAAAGTGAGCTTCCTCAGGCTTTAAAACTACACTACAACACTATAGAGTGGGCTGGGTGTACCTTTCTTCACAGAAGGCCCTCCTGTTGCCAGCTGGTTCTGTACATGTATTATCTGCTGTCCCATCTCCTGGTACACCTGGATGCTCCTCTCTGGAACCAACCTGCCCTTGGACTTCACTGCTTGGATCTGGGACACAATATCAACAATCTCACATTCTCATGAATTCAATACAGATGGATGTGTTTCAAAGCAGCAAAGAAATGACGGGTAGCTGAAGATGGTGGATGCCTTGTGAAAGCTTCTCTCTCTACGCTTTACAGAACTAAAGTCATGCGTAACAGTTTAATCCTTTAAGTTAGTTTTGATAATACTCTGCCTATCTATAAATATATCCGACTGACCAACTATGCAGCCAACAATAAAAGCCATTGTACCACAATTGAAAACAGTGAAAAGTTAACACATTAAAGAATTGACTCACCTGTCTCTCCAGGAGTTTCTGTTCAAACTTCAGGACCTCCAGACTGGGCAGGTTGGGACTGAAAGAGACAAATTCATGGTACAGAAAATGGCATAGTGGCATAATACTAGTATCTCATTGGTGGTATATGAGTACATTGTACTACTATTATCACTGGTAGGAGCTTGGAGGATGTTTTGTGATGTTTTACAAAATTACTTAATTACTTAAAGGCAGAATTGAAGGTACATGCATCATTACTCATCTAACAACATTTCTTCCTCATGATTCCATTGAAACAACTGAAGCACATGTTTGTCAGTATCAGTATTGCACAACACAGGATAAGGCCACCCCAATTTAATTTCTTGGTTAACGGATTCGCCGCTTCATTTTTTTCTGATTTGTAAATAAAAATAAAAATTCAGAATCAACTGCAAAATGCTCATATTTTAACCTGAACAGTTGAAAACAGTCCTTTTCTTACTACTTGTTATAGTCATTCCATCTTTCAATGCAGTAGTATCATTAAAAGTTCAAAATTCATTGTTTAAATTTTGAACCAGCCTGGTGTGTTGACTTCGTGGCTCCTATCGTACCATTTTGGGCCATAATAGGATCCTATGCCTGTTTTTATTTTTATTTTTTTTCCGCCCGCCCGCTCCATTATTTTTCTAGAAAAATCCGTTAACCAAGAAATTAAATTGGTGTGGCCTAAAGAAGAATAAGACAGAAATATAATCTCTGCAATTTTATTTTTTAACATTCAAAAGTTTGCAATCTCATCATGTCACTCCAATCATGGCTTCACAATGATTTTCACATTCTCATCAAAGGTAAGATATTACATGTATGAATGCTAGTTTGGCCATGTTGGTTAAGCTTTGTGGCTTTGGTTACTAGTATAATTCATTTCTCGTTGATAATCTTTTTAATATAGCGAGGCACTTGAATGAAATGGGATTGCACTTTATATGGACCAGTGTACTGGCAAACCACACACACAAAGAGCATATTCAGAGAACACGTCACTTTCTACATATGGGAGAAAATATCTACAGTCAAGTACTACATATACAAAATAAACAAAACAATAATATGAAATATTTCCAGTTCAATGACTAATACACATTCTGGGAAAGTTATACATTGAACAATACTTGTTGCAGAATATTAATAATTTCAGTCCCTGATGTTATACATGCATGGGGTAGTAACCATTAATATGTGTACATGCAATATATTTCCACATCAACATTATTCAGAGTTTTTACAAACATCTCTTAGCCTTATATCATTACTACTGCTAGTAAGATACAATGTACATTAGAATAAGACTATAGCAATGCATATTGTATCTGGTTTAGTACAAATCCCAAAACTGTTCTGCATCAATCTCATGCATTTTTCTTTTCAAATAATTTACAATCACAGATCACTGTAAAATATCTGCAAGGCAGTCTAACAACAGTACACACAATAGATAATCTGGTTAACTAATGTTGGGATGCAACAGAATCTTCACAGTTCTGCTGAGTGTCTGCTCCCCATCATACAACCGAGCACATCTTTGAGCGAACGCTGCAACAACAGATACACCTGCCTGGGTTCCTACACCAACATGGGCGGTGGGAGGGAGGGTGCAGACAGAACAGAGAAGGATATCACTGCATACAGGCTCAGTCTATTCTACTACAGCACAGACGGAGTGGCAGGACAGCCCAGAGTTAGTGCAAAATAAGTGCTGCACACAGTTAACCTACATGCGGAAGACCCATGTAGCAAGGGCTTTGCAACAGCTTCCTCCAAGTTATGTGGCAAGTTCTTACCCTAAACAAGTTATTAGAAGTACATTTGGGTATATGGCAGAGGAAAATTCAATGACTGGCTTTTGGTCCAGCTAATTTGTTCTTGAGGACCCAGATCAATCAATTGTCTAGAGACGTCCAGAACTGATGTCGGAACAAACAAGATGTTTTACTACGGTACTGTTAGGAAGCAGCACCTCAACTTACATGCATATGTTGTTGAGAAACAACATGGCAACCTCTTAAAACCAAAACTTGGAGGAAGCAGGCAGCTGAAGCTTACGTCCTATCATTGCTACACACATACATGTAGGACACAGCGAGGTCAGATGCACACTAAAACAACAGGTCTGACTGTGCTTACCCGCTCTGTCCTGAAGACTGGGGGGAGGTCGCAGCACCACCTCCATCCTGGAAGAAAAACATCCTGGTCATCTCTCACAGCCAGCATACAACTTAAGAAAGTTCTCAACGCTGTTTATGTTACTACATATGCATGTACATGTAGTATGTCATACAGCATTGTTTTCTGCATACCTCAATTTCAATGTTCAGCAACCATACAGGATGTAGATTATGACAGTGTTGCAATAGAACAACAAGCTATGGAAGTACCTATTGTCTGAAATTGCTTTACCCATGAATTTACTCACTCACTCACTCACTCACTCACTCACTCACTCACTCACGCATTCACTCACTCACTCACTCACACACTCACGCATTCACTCACTCACTCACTCACTCACTCACTCACTCACTCACTCACTCACTCACTCACTCTCACTCACTCACTCAGTCAGTCCTGAACACCACTAAAGATGTATAAAAACACAAGACAGTTGATGCAAGAGCATTTGTGGTGCAGTGGTACACCTTTACCCATATTCCACCATGTAATAATTGCTCATCTGGTAATGCTTATGTCAATGCCAATGTCAAGCAAGATACTAATTTCAAACAGATATTTGACAGTAAGAAAGAGACAGTATGAATGAGACAGAAAAGATGGGTTTGACAATGGCGATGGTCTTTGATTATGATAATCTTTAACCAGTAACATTTTTCTACTTGATCAGTGCAATTTTTATACCGTAAACAGTCTAATTTTATGTTTATCTGACACAGTTGTTTGGAGCGCACATTCTGAAAAACCCTTGTTCTAAATATGATATTTGGATACACACACATCTTTGGTTGTGTAAAGTAACACTATCATGAAAATCGGGAAAAAACAGGCACATGGTTCATTAGAACTCCATAGTTATGGAAGTATCAGTGTTAAAATCTACCACTTTGCATCAAAGACTAATTCTGTCAGCAACTCTTTTGCACTTCGTTTGTCTACTGCTCAAACAACTGTCAACAAATCTGCATACAGGATGATTGTAGTACATTAATGCTCAGTAACACTAAGTACATGTAATTTTTTTGCCAGCACCAGCATATGATACATGTTCTTGTCTAACACATGACTTCAGCAAATCACGCAGTATCCCGGTTCCTCAGGTTTGGGCTCTGCCTTCTGTGGACTGTCATGTTTTGGGACATACTGATGGGGAGAATGGAGAAAAGAGGGAGAAAAGAGGAATAAAGAGGAGGGTCATGATACTGGAAATGAGAGAGAGAAGGAAAAGGGGGAAAAGAGAACACATAACTTGATGTCACATTAATAACTTGCTATGAAACTGATGAGACAATTACACCATCTGGGACCTACATATAAGCTTAACATTATTTCAACATACGTACAGTTATTTGTGATTAATCAGATGGACCATGTAGAAGTCACATGTTTGTCTGCATGTTTGTCCAGTTGGATTTTTTTTACACTAGCATACCAAGTATTATATTTTCAGAAAGTATTCTGTTAGTTAATATCATTCCATGGAACAGAACAACACAAAGATTTATGGAATGTTAAGCAAATAAAGCAACACATTTCTTTTGTTAGGGTTTTAGTATTGTTAAATATTCTCAACTGAGACCACCTGTACAGAACTAAGACCAGAGGATTTTCTCACCTGTCGGTGTTTGACAGAGTCGATGACGAGCCACTTCTCCTGCACATGCTGCACCTGTTTCCCTGTCAGGGGTTCCCTCTGTCTCACCTTCACCTCCAGCTTCCCTCCACACGTCTTACGACCATCCTTCAGCTGTGATAGGAGAGAACAGGACATGATTGTTGGTCAGAAGTAAAAGAAGTACATTAAGTCGGCAGGAATTGACAAAAACCACATGGAAAAAGCCATGATAGATGTCATGATAGACAGAAAGATGTGAGCTCAAGTTTATGCAACTTTTATACCATACGGAGTTATAAGTTGAAAATTAGCTGACAATAACGAGGGTATCTGCAAGAAGTGATACTCAGATGCTGTAGCCCCTATAAAGAGAACATAAGAGACTACAATCACAACCATTCCTTTCTATCAGGTCTGTACATTTTGTTAAGTTTTAGAGAGACATATACTCACATCAATGATTTCATGAACCTCTGCCTTGTTCTCCAGATTTTCCAACTTCAGCTGTGCTTCTCCCATGGATTTGTCACTCCTCAGGAACCCCCTAAGGAGGATGGAAGAATTAAAGGCCACTAGTCAAACATCCAGTGTTCTGATGGTGACTGCCATTCTTTACAGAAACGTGTTATTAGCTTGAGTTCCACAAAATTATGTTGACACACAGTTCAGATCCAGTATACTTACTAAAACCACACAGTTTGTACAGTGGGTGAAGTGATTTCACATGGTGTAGCACTAGTACCAAGGACAGTAATCAATAAAAGATCTTGTCAAATTCTTTAAAGGACAGGAATTTCTGTCAATACAGAGAATGTTAAATAAAGGCATCAACTACGTACTACGTATACACACTGAGAGACACTGAAAACTCAGAACATCCCACCTTTCATAGAAGACCTCAAATTTGATGGCCTTTCTCTTGACAGTCCCCAGCCAGGACCTGGCCTTCCTGTCTATCCTGAACTTCTCTGTGTGCTTATACTCTGGAAACAATCATCAACAACAAGTCGTGATGATGTGCTACTACGTCATGTTAGAATTTGAAATAGAAAGACCTGAAGTGACCATGTGTGGTTTTATTAATACATTGTATAGTTGGCTCTATCATAGAAGTGTTGTCAACAGAAATTCCAAGGGATATTAGTCATAGTTGCAGTACACAAAAATGTATAAAAGTGTAAACTAAAGGATACCTGGATTGGCATCTCCCTTAAACGTAGATGTAGAGCTCTCTTGAGGTTTATCCTGTTGAAAAAAAAGAATGTCCACTCAACAAAAACTTTATGCTACAAAAATTTTCAATTGATACTGTATTTTACCATATCCTCCTAGTAGAGTCCTAGTACCACAATTCAGAAACAATTGGCTCTACTTAGAATTTCATCCTTATGAAAAATGAATGTTTCTTTTTCTCAGAGAAATTTACTCACATGGGGGTAAGGCAACTCAAACTTGACGTATGTGTACAGGTCCTTGGGTTCAGAGATTCCTGATGGCAGGGGGTAGGCCACACCCCTGAGGACGGACACCTCAAGGTCACTGTCAAGCAGCTCCGTGTTAATCCTGAGATAACAATCGTGGTGTTAATGGAGACCAAATGATAACAACATGCTAATGTAATACAACGACAACTGCCTTGTGTAGTATGAGGCAATGTACAAAGATTGACTATAGCATAGTGTCACAAATCTGAAGGACAAGAAGGATAGCAGCACATGTGTGCAACTTCAGGTCTCAAAGACTGAAGCAATTATAATTCATATTGCAAAATTCATACAAAGAATCAATGGTTTGTGTTGTCGTCATCAATATGACATACATCAAGACTGCCTGAATACCTCTCAAGCATGAACTATTGGTAGGTTACCTCTACTTGAGATATAAAAGCTGCTTACTTGACAAGTCTGAAGGTCCTAGTCTCGTAGTGGAACCTGGGCGGGGGGTCGCCGTGGTTGTGAGCGTTCTTCACAGTGTCCAGGTCCTGTCTGGACGCCTGGCCCATCCTCTCCAGTCTGGAGGAAAAATGGGCATTTAATGATGCTGTCACCTAAAGTTGGCTCCATCTGCACCTGAAGTCTGTATCTTTGCCTACCTGCCTACATGCACAGGCCAGGTACTGCCCCCTTTAAGTATTCAAAAACAGAACAATCTTAATGGTCCTATTTTTCAAAAGTAAGGAAACCTGGGAATGACATTTGATTATGAATACGAGGCATTCCACATCCATTCACATTTAATTCTACATATATTTCGTAATCCCCTCTAAGGGAGGGAAATGTACAGTATGCCTATAATTTGAGCACAACACATGGCAGGAAAAATTACAATGAATTTGAAGTACAAGGTCTAAATCTGTATCTATTTGTCTTCCAGAAACAATGTGTAGTCTGACTACTGCCCAGAACAGATTATAGCTCTGATAATTTGACTTCAGTCTTCAAAGCAAGTGATCAGCAGTCAGCGAGTGCCTTACTTGGTGGCCTCCTGTAGATCTCCCAGGTGGGTGTACTGCTCTGAGCTGGTCTTGCAGGTCTCGATCTGTTTCTTCAGGGTGTGCGCAAGTCGGGCATACATCTCCTCAGAGTCTCCGATCTTAGACGGGTCCGCTTCTTCTGCTGAATCCAGGAACTCATCAGTATCCAGAGGTTCAGAGGGCAGGGATGGGATCTACAGGGACAGGAATACAATTAATAATGGATACTTGGAACATGATCAAAAGGCATTGCTAAAAGTATTAATAATTGCATTATTCATATATATTCAAGAGGTTTAGGCATTCAAGCCCTGGCTGGGTTATACCAAGGGTTTTAATGATGGACATACTGCAAACTCTGCTTAGCACTACCAGTGCTACCGTAAGTCTTGTACAACTGTGCCAAAGGCAAGTCCCTGATACTCCAAAAGATTTGGGAGGGGTTTTAACTTTACATGTATCTAGAAAGAATTACAGAGGTGTGGTCCAAATTCTCCAGATGGGGCAGTCATAAAAGCCACAAGATTGGGAATCTAAAATGTCCTTCCGTGCTGTCACCACAGTAAAATGTAGGGGTTCAGTATGACAGATTCCTACAGTGTGCATTTCTTACCTTAGTCAAGTCAACAGGAAGCCCACTCTGAGCAGCTTCAATCATGGGATCAAAGCCCTGTGAAAGGAAAAGAAAAAAATAACTTGAGCAAATTAAGACAATCTTCTTTTCAATGGATAGGGAATTCTAAAAGTTGTCCTTCCATACCTCACTTGAATATAATCAACATGATATCAATGGTCATACAAACCTCTTTCTCTCATAAATACAAAACAATCCAATCAAGAGATTTTCACCTTGGCTTGTCTTAACAACATTTTGGCATGCTCCATGTCTCCCTCAGTCTTGGCTCTCAGGGCTGCCATCTTGAACTGTTTCTGTTTTTCCTGGAGAAACTCTAACTGTTGTTGAGCTGAAGTAGAAAAATCCAGGACATTTTTTTCATTGCATTGAAAGTTTAAAATGTTTTGAATCATCAACTCAAAGCTGGTACTGTATTTGCAATGTCACTATCCTTTAATAAGCCCTCAAACATTGTTTACATTAAGCAATCCCAGCTTACCTCTAGACTTTACCCCACTAGGTGATTTCTTTACAGGTTGTTTAGGTGCAGGCTGTGGTGACTTTGATCTTGACCTCCCAGGGGGCTGTGGTGACTTTGACCTTGACCTTTGACCTGCAGCACCACTGAAAATATGATATTTGTGTCAAAATTATTACTGTATCTTTCCTTAGAAATGAACCAACATCACAGTGATGTACACAGTGACTGTCAGGATTAAACAAAATTTGTAAACAAAGTTGGTACATGACAAATTAATGTTATTTGTGATATTCAATCATACCTAATGGTTTTGAGTCTGTGAAAAATAAAGTAGCAACAATGGGAATGAGAATATAACCTGTAATGTTCACCTGAGTACATAATAGTCTAGTAGTGTCAGTCAGGACTGTATTCCAAAGCCTTGCTGCAACCACTTACTACCCAGGGTCTTATACAGAAAGAGAAGCTGTAAAATGCTGCACAGTTGGGAGGAAGTGTTGTGCATACACAGCCAAGCTCACACTGCAGTTGGTAGGCATAATTTCATGAAACAAAAGCATCATAAAGATGTAAAAAGCATTAGATAGCTAGCTGACAACCAGTGACCAAGTATAACAATGTAGCCACACTGTTATATTGTACAGGACCATGTCTGGTGTTCTGACATCTCTGTTCCACACCTGTCATCGGGAGGACTGCCACGTGGCACAGGTTCAGGACTAATGCCAGGCAAGGTTAGGACCTCGTCACTGTCCCCTCCTAACTCTAGATCAGCACTGCAAATACATGGACCATGTGTGAAAGTGCACAATTTCACATGTGCAGTTACTCACACATTGTAGAAACCATGGGCAGACAAGCAAAAGTGTATACAGTATCACAAAAAGTAGCCATAAGAGAAAAAGAGCAGGACCAAAACAGAAAATCAGCAGACTATTCTGAGGGGAAAGACTTTACCACACAGGCTTGTCAGATGGGGCACTTTCATTGCCTCTATTTCCTCCATCCTGTACTGAAACACTATCAACACAGTATTGAGAATTAAGCAGAAGAATACTACCGTATCTGAATAGCCACAAATACAGACACAAGCAAAACACTTGTGAATGACAATTTGAGAAAAGCAGAATGGACCAGATGCTGGAGAGGGAGATTACCCTGGTTGGCCGGGTGCTTGACCCCCAATGGTATCTCCATTAAAGGCTGGTGGGATTGCTTCATCCATTATCTTGCTATATTCTGGAGATAGAGCTGACTGCTTCACATCTGCTTCAAATGTGACTTTCTTAGGAGTTGTTGGAGTCTTTCTCTTCTCAGTGTCCTCTGTTAGTGGAACCACTTCAGTTTTAAAAGTTCCATGCTCTTCATGTGAGGTAGGACTCACCACAGCAACAGGTTTTTGTTCTACTCCATAAAATGGCTCCTCATTTGCATTTACATCACCAGCTACTGCTTCTTTCACCTCAGTACCAGAGACTGGTGTTTCTTTAATATCTGTTATAGGTGTCTTTACAAAAACAGGTGTCTCCTTTACCTCACTTGTGTGTGCCTTTTTGATCACAGGGACAGGAATTTTAGTAACAGGTGCCTCTTTCACTTCAGGGGCAGAAGTCTCTTTTCTCTTAATTACAGGTGTCTCATTCACAGGTGCTTTCTTCAGCACAGGCACAGGTATCTTAGTGACAGGTGCCTCTTTTACTTTGGTGACAGGTACCTTAGCTGCCTCAGTGCCTGGTGTCTCCTTAGCTACAGTTTCAGGTAACTTTTTAATCTCAGTGACTGGAGTCTCCTTTATCTCTGCAAGAGGTGCCCCTTTTAACACAGGTGCCTCCATGGTCACAGGTGTCTCCACCTTAGGGACAGCAATCTCTTTAGGCTCAGCCAGAGCCTTAGCCAAAGGCATCTTATCAAGAGCAGGTGTCTCACTTGCTGGTGTCCCTTTTATTTCTGTGACAGGTATTTCTCTGACGTTGGTCACAGGTGTCTCTTTAGCTGGCATCTCTACCAGGGCAATGTCTTTTGTCTCAGGGACAGGTAGGTCTTTTGACTCAGGGACAAGTGCTTCTAAAACAAGTGCATCAGGAACAGGTATCCCTTTTACCTCAGGGACAGGTAAGTCATTTGCTCCAGGAACAGGTGCTTTACGAACAGGTGCTTCAGGGACAGGTGCTTCAGGAACAGGTATCCCTTTTGCCCCAGGAACAGGTGCTTCAGGAACAGGTGCTTCAGGGACAGGTGCTGCAAGAACAGGTGCTGCAGGAACAAGTACCCCTTTTGCCTCTGGAACAGGGAAGTTTTTTGCTCCAGGAACAGGTGCTTTATGAACAAGTGCTTCAGGAACAGGTGCTTTAGGGACAGGCATGTCTTTTGCTTCAGGAACAGGTAGGTCCTTTGTCTCAGGGACAGGTGCCCCAGGAACAGGTGCTTCAGGAGCAGGTGCTTCAAGGACAGATGGGTATTTTTTCTCAGGGACAGTTGCTTCAGGGACAGGTACTTCAATAACAGGTGCTTCAGGATTAGGTGCTTCAGGAACAGATATCCCTTTTGCCTCAGGAACAGGTAAGTCTTTTGCTTCAGGAACAAGTGCTTCAGGGACAGGTGCTCCAGGAACAGGTGCTTCAGGAACAGGTGCTTCAGGTAGGTCTTTTGTCTCAGGAATAGGTGCTTCAGGGACAGGTGCTTCAAGGACAGGTGCTTTAGGAACATGTGCTTCAGGAACAGGTGCTTCAGGAACAGGTGCTTCAGGAACAGGTAGGTCTTTTGCTTCAGGCAGAGGTACCTGTTTTGTCTCAGTAGCAGGTGCTTCGGGGACAGGTGCTTTAGGAACCGTTATCCCTTTTACCTCAGGGACAGATACCTCTTTTGCCTCAGGAACAGGTGCTTCAGGGACAGGTAAGTCTTTGGCTTCAGGGAAAAGTTTCTCTTTTACCTCAGCCAAAGGTGCCTCTTCTAAGTCAGGGGCAAGTGCCTCTTTGACTTCAGTGACAAGTGTCTCTTTGACTTCAGTGATAGGTACTGGATTAACCCCAGGGACAGGTGCCACTTTTGTTTCAGTACTGAGTGTATCTCTTGCCTTCTCAGCTGCTTTCCCCTCTATCTCAGTGACAATATTCTGTTTTATCCCAGGTACAGGTGTCTCCTTATTAATGCCTTCAGCACAAGGTGCCTCACTCATGGAAGAACCAGTTTTCACTTCAGAGGCAGGTGATGGCACAAAGTCATTTGTTGAAACCTGTACAGCTTTTGATGAAACTTTCTTGTCCCCCTTTTGCACGTCATTCAGCTCAGCCCCAGGGAAGGCTTCCTCAGGTATAACTGCAAGCTTCTCTTCTGCATCACTACCCTTGGTCTCCATCCCATCATTTTCTTTCATATCACACACATCAAGCCTAACAGTTCCAACAAAGAACTTTTTAAGAACAGTCACTAAATTCCATAACAACATATCATAACAACTAGGGAATTCCTTGTTAAAAGTATCAAAAAGTAACCTGAAAAATACAATCTCAGACAGCATGGGGAACTGTGAAAGAGTGACAGAAAGAATATGAGACAAGTGATGTTCTGCCATTCAACACCTGGGACTCGAACAAGCATCTCACAACACTCAGCTATGTTAGCAGTAAGAACTTTCCCCTGCTACTTGATCCAGAAAATCTGCTACCAACCCAAGCTGCTTCTTATGGCAATGCCGTGTCACAGCCTGTATATGTAAGGAAGACAGGGAGACTCCCAACTCACCTTGGCTGAGCTGCAGGCTGAGCTGGTTGAGAAGGTGGTACAACAGAGATGCCGGGTACGCCTGGCCCTTCATCGTCCTGTGCAGCCCCCACCCCCGGGATGGGAGGGTAGCCAGGTGGGCAGGGCAGCTCTGTGAAGTCCACTGGCTTCCCTGACTTGTGATTCTTTATAGCATCCTGATATTGCTGTAAGTAAGACAAATAATGCTCTTAAGTTCCATAAGATGGAAAGTCTTAAAAGTGATCTCCAATTCCTGTTTGAATGAAGTAATGAAAATGTATAATTCATCATCTGCAATTTTGTAACAAGTACTTGTAACAAATCATGACCAGGTTTTATAACCTCACCATCTTCTCTGAACTACATACAAGGGCCACAAAACTGATAACTGATTGTTTGTCTACTTCTGTCTTACCTTCTTCAACTTCATAAAGCGTGAGCTCGGTTCGAGCGAGAGCTCGTCCAAAGTAAAGTGAAAGTAACATCATAGAGATTGACTGACTGACAACAAATGTTTTAACTTCTTGAAAAAGCTGTCAGCCTACTTTAGTTATTCTGCCCATCCTCCGTGCCTTGCTGCCGTTCCCCTCTGCCTTGGCCTGGTCACTAGCACTCTTGTACTTCTCCATTCTCTGCTCCAGGGCCTCCAGCACAGATTTAGGGGGAGGGGGGACTCCTGTAGAAGCTGCAGGAGCTTCCTGGGTTTTAGGGGGAGCAGCTGCTGGTGGGGGTGCAGAAGCCTGCTGCGTCGAGCTTGGCTGTCTGGAGGCCTGTGCCATCACCTCTGAAATGGACACACCAAAGGCATACATGTACAGTCAAAGAACGATCACATGGCAATAAGGCAATAAACCTACCTAACAAGACCAAAATAAAATTCAGCAAGGGCATAATACTGGTGCCTGAACACGTCTGGTTGGCTACCAAACTTATTGACTACAGAAGTTAAGTCTATTATATAGTAAAAGGTGTTAAGCTTATGAAAAACTTGTATTAGTTCTGTCTACATCGTGCATACCTTGAAGTGAGGGTGGAGGAGGCGGCATATTGGCCAGGTCCACAGGCTGCCCACTCTCTATTGCACTGATCACTGCATCAAATTGCTGAAATATGAAGGGAACAATGTCTTACGCTGGTCTTTGCAGTATATCTGATGAACAATTGGAGATCTATAAACCTTTCTTTTTTCACCTATCAGAATAGTCTCATTGCAGACAATAATCCCAATTAAGATCGAATTCTGTCTATCTGTCAAAATTATCATATTCAACTCCTAGAATGGAATGTTTGCAAATACATACTACTAGGCTTTTGATATACTCCATCAAAAGGCTTAACACACCTTTGAAGTCTTGAAGTATTTGAGCGTGGCCTGTTTGTCCCCTGCTTTCTTGGCTGTCTGAGCGGCTAACTTGTACTGGTCTCTTCTGGTTCTGATAAAAGCAAGTTTCTTCTTGTCTTCTGAATCTGTCAAAGGGAAATCTATTCATTAACATTTTATATGTGTGTAGCATTATTATATTTATGTGAAGTGACTATAATAACATTGTTGCGTGGTACTTCTTAACACAATGATATTGTATCAGTTCATCAACGAAACAATTAGCTATAGGTTCCATACTTGTTGCTCTTTTTCTTTACTGCTTAGCAAGTAAAAATGAATACTAGTATACACGTACTAAAAGGATGCTCCCTCAGAGAATATTCTGGATATAGCATTGTAAAGATGATTCTGTTTGAAGCTTGAAAACGTACCTGTTTCCATAGGAACAGGTTCCTGTGGTGTTGCTTCTGCTACCTGCGGCTTTACTGGAGATACTGTCGGTTGCATGGGTGTTACTGTTGGTTGCATGGGTGCTACTGTTGGTTGTAAAGGTGTCACTGTTGGCTGTATGGGTGCTACTTTTGGTTGAATTGGTACAGCTGTGGGCTGTACTGGAGGTGGCTGGGCAGGTTCAGGTTGGGAGGGAGGGGCCCCTGCTACAGCTACAGGAGGAGGGATGTCATCCTCAGCCACAGGCTTCCCTGCTCTCGCCGACTTCAGCTGACCTTCTATGGTCTGGAGTAGGGAGATGACAAAGTTCAACATAATAGGGCTCTGTTGATATATGCCTGAATGCATGAAAGCTCACCTCATCTTGTAACACTGTACCAGTATTGCAAAATAAGCAACTTGATAATACATCATTACAGTCAACAGCACTGATTGAGTAAAAACAAAGCAAGAAGATCCTAAAATGCTAGGAAAACCCTTACCTTGAGTCCCCTGTCAAATCTTCTGACCTTTGACCCTTCACCTTTGGCCTGTGCACTTGCCTTGGCAGCTGCATACATCTGTCTCCTCTCCTCCAGAAGTGCCTGCAGTCCAGATGACTAACGAACATGGAAACAGCTTCATTTAGACATTACACACTCACTAACGCACATGGAAGCAGCTTCATTTAGACATTACACACTCACTAACATTACCATCTGTCCTGTGACTACAGGGAGGGGGATCTAATGTTTGTTTTGTAGGAGGTCACGTCTCAACTATATGGGAACTATGTCCATAGTACAAATGTAGGTTCTGGCCACACTTCAAAAGTCTTTGCTATTCTGTGTTTAGTTCTTAACCTCTCACAAAAAGAGTTGATAGTGATGTTATAAAACTACATGATTCAAAAACTCTTCCGGATTATTTGAGATGAACTTGCATTTATTATAATTTCCCTTACTACTAGTATACTGTGTTGCTCTTTTCAAAATGTGACATTACCTGTCCACCTCTTGGAGGTTGAGGGGAGGGCTGAGGTTGTGGTGTGTCTTCACCAGGTTCCAGGGCCTGCAGCTCTGCCTGTTTGAAGCAACATCAACACTTACTGACTTACAGCACATTAAAAAAAAAGGATCTTAACACTAACAGTTTTGTTTTAAATTTCAGTACTACACAGTATACTACGTGAAATATTCAAATTTGACGGGAAAGTTCTCTTCAAGAAATCATTGACAGCAACAAAACTCCCCATAACACACATAGGTATAAAAATGCAATAATGCTGATTTACTTACTAGTAGGTCTGGGTCATTTTCATCTATATCATCATCATCATCACTGACATCCTTCATGCTCTCTGCTGCCATACGGTCAATAACAGACATGTCCACCGGTGCTGGGGAGAGAGAGAAGAGGAATTACTTACTTACACACAAAGAAAACAACAAATCTTTTGCATGGTCAAGTCTTAATTTGTGGTGGTTAACGTTGTCAAGCTGAAATAAATGACTTACTGTCCTCAGCAGGATCACTAGGGTTAGTGTCTTGTACAACTGGAACTGAAACAACTTCTGTCTGAGAACCATCCATGTCCCAGCTATCCAGTATAATACTTCAACTTGTGGAAGCTGTACCGTCCTGGGTGAAATCTCAGACCAAAACTGGCACTGTCTGGCTGCGGGCCTAGCCCGTCTCATTATCAGTACATAGTTAGAAAAACTTCACACAAAGGAGACATTTTGTCTGGTAGTGCTAGAATTTCGACAATGTCAAAAACTATGCTGCTGTCATCACAAACAATGAGTCCTTCACTTGACTAAAAGTATGTATTCTACACACTCCAATAATGCAGTGTAGAAATGTGTAGAAATAATGAATAAAAAAATCTGTATGATGTTCTTCCTTTTTTCGAACAACACAAACATCCCAACCCCAGCCCTGCCTTTCTTATTCTAACATACTTTGACTTAATGACCCTGGAGGCACCCAGGATAAATATTTAAGATTCAACTGTCAAGTTCAAATTCACTGCACGGTAAAGCAAAGGCATCTACTGTACAAACACTGTCATGTGAGTTGTTCAGCACATAATGTAATTGGAGCAAGTCTCACTAGTACATGTAGTTCTCTGTTGAATAGGCCTTGTTGATTAGCCTATATTTACACTTGGTAACCGTCAGGCAGGCTAACAGCCGGAGCACAAGTTAGTCAGGCTAGCTTCTGGTAGTGATGAAAATGATATCAGAATACTCTTTTCAGTTACTCTATTCAGAACATTTTTCTTGCCACTCTCAGAAGAATAATCATTTGGATGGGGTCTATACATGTAACGTTAGATGCTGTCAGGCCAATAAGGATTGGTGTCCAGAGTCATCTGTTTTACTTCTTAAAGCCCATATGTTCCACTTCAAACATTGTACATCAAATTGTGCAGCAAATTTGCAGTCTTTAAGAAAGGCTGATCTGATACCCACCTTTCCTTGGTTTAGCCCTGGTAGGTGCCGCCCCACCTCCCATCAGTGCTGCTAGTTCTGCCTCCAAGTCATCATCATCATCATCATCCATCCCTCCCATTCCTGGAGCCCTCCCAAGCATCCCCAACTGTCAACAGACATTTAATAAACTATTAACATCAGCAGCAGGTAATATCTTATTCCTTGCTTCTAGCTATCGTACAAATGATTGCACAAAGTTCATCAGTCATTGAATTATAAATGTAAGTTTTCCTATTACTGAACCTGGCTCTTTTGTGGGACACTTTATCATATGTCACAAATCTACCTTAGACCTTAGTTATGTTCAGATGGTGCTACCATATGATGGAATTGGCACGAAAACTCTCGCGAGACAACGAGTCTCCAACACGTGACCCCGAAGAGAGCTTGTCGGGACATGTACGGACAATCCTTCATTCTGCAGTTCGTCACGCAGCGCTGCAGTAACGTGGGTAATAGCGCTGACAGAGACGGACGTGTGCTGCAACTTCCCGCGCTTTTCGGAGACGCCTCCTCGGTTTAGACCACTCGGACTCTAGTTTTTATATTTTTTTCCTTCCCCTGGGTTTACCTTGGCCCCTCGGAACTCTCTCCGTCCCGAGTTTTACCCCCGACCATGTTTGGAGCCGGCAAGAGAAAGATTAAACTCCCCGCGCGATACGCCGCGTCTCCGGCGGAGGACGACCCTGAATGGCTTTCGACTCCAACAGACAACCTCGCGGAGCAGCTAGACAACGAAATTTTAGGCGTTTCCAGACGCATAGAGCAAATGAAGGTCGACATGGGCCTGGAAAACCGGACGGAATCCACGTCTACCCCCCTCCCCACGCACGGCGACGTCATCGGTCAGAGGTCGACCATCCCAGAAGCCCTTGCGCAAGATCCTCAAGATGGCCGCCACCAGCGCCTTTCAACAAGAGCTCCTAAGCCCATCGCCCCACCGGATGGCCACTATCCAACCTTGCGTGAGGTCCGGGCGTTTCACAAGGCGCATAACGACCCGTCCACTTTCACACAGCATTTCCCGAGGCAGACAGGCGGGATTCACGTCGCCGATACGATCCGAAGCTCTGACGGACGTCCCATGCAGTTCAACCTTCAACACGTCTCTGACGAGGACGCGCACCCGCCGGCCCAAGGTAAGAAGCTCAGTAGCGGTCTTTCGAGAAAAGCACATGACAGAGTAGTTCGAGAAGTGAACTGGCCGCATGAATTCGTCTTCTCTGCCAACACCACCATCACTCATGACTCGCTGACTTTAGATCAACTTGTGGCTGGCGAAATGGCCATCATCCTAAGTCCTCATACAAATCCCATGGAGAGTCAAAACAGGGGCCATATTTTGAAAGGGCTCATGCTCGACGTTCCCACCTATTCCTTTTCCGGTATTAAGAACTTCTACAAGATTCTGTTTATACACGTAGAGCACGGCCTGGTCATCATAGACAGCACTACTACCTTATCAGAAGTACACAAGTTGAAGGAGGAACATCTGCGACGACCTCCCTGCAACCACAACAGTATTGATGGACAAGCAGGACATGGTCATGCCACACCAGTTGAGAGAGCAGGGGGCTCTGGAAGCACGTATTGCTACAGATTCCAGGCCAACAATTGCGCCTTCTCTGCAGATCACATAGCTGCTTCTGGTACCCTTCACGTCCATGCCTGCAAGTTCTGTGCCAGACACAGACCTGGGGTTGATGCTGGACACCCTGCCAAGTTCTGTCCTTATAACCGGGACCGCGGCCGACAGGGCAACCACGCAGCTGCAAGGGACACTCTTGCCTGACTAGGCCCAGTCCAGACTTCAGAACTGATAAACCCGGCATCGACTTTGAATGGACATAGGACTACGCAGATGCCTTCGACAGCGGGCGTCGCCAGTCAATCCCCACTAGTGATGACTGCAAACGTCACACGCAGACCTAGCCCGTTGTTACAACTGACTGCCTCAGCAACAGACTCGTGTTCCTCAGATCATGATCCAAATCCCCCACCCTCTGAGATGGCGAACCCCCTTCAGCACCCACCCGCTCTGAAGCCTTTACCAGACAAAACGGCGAGCGCGTGCCTCCACCCACATGCCCTGAAGCCCTCACCAGCGAAGACGGCCGGCATGTACACCCACTCCCACGCTCCGAAGCCCTCACCCGCGAAGACGGCCGGAATGTACACCCACTCCCATGCTCCAGAGCCCTCACCAGCAAAGACGGTGGGCATGTACACCCACTGCCATGCTCCAGAGCCCTCACCAGCAAAGACGGCGAGCGTGCAGACCCACTTACGTGTTCCGAAGCCCTTACCTACGAAGACGGCGAACAGTGACCAGCCTTCTACACCTGAGCTTCCTGCCACACAGACACGGAGTGCAGCTGATCTAACCTCAATCGACCAGTTCCCGGTTTCGCTCAGCAGCAGGCTCAGACCAGGACGGACCCAGCTTCCTGCATCAGGTCGTCCACGCCTCAGCCCCCAGCTCTGAAGCCCTCACCAATTACGACGGCGAGCATTCCCTGCAGCCCCCAGCTCTGAAGCCCTCACCAAACACGACGGCGAGCATCTCTCTGCAGTCCCCAGCTCTGAAGCCCTCACCAAACACGACGGCGAGCATCCCTCTGCAGTCCCCAGCTCTGAAGCCCTCACCAAACACGACGGCGAGCATCTCTCTGCAGTCCCCAGCTCTGAAGCCCTCATCAAACACGACGGCGAGCATCTCTCTGCAGTACACAGCTCTGAAGCCCTCGCCAACTACGGTGGCGGGCTCTCCCAACCGTCACATGATGAGAGGAGCGGCTTCGATCGTCATCCTCCTCGTTTGTCTGTTGATCAGCACCTGCCGGAGTCGAAGGACATGTCACTTCGGGTCGCGGCTCACGCCGGAGAGCCGATGCGGAACGTTTGTAACTTCGGCCGTCAGTTGAACGACTACGTGACGGCTACGTGTACTCGCGGGGATGCGGTCCCTCATCCTGCAGCGTTCCTGACAACCCCCATCAGAGTCTTCTTGGCGCCTTCGGTCTGGCCTGACATCTTGGGTGTAACGCTGACACACCGACGCATGAATAAAGATGTCACCGCCAAGTACAACTCTGATCCTTTATTGAGTGAGACAATTATGTTCAGATGGTGCTACCATATGATGGAATTGGCACGAAAACTCTCGCGAGACAACGAGTCTCCAACACGTGACCCCGAAGAGAGCTTGTCGGGACATGTACGGACAATCCTTCATTCTGCAGTTCGTCACGCAGCGCTGCAGTACCACCGCCATCCCCACAACAGACTGTAGTTATTTCATGTTAGTTTCGTCACATTCACACATTGTGTGCACCTGTACCCTGCACCGTTAACTAGATGTAGCCTACCTAGAGTAGTGTCACTCCGTGTCAAGGTATTATCCTTAAATCCCGAGCTATGTGGCTGCGGCTAGATTATTTTAAAATTGCTCAGACAGCTGTCGCTTTAGTGATTTTACTATCACATCTACCGAAGCGAGTTCGAGAACAAATCTAGTCCTCTTTTATGCCACATTCTTGACGTTTTTAACCAACCTTTTTCTGTGAGCAATGGATTGTATTAGTGGCATCTTGACCTTGTTTATTTTAACTAGTTGTCTATCTTTTATTAATGCCATGACTAGTTTCTAGCCTACCAGATTTAACAATTACGAAGTACAATACTCAACTTGTCTTTTATTGAGTTTTAAATGTTTGTATCAAGTTGGGTAGTAGGCCCGAGTGCCTCAGTCATCCTCGTTAGCGTCAGAGTTTCCTCGGCGTAAATGCCGCTCACAGCCTCGTATGTATTGTATATATCTGTGAAGTTATATCTCAGGGCGGAGAACGAACCAACTAGTCTTGTCCACGACTTTATTGTTACTGTTCATTCACTGAGCACCCTATTTCACATATAGTTGTTCCACCCTTCCACTACCTTGTTGCTCGTTCTGCCTAGGAGCTAAATGGCACTAGGCCTGACATCTTGGGTGTAACGCTGACACACCGACGCATGAATAAAGATGTCACCGCCAAGTACAACTCTGATCCTTTATTGAGTGAGACAATTCATCCTGTGCCTGATGGCACATCGGACAGCAAGCTTCCACTTCCTTTTATCAATTAACGTTATATGATGACTTATATCCATAAATTTACAATTTGTAATTATTTAGGGGAGAATGATTATATAAATAGAAATTGCTCCTTTCAAATTAGCCTGATTAAATCGCTTTTGCCGGCCGCCCAACATCCAGCCGGCCCCCGGACTATGGCGGACTATGTAGGGAGCCCCCCGGAGCTTGGGTTACATAGGCTACTTTCAAATACATGTATTATACAAGTGTAAGATTATAATGTTAACGGTTAACGTTATATGACATGTTATCTCAAGACAGGACCATGCATTTTTTCAGGTCACAATTCCCTGGATATCGAACAGAGGTTATAGAAGTCTTCGTGAGATCCAATAACGTTGCAGTGTCAGAATACGGGTCAGATACAGCTATCATGTACAGATCACGCAGCAATGACTCACACACCCACAAGTAGCTTTACAAACACCTCATGATCATCGCAACGATACATGCATCTAGAGTATAGTAGATCGGACATTATGGACGCAAAAGCCTTCTGTCAGTGTTCTTCACCTAGAACCAAGGAGGTTAAAGAAACCCGCCTGGCTGAAACATTCAGATGTCGGTCGTAACCAGGAAGTGTTTGTCAAAAGAGACAGGAGTGACAAAACCAAACGACAGGTCACTTTCCTCGCTTTTACACAAGCTAGAAGGACGACAGGCAAAAATTGGTTTCATGTAGGGGAACACTTACATTGGCAGCAAATTCGCTGTCTTCACCTCGGGTCTTTTTCTTCTCTTTCCGTCCAAACATTGTGAAAGCTGGTAAGATACTGCGGTTTGCTTTGGTGTTGTTGGAATTATCCAACTATGCGGCAGCCATCTTTGTTTTCACCTCACAGTCATACTTTGGACGAGTCCACTGTAAGGGAAGTACGGGGGTGCGGGGTCATCGGAGGCAGTCAGAAAACGTTACGATTTTCACCCCAACATCTGCAAGCGAACAAGGGATTCGATAAAACCTTTCATTATATCATGCATGGTATGTGTGAAAAGTGATCTCCTACATTCAGTTCTCTAGTCCATCTTGTTATAGAGCGCTACCTGCCGTTTGAAGAATCTATGATCAGCTTGAAGATTAGGAATTCTACAACCTCTCTTATGATCTCTTAAATCCATCACTGATTGCAAAAAAACAAACAAACAAACAACAGCAGCAAATAGAGAAAATGTTTGGAAGAACCTTTGAAAAAACAAAGACATTGCTACATCACGTATATAACGTTAATGTCCTTTAGCCTGAATATCAGCCTTTTTAGCTTTTATTAAGATATTAAGAGATCATAAGAAAGTTAAAAAGGCTGTCAGTCAGGCTAAATGTCCTTCGAGCAAACAAGTGAAATTTTCTTTTAAAACTGGGGAAAGATTACAAAATTATTAATAGCAGACTAGACTGTGTACTAAGAGACCTATGTATATTGAACGATTTATTTTCAATTTCGGAGTTGACCAAAGCAAAAGTAAAGGAACTTGAGCCGAAACGCCTATAGTCTCATGGTTACTTGAACGTTTATAACTATAAACTCGAAGCAGATGTTGTGATCGGATAGAAGGTTGTAATGTGGGCGGCTGTCAGCATAGCCTGGGTTCCAGACCCATAGCACACTGGACACAAAGTTTCATAGTGAGCAAGTCTCAGAGACACCCCGGACAGGAAATGAAACAATCCCCTCCCAATATCTACTTGGAAATAAGTTACAACTACTCAGGAATTGAACAGTTTAAGTTATCGGGAATCGCTCAAGTCGAAGAAAAAGAAAAATTCACTATTTCCAGAAACAGCCCCGCCCGTTCTGGGTATAAAGGATGTGGCAGGCTTAGTAATCGCGAGTGGGAGTCCCGTGACCTTTTTTTTTCGAAAATTCACGTGGGAGTTGGAGGATCGAGGGGCGCGTCATACTTCTGCTTTAAGAAGTTCCTCAAACTTGCCTACTTCCTCAAAGGGTATATATAGAACGATACAGGATTGCGCGTGAAGGCAATTGTGCGTTCGACGTCGGATACCACGTGCGGATACAGCCACGAGCAGCACCTTGAAAATATATCATCCAACGTGGGACACTAGAGGACGATAATGAGGTAAGATACTTTTGTGAACACTTTTCTCTATTGCAAGAATATTGATAATGTTACAGTTACTGCCGCGTGAATGTAATTCTAATTCGTACAATGCCCTTGTTGCGACCGATCCGATACATACATGTCGTTGCAGGTTTTGGGTTATATTTATTGGAGCATGTTACCCATTACAATCCAACAGAGAAGCCTTGTCACTTTTAAACGAATACTACTAATGCTCACCGAACAACCAAATGCTTTGTACGACAAAATCACATTCCAATTCGACGTATTTCGTCGCGCGCCGTTTTGAAATAGTAACCATACTGCATGCTGAGCCGAAAAGGGCAAGCCTGTCAGTAACACAAACACTGCTGTCCCGTTTATACGGACCCCTCCTGACTCAGACGTCGGTCAAAGTTGGGTGGGCCGCCACAAGCGCGATTAACCAGACTAGAAAAGTTTCAGATTTGAGTGACCCGCTCTGTGACTGATGGACAATGTCGTGCGAGCGGCATCACTTCCTTCTAAGTAAACTTCATTCTAGAAGGAGAAATGCTTTTTGAGCCTGAAAGTACACGTGTTGCGGACAGACGAAAACACGAGAGTTTAATGCTTGCACGACCACAAGACTGTACTGTACGCTGTCAGAAAACTATACGCGTTCAGTCTCTTGAAAACTTTGCGTAAAATTCTGCCATGCCTCAATAAGCCTTCTCACAGTCCCGAGTGCGCATGTGCGGTCGCGTTGCATTGTGGTCCAGGTCAGAGGTTAATGTCACTTCGAGTTGTAAACAAATGATGCAATGGCCGGCATCAAGGCCGCGCCGGGTAGCTACGGTGGCGAAACATCGCTGGAACAGTTCAAACTTTGGCCTAAGACACTTTTACAGCGATATGTGAGAGATAGAGGGCTGCCAGTTACAGGAAGTGTCCATGATCTCAGGGCGCTAGCGTATTCCGCCACGATTATGTGCCTGCCGTTGGTACCGACGCCCCAGGAAGAAGAACAGACCAGGTGAATACTATTTTTTTTGTCTCGCGCGTCCCCCTTCTTAGTTGTGTAATCTTACACGCATTTTATATGTGTAGTCGACATAACCACCTTTCCTCGAAACCCGTCGTCGACGGCGGCTGTACATAATATTTGAAATGCCGTCGCACCTTACCTTTGTTTTTACACCGACATCTCGCCGACGTTGTTTAAACATGTCTTACTAGGAAATTTTGGCCGCACAGAAAACGTTGCCGTAACTGATAATCCTATAATAATCCCATAAACTAATGGAAAATTTCAATTTGTTTACTGGTCAGCCCCTTTCCTTTATATTATTGATACAATTTTTTTCTCTGATCAATGGCTTGAACTCAACAGCTTTATTTTAAACTACTAACTGTCCGGTTCTAGAGCCTCTTCCCTCGAACGGTGCCGGTATAGATCACCTGTTCGAACACGAGCACCTGTTCGAGCACGAGGCACGTGCGCCCGCACGTGTTCGAACAGGTAGCCGCGGCCCCGCCCAAGGGAGGGGTTAGAACCGGTGATAATACAATGCTTTCTATTGTATAGATGCGAAGACTACAGATCACTTTTGACTGTCGATGGCAGACAACTCCCCGACCCCTTTGTTGACCTGAAAAGTGGCTGGAAGAAAGAGGAAGATGGGATGCAGCACTGGCCACCAACAATGTATGGGGACATGGCTGAATACCTTGTGGCTAATGGAGAGGTACAGCTGCAGAAGAGGCTAATGGGGGATTACAAGGATGGCAAAGCTTTTTCGTACTTTGATTCTGGCTTCATCAATGAAGTTTTGTATCATCCAATAAATGAGAATTCAAATGTTTGCTTTGTCAAAACAACCAGTGGCAGATCACAGAGAAAAAATGATGAGGCGCACCAAGTGTGGGTCGCACTCCAAAAATCAACTGGGAAAATCCGGACAGCATATTGCACCTGCTTTGCTGGGTAAGTAATTTTGACATTTTATCCATGTATCTAAGTGTCAGCCAGAAGTCCATGAAAATTTAAAAAGTATGGATTTCTCTTGCCAGACTGCATGTGCTTACATTAGTTCATAGGTGGTAATATAAATCATCTTTTTATAAACATAACTTTAGCAGTACTCAGAATATACTTTTCTTTACAGTCTGGGGTCCACATGCAACCACATTGCAGGTGTGCTGTTCAAGATGGACGATGCATGGTCAACAGGAATCACCAACAAGGCTTGCACTTCCAAGCCTGCAGAATGGACACAGCCAAGGAAACAAGCAAACACCAATGCTAAAAAAATCAAAGACATGGAGTGGCGGAGCTCTAAATGGTCGAAGGGCAAAAACAAGAAACCAATAAACACAACAGCTAGGAAGCTCTTCACTCCTGTTAAGGACGGTTCCAGCCCAAGTCTGGAGGAACTTATGGCAGACTTGTACGTATCCAGCAAAGATGCGTGTGTGTTTAAGTATGGGATGCCAACTGCAAGTGCTGCATATCCTACAGAGGATGACATAAATGTCGAAGAAGATGTTGAACTTGAAACACAGGAGAACGTACCCCAACCACTTCCTGAGCTGATAGCACAATCCCCCCTCCCAACCTTTAGTTCAGAGCAGATACAGGCTCTTAATGAGGCCACAATGCAGCAGTCATCTAACCCCACCTGGAAACAACAGCGAGTTGGGAGAATCACAGCTTCAGTCGCACGGTCAGTTATGGTAATGGCCGAAAAGTTGAAAAGCGACTCTACCATTTCACGCAGTGTTCTGGATGGGATCATGGGGAGGAAGTCTGTGCCATCGAATGTACCTGCTATTAAGTATGGGAATCGAATGGAGCCAACAGCAAGAGAAGCATACGTTACAGCGATGCGAGGCAGAGGCCACAAAGGACTCACTGTCAAAGAGGCAGGACTGTTTGTTATGAAAGAACACATCTACATTGGGGCAAGTCCTGACGGATTAGTAGAGTGTAGCTGCCAGTTCTGTGAACCACAGAATGGACTTCTGGAAATCAAATGCCCCCTATCCATTGCCAATGAAGATCCCAAAGTCAACCCACCAAATTACCTAGTGAATAAGGATGGCGTGCTACTGCTGAGTCACTCACATGGATACTACAGCCAAGTACAGCTGCAAATGCTAGTGACAGACAGGGCGTGGTGTGACTTCTTTGTGTACACTAATAAGGGGCATCACTGCGAGAGGATCCCAGCAGATAAGCACCACCAAGAGAAGTTGCGTAAAGCAGCAACAGTTGTTTTCGAACAACTTGTACTCCCTGAACTGAAGAATCCTACAGAGGGTAAGAGAAATGTCATTACATATCTGCAGATATACAGCATGCAATAATATAAAAGCAATGTAGAAATATATAGAAATAAAGTAATATATAATGTTTGTAGTGATATTCCACTTCTGTGTCTACATGATGTACTACAGTACATAGTGTTACATGCATAACAATTCTGTTGCACTTACATTGTAAACAAAATATAGATATGGTTAACATTTGTACTGTTCATGTACATCAAGATGTAGTAATTGTCGGGTAAAATAATTTTTCTTTTCTTTCCTTCTTAAAGATATCACTGACCCATCAGGAGATGAGCGCGCAGACACACAGTCTCCGGGTGTAGACACTGAGGCACCAGGTCAGATATGTACAACATGTTATATTTATACAAGAAGTATAGTAACAGAATAGAACCTTTATCTATACATTTTAAGTACATTTCAATGAAAATAATGATAATCATTTCACTTTTAGTAACAATTGTCTGGTATTCTTCTATATAAGTCTTTCTGTTTGCTGGCCCTGACTTTGTAGTTTATTTCAGATGACCAACTATGGGTGTGAGGTTTGGGGGGGAAAAGGGATTTCTTTTTACTCTATGATGCAATACTGTTTTCCCTTTCTTCACACAGGTGAGGATGACTCAATGGAATCTGCATGTGTTGTCTCCAACTCTGCTTCTACAGACACAGCCCATCCTGCTGAGGACAGTCCACATGCTCCTCCACCTGCAAAGAAAAGAAGAGTGATGAGTACACAGCAGAAGAAAGCGCTGCAAGTTCCTGGGCCTATTTACCTGTGTGGAACCTGTCAGTCTCAGTGTCTAGATAATGTAGAACATGAAGCTGATAGCAGTGTTGGTTGTGACAAATGTAACAGGTGGTTCCACTGGGGATGTGTTGGGTTTGACTCAGACAACATGAGTGATGACTGGTATTGTGATGAATGTTTAACTGACCTGTAACATTAGGTTCCGACGAGTGGTGGTCTGAGGTTGGACAGTGCAGCACATATAACAAGAATGTCATCCAGCAGTGGTACCATGTTGAGAGGCACAGTTCTTTTCAGGAAAGCAAACCATTTGACACGTCCTGCAAAAGGAAACATACATTTAATCATTGACTTTAAACTTTACAGCAGCAAGAAGTAACTACATCCAGTCTTTACCTCTTGAGTGAATCAACAACTCATTATTAGAACTAATAACATTCTTACCTATTGCTCTCTCCACATGGATTCTTGCGTTTGCCACCTGCTTAGTTTTGCTGACTGCCTCCCTTGTTTGCTGTGTCCATCCTGAACTTGGGGGTGGGATTTCCAGGTGGGCTTGACGTTGTAGCAGTTCACTGCTGATTGGGAATCCCCTGTCTGCTAAGATGACATCTCCTGGGTCTACCAGGTCCAAGAACCCAGAGTCCAGTACAATGTTTTTGTCGGATGACCTTCCACCATAACCGTTAGAGAGGAAGGAGATGGTGCCATTTGGTGTGATTCCAATCAGGTATTTTGCGGTGTTGTGTCTCTTATAGTCGCTCCACGTGTTCTGTTGCAGGGTCAGGAGTCTGGGTTTTTCAATGAAGATCTCTGTACAGTCTATCGTGCACCTTAGCTGTGGGTACTTCTTTCCAAGACCCGGGGGCATATGTTGGAGAATGGTTTCCTTAGCCGGCCAGAAAATCAGCGACTTAAGATGGGATGCTAGAAAGGGTATCCACGTGTTTACTATCTTTGAGCACAGGCCTTGTGATATCCCAAAGATATCACATAACAAAGTGTTGGTGACTCCCAGCCGTAGCCTCATTAGCACCAGAATCAGTTCCTCCCTACTGCTCAGCTTCCGAGTTGGTCCAGACTTTTTGGGGCTTTGGCTGAATTTTCTGACTCCCTTTTTCATATGGACAGCGTGCGTCCCCCTCCAATACCGCAGCTTGCTCACCTTCTTTTCAACTGATTTGTACAAACTGTCCAAAGCTTCTTTGTTCTGGAGACCGGTATTCTGGCACACTTTTTTATCGGAACCAACAAAACGATCGATTAGTTCGGTAGCTTTTGGTTTCATGTTTGTTTTCTCCACATGTCCACGTTTTCCTTCTTCGAGTTTCTTTTTCAGATTTGAATTTTCTTCCCGCAGTTTTTGGCAGTTTCGACAGACAGTCTCCTGCTCCTGGCCACAGTAGTTGTGTTCACTTAGTTCTGAATCAGTTGAAACTGTAGCTGTTGTTACTGGTGTTTGGGGTGTGAAGTAGGTATGGTCCATTGTGTGAGGCTCAGATGCTGGTTGATTATGAGATGATGTAGGCTGATGTTGAGCTGCAGGTGATTTTGTTGCTGGGGGGGTCTTCCTTGATTTTGTTGCTGGGGGGGTCTTCCTTGATTTTCTTGCTGGGGGGGTCTTTCTGTCTGCGGGTGGCTTTCGTGTGGAGGGTGGCTTGGCAGCATATCCTAGATGTTCTGTAGGATAGGGGTTTAGCAGTGTGGGTTTTCCATCCCGGAAGTGCCTGGAACATATCCTCGACTTCCTGAAAAGAGTATATATGTATTGCGCATCATGCACTTGCAAATGCATAGGTGACAAAGAATGAATTGATGTATGTATATAGTGTACAATGATGATGATGTATATAGTACAAATATTTTTGTTGGCATTGTACACAATTACATTTTGTAAATACTAGTAGTAGTTAAGACAAACATGTGCCAACAAACTGAAGTATTGTCTGCTTTGTCTAATACTGATGAAAAGTAAAACCTTTGGTCTAAATATCTGTAAGGAAGTTGCTATTTCATAGTCAATAATGCCACACCATTAGTGACTAGTTGAATTTAAAAAGTTGATGACAGTTTTGAATTTTAATGTTTAGTATAGGTAGGATGTAGTACTGTAATTTCAAGTTCTGTAGGAAGTAAACTTCATCAAGTACTAGTGTATGTGCATATTCTTTATAAGTACTTACGAATTGGCCTTCCATTTTTTCCTATTCACCAACTTGATCCACTGTTTTCTACTGTCTGGATTTCTTCTCTTGGTTGGGAATGTCCACAGCAAAAAGGGCGGTGTGCATGTGCACTGTCCTTGGTTATGTTTGTAACCTGTGTAAACATTGCAAAAGTTTGCAAGAAATTGGTATCCTTGACTGGTTTATGGTTATGGGGAGGAGACAGGGTATGAAGATACAAAGAAACAAAAGAAACATACAAACAATGACACATATATATAATGTATATACTCTACTCTATTGAATAAGTAACAGAAACTGTTAAATCTGTTTTTGTTTTTTTTTACTTTATGACAATGGTAATTTGTGTTATTATTCTGAGCGTCGCCAAAAATATTAGTATTTACTACCACAAATTTACTTTCACTACAAGAAGGGCCGGTATCTCACATCATGCTGTGGCCCAAATGCAAATTATTACCCATAAGATTTATGACGTGCGGTGGTGTAGACGTGGCCGGCGTTGCAAATCCCCATCAGTGCATCGGCGGTGGCCGAAGTCCTTTGCAGAACGGTAAGCCTTTGGTCCACTTTTTCCGCCGAAAAGTAAGTAGAACGGGAAACAACAGAACTCACGGGGTCCAAGAGTAGGGGTCCACCACATACATGTATGAGTGGATCAGAAACCAACAGCGCCTTTTGCACTTAGTTAGTATCAAATAGACACGCACGGACAATGTCTAAAATAACCCACATGTTTGTGAAACAAACAATTTTTTTTCGAACAAACCATGAAATATAAAATGAATACAAACTCACGATTTTGACACAACAAAACAATGCTTGCGAAAGCGAACGAAAAAGAGCAATCATAATAAACCTGGGTGAACGGCGCACTGTTCAGCTTCCCAATCCTCCACCTTTCCACGGCCATTTCCGCAACCAAACACGGCGCAGTGTCCCCAAAGCCCCCCCTTTGAGCGTGTTTCGCTGCCAAACTCCATCAACGACAAATACGACAACTGCGATCAAACTCTATCGGGGCCGGGTTTGGTTCTTGTTGTTGTTATGACATACGATATGCGGTTCGAAGTGACATTAACCTTTGACCTGACCCACAATTCCGCGCGGCGCTGGATCTGTGAGAAGGCTTATTAAGCTAGCTTACAAACTGTTGTCCGCATTTCTTTTCTACTCTCTCTCTCGTAACATCTCCGCGTATGTCTTCTCTGTAGTTCGACCTCGGTATGCTTTGTCATGCATGACTTTGCAACGACCTCAGTCATGCTTTGTCAATTACTTAGGTAAAATATATTTGAATCAACGTCATCAGACAAAGCGATGTCCGCTGTTCTCACCTAGCCCACTCACACCTATATCAGTCATCAGCAAACAGGAAACGTATACAAGCTGCTTGCGTCACTAGGCTTTGGACTCCGCCCCATACGCACAGCCACCCACCCATCCACCTACAGATACCTGCCCACCTTCCGCTTAACCAAGGACACTAAAACTTATAAGGCGTGGATCCAATCATATCAGTTTACTGAGTCCCTGAAATTCGAAAATATAGTACCAGCCACGACCAGGTACATGCCACGCGTTCGCGGCAAATTTAAGAGACGGGTTTCACTGACAAGATTCGCAAATTGAGTCATTTGAAGCACTTCATAACTCGAGACTCTGTGACTGTGTAATTCCTACGTAGAAGTATCCAGATGTGCTACGCCAAAAGCTCTTCCAGTGCTGTGCTGGTGTTTGCCTGGACATTCCTCTGGGCAGGGACTCTAAACTTGTCCGCGGGAATAACGGCTAAAGCGGCTACCTCACCGGCAACTCCAACCGACAACTACGATTACTACGAATATTATGGTAAGTCCTGTTGACAGAACTATCGAATCCCCCCAAAATATTATTACTATACGTTGTTATGTCATATTTAGTTTGCCTCCTCTTCGATTTGTTGTATCGACTTTTTTTTTCGTTCTTCCTTTTTGTTTCCTGAGATGTGAAACTACAGCTGGCAAATATAAATCTGGGGGATGAGTAAACGGGCAACACAAACCAGCGTGACTAGTCTGTATTGGAGGGCGTGCAGTAGTGTCATATAATCATATAATAATAACGGTGCAGCAGTTTCCACGCCTACTCAGGTGTTAAACCGTGATCGGACACGACAACACACGATGTCTTGTAACGGCGTCCCACTTTTTATGGGGCACTATTAAGTGTAGTCACAAAGAGAAACTAATGCTCAATGCTTGACTGACAAACGTGTAATCATTACGGTATCTTGAACAGGTGACTACGCATACGAAGACGCCTGCCACAACTGGCAGACCTACATACAAGAAAGTCATTTGGAGATGGGAACGGTTGGCGAGCCAAGCATACTAAGGTAGTACAATATTTCTTTTCCGTCCAATAGAGTTAGCGTCCCTTTGAGTCGATCAGAGTGGGACTTTTTAAAAAAACAGAATTCTGTGTACTCATGTGTTGACGTCCTTCCTTCCTACCTGGTTATGACATAGGTGTCCTTTCTCGGAATGTTGGGATGGCTACACAACCACCTGGTACCGTAACGGCGTTGAGCTTAAACTGGATTCAACAACGGGGGAAATCGCACAGAGCGGTGATGCAGGTGAACAGCTGCAATTCCCACGACTTCGGCAAGAGGACGCTGGCTCGTACACCTGTCAAATGTCTAACGGGACCCACACGTTTGTCGGAAACATCCACCTAGAGGCTACAAGTAAGCGTTACACAGTTGCATGCCACCGAATGAAACGAATGCGAAATAACTTAAACTACAATGCAGAAGGCGTACTAGTATATAGATAGTGTTTTCATCAAGAGACAGGCGACTGTGAGTTTTTTCCAGACTATTTATTGAAGGGGCTAGATCGGTCAGATCAAGGACATTATGCCTTGGATTCATTAATTGTGAATATCACGATACTTGATATATGTACTTGATACTTTGTTGGGATATCCATTAGATGTACACATTTTTCGAGATGACCCAAATTTGAGAAAGCGCTTGAGAGTGCCTCTGCAGTGTAAGAAGCCGGCTTTAGAGATGGCTTGCTATCGGCCATGATTCTTGAATGTACTAGTATGTCAGCCTCACATAACCATCACGGTTCTCTCCACAGACCCTCCCTCCATTACACCGCCCTCGATGGACCCTGTCGACCCTCCCAAGCTACAGAGGAGTGTGGGAGAAAACGCCACGTTCGTCTGCAGGGCGTCCTACGGCGTCATCGGCCCCGCCACGTTCCCCCAGCTGTACTGGGTCAAGAACGACACCTTCGTCAGCGACAACGGTAGAGTGGTCCTTCGCCGTACTAGCAGGTATGGGATTCCTCACAACAGCTGGGAAAGAAACTTTAGGGCATCTTTTCCGTATATTTTTCCTGTACAGCTGGGAAAGAAACTTTCGGACATCTCTTCCGCATATTTCTAATGTGTAGCTGGGACATAAACTTTAGGGCATCTTTTCGGTATATTTTTCATGTGCAGCTGGGAACATCTTTTTCGCATATTGCTCATGTATCCACAGGGATACATCTCTTCATCTGCTAGGAGATGATCTTCCTATTTCAGTATTTTATTCACAGCTCCTTTTCAAGTCAAAAGTATCTCAAAATCAGACATAAAGCCTGTCTCGATGGATGTAAATATTTTCTGCTCCATATGCATATAAACGAGTTTTATGTCATCAATATCATGTGACATCACATGACCTCTTGGTTTTACCCACACAGGACAGACCCTGACGGTTCCCACTACATGAATGTAAGTCTGTCCATCTACCAGATACAGGAGGAAGACTTCGGACAGTACACCTGCATCGCACACACTACATATGGGTGGACATCCCAGCAGGCCACAATCGAGAAGGGTGGAATTCGAAGTGTCCTTGGTAAGTTGGATCAAATGCAACATTTTCTTAATTCTTCTTTCTTCCAAGGTTGGACAAAAAAACCTACGCTAAGTAATTTATTTGGTGGTTATCGCACCTGACCAGGGATTATCTCACCATATACACCTTGGGGCAGGGCATTAACCCTTTATTATCCGATTGCAATTGAGTAAACATTCCTCCTCTTTCATGTAGAGCCAGAATTCTTTGAGAAGGCGAAGAAGAGCATAGCCGAGAACTCTACACTCTGGGCCCTGTCTGTAGTAGTACTCATCGCCATTGCTGCTATGGTCACCCTGGCAGTGGGGATCCACATCCACCAGAGGCGCAGGGCCGACTGTAAGGCCTTGAGTAAGGAAGGTAAGTGTTGGGCAGATTACTAGTATGGCATGATTGTTTTACACTGGAAGAATGGTACTATTTGTTGATGATACCATCCAAAGTCAGCTTTACATCAAGGAGCTTCTAGGTAAAGCCTTGTTTACATTAACTCATTATGATCAATGCATACATGCTTGTTCACACTTTGTTGGGTGCTAAAATCTGATCATATATATTTTACAGAAAAGCCACAAGATACAGTTTGACAGAAGGATGCATTCTGCAGCACAATACAGTGGGAAGAATATGTCTCTACGGTTGTGAATTAATCAAGTCAGCCATTTCTGCCATCAAACCATTCATCCACAATACATGTACATTTGTTTGTCCACTTGAAAATAAGAGAGTTACAGTAAAACTAACTGTGTAACGACCACAAAGCAACAAACTTCAGTGTCCGAAGACTTTTTTCTTTTAATCTCCATCATACACTTGACACTGTCTGCAATATATCAAGCATTTGCTGTTTTTCTGCAAGCCTTTCCAAGAGGAAGTGTTCCTGAAAAGGAGGAATGCACTTAAGTCAAGCCCTCAATCATAGCATTTTGGCTTTTACAATCCAGAAATCTTTGTAATGAATTAATATGTATGTGAATATGGTTTACATGAATCTACATGCCAAACTAAGTCATAACTGCTGCTCAATGTACACTACTAGTAACATGACCAGAACCATTCTGTTAGTAATTACCCTTTGTGTTACAACTCGTAGTAGTCGGAACATAGGCCAACAGGAAACTTCTTAACAAAATTTCAACAATCGCACATATAATGTTCTTTCTGTTTTGGCATGTTCGAGAGGAAATCTTTTTCTAAAAATCTGACAATGAATCTCACTATGCAATGATTTGCACACAGGCACAGTCCTGCATATCAACGAATGTTCATAATGCCCAAGCACTAGTTATTGATTGATCTGTTGCAAGAATAAATGTGATATTGTATGGTAGCATGTCATTAAATGTAGCATAGCTACTTATGTATATTTAAGTTGTTATGATGAATATGAGGAGAATAAGTTCCCTTCTACAGTGTGAATACGTTCCATATCCATTGTACAAAAAGCAAGGCAATCTTGGTTAATAGATCAACAATGTAGCATAGAATGTTTGACATTTGTAACATTGAGTTACAGCATTAAAGGACTGTATGACAATTACTTTCTGGAGTCCTTGTTACCATTGTTCCTTCTCATTTGATAATACAGAGGCTTATGACTCCATTTACTACACAATAATAATGTAGTAATATAGCAACTCCGTAGCCATGTACATGTAAATATACATATACATGTAGACTTTCTGGTGTTGTAAAAAGACATTGTTGCCTTTGCATGTAAGTATATATACTTCTGTGTTCCCTTATGTGTTCCTTTGGAGATAACACACTTCCATAATGCAAAAACTTCTCAATGCAATATGTTGGGATTAAGGAGTAGGCCTTGTGAAACTAAGTTTTTCTTCAGATTACAGTTCGGGTCATATGTAGAGTGACTATCATTGTACATGTTTGTACCTGTTCCTTCATCTAATGTTACATGTACAGTCTTGAAAAGAAAAAATGGAGCGAATAATACTAGTAATACAAATCAAGGGAGGAACTGTGTGGCGAGTTTATCCAACAAACAGAGCAGGCCAAGTATCTTGGCATCACTATCAGCAACGACTTGAAATGGTCAACACATATCAGCACTGCTGTAACACGTGCCAACCACACACTTCATTTTCTCAGCCGTAACCTTCGCTACTGCCCCCGTCAAGTCCGTGAGACCGCATATTTCAGTCTCGTTCGCTCTACTATAGAGTATGGTGCAGTTATCTGGGATCCTTATCTGAGAAAGGATATTGACACACTTGAAATGGTCAACCGACGTGCTGCTCGTTTTGTGACCAGTAACCACCGTCGTCAGGATGTCAGCGTCACAGCCCTCCTGCATGACCTGAGATGGCCGTCACTTCAGTCTCGACGACAGCAAGCACGACTAGTAATGATGTATAAGATAACCAATGGTCTCGTGGCTATCCCATCCAGTCGGCTTATCCCGGCAGTTGCTCGCACCCGTGCCAACCACGCCCACAAGTACAAGACTCTGAGACCACACTGTGACATTGCAAAATACTCATTCTATGCTAGGACAATTCCTGAATGGAATAACCTTTCTGCCGACGTAGCTGAGAGTCCATCATTACAAACTTTTAAGAATCGTTTATCGTCACTTCCGTAATCATGTGTATATCTCCCCTCTGCGCGATGTCCCTGTATGTAGGGAATTTGCAGAGTAGTAGCTAGAACTAGAACTAGGGACTGCCTGACTCCTATCAGCACTTGTTTAAAGGTAATCAAAACTAATTCAGAAAGTTGGACAAAATCCAGTCCAATCTTGGACAATTTCCAATGCAGTTCAGTTATGGTGAATTTGAGGAAACACAGTCCCTGAAAATTAAGGTTGACAACCTTCCAATGTTGCATAAGGACCTCTCCTATATTTAGTTTCAAGGCTATGGCCTACAATTACAGACACAGCCCTCACTTTGGCAAAATGATATGGCAACTAAAGACTGATGTTGGTGTCGATGTTGTTTTCCCTCTTCAGGATGACATCCCTGACTTATCTTACAGAAAGCAGACCTTGGTAAGAAGATAGTTTTTAAACCCTCAACTCACAACAGTACCAGTAGAATCATGAGGAAGACCTTGATGTTGCAAGTTCCCCTGGGGGTACCCAGAATAGGAAGGCTGGGGTTTAAGCCAGAGTTAGCTGAGTAATCTCCAAAGCTGGCATATTTATCAGTGACAAAAATGGCATCCATAGCTCACCTTCGCTTCATGATTTTTCACATGCGTACCATTTTGATAGACTAGCATATGTTTTGGATACAAAGATGCACATAAAAAGTTAGCACGACCTCTACATTTGTCCTACTAGCAGCGTATCCAGGGATTTTCGCATGCCTTCCCTTCATCTTGGCTCTTGAGGCTGTAGAAACACAGAAATGTTACAGTATGAATAGTCATGATTCATCAAACGAAAAAGAGCAATTTTGGAATTGTGTCAGTAGCTAATATAATACAGGGTAATATAATTACAAGTTCACAGCTATCAAACCCTAAATACTTCCTAGACATCTGAAATCTCTGATTCCTAATGTGATCCAATGATTGACACATAATTGTAATTTTCTGTCAAAAAAGGCAGCTACCTTGTCTGCTATCAGCTGGAATCCATGGCCTCCCCAGCATCTTCTTTCTCTTCTCTTCCATCACCACTTAGAACTGCTTGTTTAGCTGGCTCAACTTCCATGGGACTGTCCTTTTTCTCAGGTTCTTTTTGATTCTCTGTGTCTCTAGCCTCTGTGACTTCACTCTCTGCCTCACTTTTGTGTACATCTTCTGTAGGCATGTCAAGTGCAACATTTTCTGGAGAGCTGGTGAGTTCATCACCCGCTCCCCGTTCAGTATTTTCAGCAGCAGTGGTGTCCATCATTTCTGTTTCGGACTCTGTCCTTGCAGCCTCTACTACTGCAACTTTTTCTCTGGTATTGTTCACTTCGGTACCTCGCAAGGTATCCTGCACTTCCAACACTACTTTTTGTTCCTGAACTTGCTCCACTTCACCCATCTTTTCTTCAGTACTACTTCTATCCATGCTGGCAAATTCAGTGGCTTCTGTTGTCTTTGGTTTGTGTTCGTCAGATGTCTCGGACACTTGGGGTACTTCATCAGGAACATTCTCAGAATGCTCCTCTAGCTGATTTAACTTCCCATCATCCCCTGTGGCCTCTTGCCTATCTGTCTCCATGGCAACTGCAAGCTCTTTTGACTCTTCAATTACAATCTCAACTTTCCTGAAACCATCCGAGTCCTTAATCTCTTTTTCCTGTTCTTTGACCTCTTGTTCTGCCTGCAATGCAGCACTCGCTGTGGATGCAAATTTGGCCATGAGCGCCTCTTGTTCTGTTGTCATGGCAGCTGCAGTTGCTCCACTGCCTATGACAGTGACACCTGGAGCTTTCTTCATTGTTGATAAGGAGTCTTCCCCTTTGTCAGATGTTTCTTCCTCTCCCTCATCCTCTTCACCTGACTCCACCAGGTAGTAGTCATCTTCTTCCATTGCAACTGGAGCTTTTGCATCTACAGGTGGTGGTGGTAGTACAGCTCCTTCTGTACTTCCTAGACTTTGGACTACATCAGGAATAATGTCTGTGGCACTTGCTGGTACATCTGTTGCAGTACTAGTGGAAGGTTGTGGTTGGGAGGTACCACCTAAGGTTTGTCCCTTACCCGCAAAAGCTCTCACTTTCAAGGCCTCAGACTTACTGACAATCACTCCGCTGCCACCAACATGTAGGGCTTCCTTGACTTGGCGGAAGGCTTTTGGGTCATACGCTTCTCGTGTCTGTTTGTTCTGAGCAATGACATCATCGATTCCAGGGCCAATGGGAAAATGCCCCTGTGGCTCAAGGCACAGCTCTAACCTTCCAGCCTGGCCATTGAACATGAATGTTTTCCCTGGAAAGCTTGGCAGGGTGCAGTGTTTCCCATCTGACAGGCCTAGGTCTTGTTCAACTTTCTTTGTGAAGACACCTTCCCGAGAGAACAATTGTGGCATTGTCTGCACAAAGTTCCACAGGTCCTTCCCAGAAAGCATGGCTAAGGCAGTCAGGGAAGAAATCTGCAGGTCTATAGAGCTGGCATTACTCTCCAGCTGTTGGTCTAACACATTCATCAGCTGGTCTCTCAGGGCACTTTCTGGGTCTTGGCTGGCGGAGGCACCACTAGCCTCCATACCCTGCACACGTCGAGGGGAGCCTGCCGTTGCCATGGGGATGCCCTTGGCTGCTGCTCCTGCCCCTTCCTCCTGTCCCTCACCTTCACCCGTGGGAGGAGGTAGGATGTCTACAGTAACCTTGTCCCCATGCTGCAGTGGTACAGGCTCCCCTTCCATGCCTGGTTTAGGAGGTGCCAGCGGTCGGGGAGGAAACCCGTATCTGATCCGTTGCCTGTCCCCAGGAACTCCTAGCTCAGAAGCTATTCTTGCTTGCAACTCCTGGAAGGTTGTTGCTATTGCCAGGGTTAACATGACTTGCTTGCCTTCTGATGTGGTCACCCGAACTTTCTTCTCTGTTGGGGGAGTGGAGGGCCTGGGAGGAGGGACAGTTACCATGGGACCTACTTTGGCTACTGGTTTCGGTGGCTGGTGAGCAGCAGCTTGCTGTTGTTTGAGTTGCTTTAGCTCCTTTTCTGCTCTCCTTTTTGCCATTTCATCAGACTTTTTCTTCTGTTCATGGGCAGCTTTGTCAGTGATCTTTCTTTGTACCATCCTCTCTGCTTCACTCATTGTTAACTCTTCTTTGTGTATGGTTTTGTGTTTATGTCCGGTGAGAATGATTTTGGATGGTGAAGATGGGTCTAAAGCCTCTTGTTGCCTGGGCTCCCCTTCTCTTTCATGGCCAGGCATACCCTCCAGGGAGACTGGTTTGTACACCTCCTTCTTGGCCGTTTGCTGTAGAATCACGTCTACAACACACTTCACAAGTCTCTCACTGCCAAATTCTCCGGGAAAGTGCTTGTGTACTAAAGCTGTTGCAACTTCATACACGTTACTGTTCAAGGAGGTGTCTGTTTCGTACTGAAACCAGTAAACCTTCTCCTGGATTGTCTTCCCTCCCCACTCCAGAGTTACAGGAATCAACTCAGGCAGATTGTCGTACTCCTTCCCATCCCAGTAGTGCTTGAACCCGCAGCCACACTGGCTGTTTTCAGCAGAGGTGTGTGTTCTGTCCCCATTCAGATACACCACGGAGCCATCTGGGCAGACCAGGCGAACTGACGTTCCCTGACACCAGCTGCAGGTGGTCAAGCGGCTCATCTTCATGTCTGGGACGAGGATGTCCTTAACGGGATCGTACTTACAGATCAGACTTTGCAGGGGAAAGTGGTAGTTCTTGCCAACTTGGAGCTTCCCGTGTGTCCTGACTGCAAGTTGATAGAGGGCACCGCCCCGTTTGAGGAGGTCTGATCCTACACTGTATTCCATGACAGCATCGCAGGTCAGACAGCGGTAGAGCCGCTCATTGCGGATGGCACTCTGTGTGGCTTCGGTCACCACCTCAGGCTGCACACCTACAACTCCTGTCCTCTTGAACACGTAGTGATGCATGTCCGACACGACGGAAGGGTGGACCTGGTACTTCTCCATGAAGACGTCCTCCATGGCTCGGGCCAGGCGCTGGATGTACGTTTCAGGGAGACTGCGACTTCCTCCGATTGCACAACGCTGTTCACTGTCAAACTCAACGTACTTTGTTAGCAAGTCCTGCGGGACACCCCACAACTTGGGGATCAACCACATTGGGAGCTTGCAGAGTGGCCGACCTCGGATGCCCACAAGAGAGATATAATGGTTTCTCCCAGAACTACTCCATGCCAGACAGAGTGGTTTGTTGAGCGTACCGTCCTTTCCTTTACACTTTTCAGGAGGGATCAGTCCCGGCACAAACGTGCCCGAGTAGTCTGCTGAACTCTGAAGCCCTTCCAGGGAGTCTAGCAGTATGATGGGCCGATGGAGGACATTGGCTAGCCCAAACACATGGATGTTCCTCAGGCCAAGGGGCTCCCCATCTCTGGGTGTGAAGTCAGGATCACATTCCTCTATGATGTCATCCCATTCACTACTGTCAATAAAGTCGTGGAACAGAGCCTTGTACTGGTCCAGGTTTTTGATGAAGTGAGCTTTGAGGTTCTCTCTCAGGGCGTGCCAGAACAACTCACGACCAACAAGTGCCCGAGAGATGGCGTGCACCAGGCAGTGGCCGTCCCCGTCGGCATGAATGGGTATGAGACGTTCCTCCTTATCGTTCACTTTCTTCATGGCATCCAAGGTGTCGTGAAGGTACTGCATGCTCCCAGAGCGATCCCGGCCGTAGCCAACTATTTCCACGTGTTCTGGTGCAATCTGGAAGGCCCTATCTCCTAGTAGCACACAGTCAAATGTGTCCGGCTGGTTCATGTCCCTGAGACGTTTTGCTTTTCCTGACTGTTTATCCATCCCGTAGTGGGTGAGGAGGGGAGACAACAGCTTGCACTGGTAGTTGGACAGCCCGAGAACACGTACTGTGTCTGCTCCTTTCTTTGGTTTGGTGTTGCTCAGAAGGACATTGCGAAGCATGTTGTGGAGAGCGACATCTGGGTTAGTGACTTCCTCCACATTTTGGATGGCACTCTGTTGGTGCCTCTGCCCACAGTCTGTGCACTCAATACTGGAGTCCCATGCTGGGAAGAACAGTTTAGCACGACAGTTTTGGTCAGGGCAGTGCCCACTCAGCACACGGTATGTCTCACGTGACTTTGACCTTGGCAGCATGTTTACGGTGTCTGCTTACAGGCTTGTTGGTTCACTGGTGAGGGATTATCTCTTCTGCTTGATACCACTCTGACAGAAGTGTTAACATGCCCACAAAACCTGTAATAACAAGCAGTCATCCCTGTTAGTTCATTGTGATATATGTCTGGTTGGTGCTGTCAGAACTGGTGCAGGATCTCTCTGATGACAGCAGAATCCGCCGATTTACAAACTAGAGAATCTGCCAATAATATACAAACCTCTAGTTTATCAGTACATTGTACTAGTACGTTCCCAAGTAACCATATAACCAATCTGCTAAATTCCATCACCGAAGTTGCGTTTCTGGATGCCTAAATATTTAGGTTTCGTTCTATGTTTAGGTACTAGCATTGCATAAAACTGTGAAACTGAAAGGGAGATAACTGCCCCCCCCCCTCCCTAGGGGAAAATTTCTTATGTTTGGATCAACCCGCCAATATTCATGCATCTGCAACAACTGATGTCAATCGGCCGTTTATTCCTAGCTGACAAAGCGTTGTCATATATAGCCATGTCGCAAGTAAACAACTTCCAATATGGCTAATTTCCAAAAACACCAAAGTGCGAAGTCTTCGGTGTATACAGATGAAAAGCCGTCTGCTGCGACACATCAATTTAGCCTTGAAAACAACAGCATCCAACTTATTGATCACAGCAATAAAATGATCATAACAATGACTATAGCTGGTCTTTAACTCTTCCTTAGAAATCCTATAGCCTTCAGGATATGTCAGCTTTTCGTACCTTTGTACTTTTGGTGAATTTTGGACGATATTTTCGACTTTCTGTCTTCTCCAAGTCGTCCTCTGCTACTCTACTGCGCAGGTGTAGTGCGCATGATTACGTCACTGTTCGCAGCGCATGCTGGGAAGTGGAACCTGTCGTCCAAACTTTGGGAGGGAAGCTTCAAAAATCCATCAACATGCAGCAATTTGGCAATCTGGACACGTCCACAGCCAGCCGCGGAGAACCTGCACACAGCGCCCGTTAGATCAATCTCCGCCGGGTAATCAGCCATGTATCTTTGGTTCGTGGCAGCGCTGCTCTTCGCGGGAGAGCTATCGGGAGAGAGCGAGTTGGAGGCCGCGGAGACCAACCCGGAAGTACCGGGGGTTGTTTTGGACAACGGCGCAGAAGTTTTCGGGGTGGAAGGAGCGCTGAAAGTCGGGGTGGCCAAGCCTAGATTGGAATGGGATCCGAACGGATATGTTTTATTCTGTCCGTGTATGGGTGAGTGCGGTCGTTACTTGTTGAGTCCTTGTCAGAAACTTTCCAGAGAGCTGTTTGTAGGCTTCTCCTTGCGAAGCAGACTGTAACTTGAGACGATAAGGTTAATTGGCCTTTACACAAGACATATGGTACGGCAACTGAGACGTAGCAGGTGTCCGTAACCAAACCGAAAAGTATCACTGACTGACTAAAAATATTTCGTTTAGCTGAAATTGATACGAAAAACATTCCTGTCGGATTCCTCATAAGTACAATGATGGGCGGACCCACCAAGAATATAACGGTTCATATTAATTAGCGGACCAACGTCAATATTAACAGCCACATTCACGTTCATTAACACGAATTCCCTCACGCCTACATAAAGAGTTCGTGTCGGCCGTGCAACCCGTATGATTGAGTGTGATTGTTATGAACTCATTTGCGTGACCTACCATTAAATGGTAAATGCCAATCAATTGCTTCTTGTATATTAATGATTAATGATGAGTAGATATCATTGTTTCAGAAGAATGGTAAATTACGTTGTTCTGTATTAAGCCACGCCACATAGGGCCTCCAAGGGTCCCTATAAACCTCTTGGGAATCAAGTCATGCTATAATCAGGGTTTAATCTGTGAAAAAAAAACTGTTATCAATATGGTATTTTCCTCAATTTCACCTTTGAGACAGGTGTATCCTTCATCATGAAAGTTTGATGATGGTGTGCATTTTCTTCATTCATGTCACTTTCTCAGTATCAATATCTAACAGTTTATCATTATCTTTTTGTTAAGTTTGGTTCACTTCTTTGACATTACATACTCTACATTTGTCATTCTGTAGAATCTGTACACATACATATAATATAAATACATGTGCCACCTTAAGGTATTTTTACTACATTTTCTATTTGTTTTGCCTTTAAGTCTTTGAAGTCCAAGCAGATCTCATTCCAGCCAACAAATGGAGATAAGTGACCACATAGCACAAACGTTTGACATGCAGTGAACATTTGGAATGTCACTGGAAAATCCCCTGATAGCATGTTCATTCCTGCTGGACTTATTAACATGTACAGGACTCTTCACTGTCAACATTGCTTAGCCAGTGTGTGTAGCATTAGTGCAATAATGATTCAGCACTTGAATTTTATCACAGACACAGTGAGGTAAGTTTAGAAGTTAATTGAAACATGCCGCCAATTTTTGATGAACGGTAATAGAAGATTATTGAAGCTGATGGGGAATGTATAGCTTGTTGGCTTACACTTGTGTAAATCTCTGAATCAAGTTATTTTTCTTTTTCTAAGAGAAGACTGGCCCAGAATCTATGTTTTCTGTACCACGATTGTAGTGAAGTATAAGTGTGAAAAACTTTTAACACAGAGAGTGTCTTCTGCTTTCTCAGCTTAGCTAAATTTCCTATGTACATTATGTACATGAAAGATTGAGAAAGACAATATCAAATCTTTCTGTAACTTTCAATTGTTGTGAAAGCTTTCAGTGCTTCATGTAACATTACTAATGTTTTTCCTACTAGTAAGGCTTGTTTATTGGTTTGTTACATGTTCTAAATGGGTTTGACCTGTAATGACTGTAACTGTTGACTTTATTCCTGAAGTTATTCCAACTGTCTCTCATTTCTATTCATGGAACCATCTTGCGTTTTCCATCCAAAAGACCAGCAGGGCTTATCATCAGGTACAGTGTACTCTAAATGGACCTATTACAGGGAGCAAAGGAAAGGAGCTCAGAGGCTTTATCTCTAGTCTCCACAGAAAGTGACATTTTCATCCTCCCCTTGAGATCTGCATGCTGAGCAGGTCTGGCTTGAGTTATCCGTTAGTACAGAAGGAACTTAGAATGACAAATAGCCCTCGGCTGTTTATAGGAATGGATAACCATGCCATGCATGCATTCAGCCTTGATCCTTCTGGTTTGTCTGGGGTTCAGTAAAACCTTGCAGCTGTGGGTAGACATCGTTTTGCCCATATTTGATTTGATAATGAAAAGTTGTCCTCTGTGGCCACAGCAGCCCGCGGTTTAGGCTGTTGAATTAGAAACTTTAAGGCAAGCAAAAATAGCTAATTCTACAAATCACCTCTAAATTGGTTTGAGACAAGAATCTTATCTATCTTGAATAAAATTCTTTTTGCCCAATGTGTTTTAGTATGATACCTGCTCGTAATGGTATAGTGGTTCCCAAATGAGACATTAGATATGCTAAATCCCATACATGTGTGAATGCATTTATTGTATTCAATGCTTTTTTCAGCCTAGAGCTTAAGAAATGTTGCTGCAACTCTTACAGATACCCCTATAAAAAGAATGAGGTTGGATTGCCGTAAGAAAATCTAAAATTAAAAAAGTTTGCTTTTCCCCAACACTAAAATAGAAAAAGTTTGGAAAGTGAATTCTGTCCCTTTTGTCATGCCTAGCCAAGCGAACATTTTGACTCCTGTTGCCGGGGCCAATAAGTGGTAAGATTATTCCAGGAGCCACAACCTTCCACCTTCGCTTTTGGCCAGCTCCATAAAATTCTATTAAAAATGTCAGGCTGACAGTGCCCTGATTACTTTTAAATGGGTAATTTCACGCTCTCTTCATGTAGGGAGTAAATTAGTGACTTCCAGCGTCAAGGCTGCCATTTCTCTTACCATGTCTTCATTAACATTGCAGGGCGGTTTGGAAACCAAGCGGAGCATGTCCTGGGGGGCCTGGCATTCGCCAAGGCAGTTAACAGAACGCTGGCTCTGCCTCCATGGAGGACTGATGTAAGGCTGCCCTTCTATGTTTTCATCCCTATGGATGGGGCTGTAAGAAACTGCAGTGACCTGGTACATGTAGTTGTGGGGGGTACTTTTACCGAGGATAATTGGTATGTTATGGTACAAGGTTGAATTCAACTACAGGCCATGCTTCAGTTATTATTATTCTTTGTGCATCAGTTTCACCATGCCATTCTCCTGTTTTTGACATTGGCAAAATGCATGGCAAACTCCTTTATGGAAAAGTTTTCCCTTTTATTAAAAAGTTTTTTTCTTCCTTGCAAAAAATTGGGCCTGTCCATGGTACTAAAAAAGTGGTTCTGACTTAGTAGTGCTACAGATGTCTGCTTAAGAAAAAATTGCCGTGAACAATGTTGGAATCACTGCACGTATCAGCTGGCACAAAGTATGCCCTTTACATTAAAAGCCATTTTTGGCACCTCTGAACTTATTTCGAATCAATTGTAGGGCAATGGGATGGGTCATTTATTTCACTGGAGAATTATTGATCCTGACCACGTAAGGGAGAGGAGTGAAGCGGAGAGAGATAACAAAACCAATTAAGAAGCAAAACCTTTCTTCCATTTAATGGGCTTCCACAACTGCAGTCTTTTGCTACTTGCTAATCAGCTGTAGACTGCATCGTGCCTGCTAAATTTGGAAACTGGTTTCCTGACCACTTTGCTCACGTCACTGCTTAGTTTCAAAGACTTTGGGTATCAGCGTTACTATCAAGAGGTCAGAATGTAATTATGTAGTACTTGCCTTGTGTGCAAACTTCATGTTTTGAATGTTGACTCAGTGCAAATGGGCACTAAGATCTTTACAGACTTTGTTTTTCCTAAATTTCCAGCCTGTTTGGTACTGACACCCTTCTTGTTGATGTAATCATGACACTGCCTCAAGTGTAATGTCACACATTTACCAGTGTCAAGCCTGTAGTGGACTTGGAGGTTTATTCAATCTTATGAAACAGAGGTAAGATCACAGACTGTCAGTGGTGAGCAAGGGCATGCCAAGGTTACTGGAGTGTTGTCACGTTTATATACTATTATTCCTGACTTTGAAGCAAAAGAAAGGCTGCTTGACTTTACAAAATGCAGCTTCAAGGTAGGGATATGTTATGCTAACCCTAAATGACCCCCAAACACACACTTGATAACACCATTGTTCAGAGTTTGAAATGGATAAAACATACTATGCAACATTCTTTATCATTTCTATTGCTATTGCCTCTATTTCCTCTAGTCACAAATGAACTTTGATAAATTCTAAGGTAACACGTACCCGGTATGCATGGTTTTCAGTAAATGGTTTCTGCCCGTGATGTTTCCTACAGAGAAATGTGCCATTCTCGGAGTGGTTCAAAGTAGAACCATTACAGACGTACCACAGGGTAGTTAGTATGGAGGAGTTCCTGGAGCAGCTTGCACCTGTCCACTGGCCGCCTGGCAGGAGGAAAGGCTACTGTTGGAGGAACCGCAGGGACACCAATGCTAAATGTGGCATGAAGGAAGGTAGGACAGATCATGCCATAAATTTCTTTGTACCTGATACAAGTAACATTGACCAAAGTTGTGGAAATTTCTTTTAACATACATGAAATTTCATTTACCTTCAAGCCATACTCTTAATACCTTCAAGCCATTGTAACTGTGAAGATGTAATGAATGAATGCATGCTCAGGAGAAAATTGGGAAAGCTGGAGTTGGAAATACATGACGTGTATGAATACCGGTAGAGGGAGAAAATCTACTGCCATCTTCTCTCCTAAATTTTTTCAGCAGCCGCCAGGGTGGATTGATGTGTTATTTCCACCCTGTCATCACAGGAAGTCTCACCCAGCATGGGATCCTTTCCAATTTCCAGTTTGGGAAAATCTAATTCTTCATGTTCATTAGCCTCCCAAAGATGTAGTCATTAAAGATCAGTCACTTATATGTACATGTACAGAATTTACTTAGTAACAATCGGTAACTCACACTCGCTTCCACTGTATTTCATTTTCAATATCTAACACGCAGAATCTACAAATGAATTTTGATCGCTGATCCTAATATTTGGTAACAACAAATCACAAATCAGCTTGTTTCTCTGTCAAACAGTCTGTATTGATTTTCCAGACAATGCTATCATTGAACAATGGGGATGTCTCACTGGGTAACATGTTGTTTGACCATCACACACAGGATACCTGTAGTGTATTCACAGTACAGGGCCTACCAACAGAACTTGGCACCATCTAACAATTTTTAGATTATCAACATTCCTACATGTACAAATGAACTCTGAAATTATGTAAAGGGCAACAAGATTTTCCAATCAATGTACAGTCCTCTTCATGTTCCTTTGGATTCTACCTATATAGCTGCAGATGAGTAAGACATCAATTTGTATGAAGGATACATTTCTTATGTTTATGTAAGTCCTTTGAATCAAAATGCTTCAATAAATTTTATGATGTCAATTGGCATTAGCATCGATGTAATGAGAGATTGTCCTGAAGGCACTTTGGAGACCTTGACATACAATATCCTTAGCTAGTACTCCCTATTCAACTGTACACCTGCTGGGGTGGTGATGAATAATATATGCACACCTTTGCTCCTGGATAGAAGATGAGTCACTTAAGTTAAGGTGATACGTCGTCTGGTGTTATTCAGGAGGGGTCACGTCTGAGTAAGGCTGACAGGTCGCGGGTTAAATGGTTCCTATCAACTAAATTGCTGTGTTGGGAATTTGGGTCTCACCTTGTTAAGCACAATGGGTTTTTTGTTGGTACATGTGTATTGTTATTGGTTTTCCTGTCTTTTTATTGCATGGTTGTACAAATTCTAACCACCTGTGTCACAGAAAAAAAACATGTGTACTGCAATTGTAAATCCACCTGCGCATCATTTAAGAAGTTCTCTGAGCATTTGTACAAAGATTATGCTACATCATCTCTTTTTCTAGCTGTACATTGTATTCTTTATCTCGTACTACATCAGTTAGTAAGGTTGAAATATGGTAATGGCAAACTGTTTGCGTTTCAATTACAGAGATTACTTTGTTCAGTTGTGGCAAACAGGATTTCAGCAAAATAGCAGAATAAAGAAACACTTGCTCACAGGAGCCCCGCGATGAGCACACATGTGTTATCAGTACCCTGCAGTCTGCTGTGGGGCTTTCCTCCAACTGTCATTTTGCAAAGTCATTTCCGCTAATATCTTGATGAATAAGGCTCCAGTTGTGTTAGCTGAAAGAGGGATCGCAGTGGATATTCCAAAGCCCTCCCAGTCTCTATTGATACTTCAGCTAAGCCCTAAGTTCAAACATGTTAATCCAGACCATAGATCTTATGTATCAGATTTATGCCATGTTGTGTTGACTGGATTATTTTAAGAGCTTAGTGATACAAATGTACATTAATGATAAGTGCATCTTTCTTGGAAAAGCGCTGATGTGAAAACATGATAATATAACTTGTAAAGAATTATAATATCCATACAAGAAGCGTCATTAGATAGAAAATTCTGACACTCATCCTTTCATAAAATTGATTTTACTGCTATCAAGTGACCAACTGAAGAAAGTGCCAGGTTTGTTGACATGTTTTATCATGTTCTATGCAGGAAACCCATTTGGGCCATTCTGGGACCACCTGGGCGTAGACTTTGATGAGTTTGTGTTTTATGAGTTCACATACCAGCAGACTGAGGCTTGGATCAAAGAGTAAGTACTGTACTAAAAAAGTCTGCATGCTTTTTTAGAATCTGTTCTTTGTGAATTTATCAGGACAAGTACTTAATAAAAAGGATGCTGTAAGGCCAGACCAATTTAATTGTTTGGTTTTTCGATTTGCTTGCTTCATTTTTTTCTGATTTGCAAAAAAAAATTAAGGCTCTGATCACCCCCATGAAACTCCTTCCTCTTCGCCCCCGCCGTTCTGCTTCGCCCCCGCCCCGTTCTGCTTCGCCCCCGCAAAAAATCTGCTTCGCCCCCGTCGTTCCTCTACGCCCCCGGCGCAATTCTGCTTTGCCCCCGTCCTTCTGCTTAGCCCCAATGGCGGCACAGCTCACAGTCGACACGAAAATCGTCTGCAAAATAACAATAAAGGCTGTGCCGCCAAATTTAAAGTAGCCCATGCTCCGACAAACATTCTGGACCACCTTTCTGCCAAGTGGCGTTGCACAAATCCTTCCCATTCAAAAGTTTACCCCTACCTCACGGCCCATCAGTGGTTCTTACGTTTATAAGTACTGGCGTTTATAAGTACAGCCGTGAGTGAAATTTCCCGCCAGACCAATTTGATTGATTGGTTTTCGGATTTGCCCGCTTCATTTTTTTCTGATTTGCAAAAAAAAATTAAGGCTGTGATGAATCAACTCCAAAATGCACATATTTTGGCCCCCACTGTTGAAGGAAGTCCCTTCTCTTCAGATTTGTTACAGTTTTTCCATCTATCAAATTGAATACAGTGGTTAATGACTAAAAGTTTGAAATTCATTGTTTGAATTAGAAACCAGCCTGGTATGTTGACATCATGGCTCCTAACATAGTATTTGGGGCTATCATAGAATGCCGAGGCCTGCCACTTCATATTTTTTCTGAAAAAATCTGAGAACCAACAAATCAAATTGGTGTGGCCTAATTGAAGAAAAAAAAGTTGAGAATCAGTACAGTAGACTGTATTGACTTGGCTCTCCTGATTGACAGGCTGTAAGCTCAGCAATGAGTGATAGGATTTGTGACGACATCAGTTCAATATTGCCCTATCCACTGCACACTGATGAATTGCCTTGCAACATGCCTGGATGGCGGGAAATATTATTCTGTACCTCGAATCTGTCAAAATGTCAGGGAGAGTGTTGATCATTTCTCTGAGCCTCTAATCCTTTTACTGGGTGTTATTGTTACGATTGTCGAGACTTTTATCTGATTATGTCAGTGCTGCCTACACCTGCCAGCTGAGGTGTAAATGTGCAGATCCATGCGGAGTAACAGTAGCTTTACAGGCTGTAACTGTGGCATCTGGTTCGTTCTCCATGGCAGAGTTTCTGCATGATTTATGTTCATGTTTAATTGTGGTCATGTCCCGTTCTCTTCCCATGCGAAAGCACTGTTGATAACCCTTCCAAATCTCATATCGTCAAGTTGAGTCGCCTGAATTTTTCATGAGCGGGAGAATATCCATGGCACGGCCTGGGATATTTCACTTTCTCGGTGGCATAACAAATCTTGTACGGAAGAATGTTTTTAGCGTGTTGGAAATGATTCATTCCTGCACATTACTTTGGTTCTGGCAGTTCACATCTGGCAGAAAGTTGGTGCCACAGATGGTATTTTGGGGAGGGAGGCAGGTATACTGCATTTTGCTGGCATGTAATTTCTTGCACCATTGTTTTGATGGGATTGCAGGGCTCAATAACTGTAAATCTTTTTAAAAGCCCTTTGCTGTGACGGAGACTCTCATTTTGACTCGCTGTAGGAAGTTTGCAGCTTCAATATGTCATTTTTTTTATGTAACCAACATAATATCTTACGTTACTGTTCAGTAAGTTTTATTTCAATGAACAACTGCAGCCTTAATTGACATTTGTTGGTTCCAGCAGTCAAACACACAGACTGGCGAGGAAAAGTCATTTCAAAAACAAGATTTTACAGCTCTGTATTACATATGACCTTGATCTTTACCTAGTCCTATCCTCAGGCAGGTAGTATCTAGCACCTGTCCCTAGCTTCTAATAAAAAGCTTCCTGTCCCTGCATTATGTGTGTATTCTGACAGTGGTTTGGCATGGAACTTACATCAAAGGTCAATATTCAGAGGGGGTGTAAAAGGACAAAAACAAAAAGTCTAAACAATTGTTTTTGGCCTATACTACAGTCAACACATTAATTCAGGACATGACAAGTCCTGTTGTATTCCCCCAGGTTCCCACCGTCCTCCCATCCTGTGCTGGCCTTTAAAGGCGCCCCTGCATCCTTCCCCATGAAGGCAGAACACAGAGTGCTTCAGGAGTTCCTGCAGTGGACCCCCACCATCACTGCCCCTGGACAGGACTACATACAGACCACCTTCCAGGGGAGGTCTTACATCGGGATCCACCTCAGGAATGGGGCTGATTTTGTGAGTATCCTGAAATATCATTATCATGAGTTTAGGATAGAAACCTCATTGAACTGTATCAGGTCATCAGAGTTTGGTGATCACATCAATTTTGCAGGAATCCAGTTTAGATAGCTTTTATGTGATGAGACTGTTGTGGCATCATTGATTGGGGGAAAGTTCTTTCAGAAGAAAAATTCCATCAGTCATAAAAACATAAAAGTAAACGGCACCAAAAATGCTTACCAGCTTCCTTTTTGATGTACGGGACTAGAAAATTGAAGTTCCTTATTGGATGTTACAGTTTCTGTACCTTATTGTAGGGGAAATAGCTTCAGAGGAAAGCTTTTCGAATTCCCTTTTAACTAAACGCCAGAATCCCTTTCGCAGCAGTAATCGATAGACACACACAGATCACTGAGCTGGCTGGCAAACTCAGAACTGACAGCAAATAGCAGTCTGTGAATGGATGAGTCTGGAATTTTCCTGATTGAAAGACATACTAGAAACACACTTCTGATGGTCCTTTGTGGAATATGATCTATGGCTTTTCATTCAGTGAATTTCCATTTGGAGATACCCCTAGCTTTCAGTAAAGGTAGTAGTGTGTGCAAGGTGACTGCCTTAACAATACACGACTGTATAAGATGATTGTATACTGACTGCTATGTGTATATTCAGGGAATTGTATCAGTAGTCTTCTGAAGTCCCATTGCCAGTCAGGGAGCGCAGCAGTGTGCAGGGGAAGGCTGTGATGTATCACTGATTGAACATTTCAGGAGCTTTCTGCAGCAAAGTGGAAGTAATCTCGTACTACAAGCACGGGCACTGGCACAGGGGGAAAATGGAACTTGTTTGATCAATACCTCTGTAAGAGTATTTCTTTCTGCCTGCGTGGCATTTCTTATGACAGTTCCATTTTGAGAGCATGTTAAAGTGGTCATTTGGAGGTTAGAGTCTGTAGCAGTCTAATGGAAGGTTATGAATCATACATGTACACTACATGTACATGATACCAGCAGGCTATCAACGACACTGCAGGTCCCCCCTTGGGCTATAGTCCTCAGGACTGGGCCATTTACCCAGCGGAAGGATCACATCACTTCTTGCAGCTTTCTGTCGTTTCAACACATTTCGAGTTAGTCACAGAAAATCAACCGTTACCATGAAATATTAAAGTGACGTATAAACGGAGTAGAGCAAATAGTTCTCACAGCCAGTGGTAACTGCAACATCCACTAGTGTTGGAGCAAATTGCCTGATGAAAACTTTTTATAAAGGACAAAATTAAGTTGAGTAAGTATACGTTTCCTGCATTTTTCTCACATTATTGAAGTTGTGATCCTGGAACTCGGTAACAGGAAAGTCCATGTACTGCTTTACTGCCCATGTAATGAGTATAATAGTGGGAACAGTATTAATTGAATTCTTGTATTGTTTCCCCATAGGAGCGAGCCTGTGCCAATGTTGAGGGCACCTCTAGCTTCATGGCCTCCCCCCAGTGTACTGACCTCATCGCAGGCAGGGCGCTCACACACAAGATGTGCTTCCCATCCAGGGAGGAGATCCTCAGGAAGACCAAAAATGTCATTCTGGCAACAAGAGCCAAGTTTGTGTTTGTGGCAACGGACAATGACCCCCTGGTGGAGGAGCTGGAGCAACATCTCAAGTCTCTAAAGGTAGGGGTTCAGGAGGAAAGATCTCTTGATCCGATGATTTCAGGAAAACAATGACAAAAAATGCAGGGTGCTGGTGCCATTCTTGTTTATGGACAGGTCTGAGTATGGGGGGTTGAAACTTTTTCACCTCAGGAAAGTCAATGGATCCATGCAGTATGAGTGCAATGTTGTTCAGCACTAAGGACAGAGCTGTTAAATTGTGTGAACACGTGTTCAGCACCAAGGACAGAGCTGTTTTTATTGTGTGAACATGTGTTCAGCACCAAGGACAGAGCTGTTCCATTGTGTGAACACATGTTCAGCACCAAGGACAGAGCTGTTCTATCGTGTGAACACTTGTTCAGCACCAAGGACAGAGCTGTTCCATTGTGTGAACACTTGTTCAGCACCAAGGACAGAGCTGTTCCATTGTGTGAACACATGTTCAGCACCAAGGACAGAGCTGTTTCACTGTGTGAACACTTGTTCAGCACTAAGGACAGAGCTGCTTCATTGTGTGAACACGTGTTCAGCACCAAGGACAGAGCTGTTCCATTGTGTGAACACTTATTCAGCACCAAGGACAGAGCTGTTTTTATTGTGTGAAGACGTGTTCAGCACCAAGGACAGAACTGTTTTATTGTGTGAACACGTATTCAGCACCAAGGACAGAGCTGTTAAATTGTGTGAACACGTGTTCAGCACCAAGGACAGACCTGTTCTATCGTGTGAACACTTTTCAGCACCATGGACAGAGCTGTTCCATTGTGTGAACACGTGTTCAGCACCAAGGACAGAGCTGTCCATTGTGTGAACACTTGTTCAGCACCAAGGACAATATTGGTAAATAACAAATTGCCCTAAGAGATTTTACTAGCAGCAAATAACTATGATGAAATTCTGATCACTAACCTTTCCCTGGCAGTTCATCACAAGTATATTGGTAATACAGCCTGTTAAAGGTTAAAAGCAGCAATCATCTCTTTATGGCCTGACAGTTTGATGGCCAGTAATAATTGAAAGGTTTTCAGGTTGTCTTGAAACCATTACCTGCACAACTGTGTTCTTTGATTGCAATGTCTATTTCTATATGATCCCCACCGTGAATCACTCGTAAGATCCTCACATAAAAAACATTAATAAACAACAGATCTATTTGAATGGGATCAATTGATATCCTCTCTGTACCTTTACAATGTACTGTATAACCATTCTCTTGTGTCATCTAACGTATTAGCTAACTCTCTGTTAAAAATTCAGTGTTTTTATAAGTCAACGAAGTGAAAAGTTTAAAAGATGAGTGAAAAAGTATCTTGTTTCGAAGTTAGCTGAGATCTTTTGACCCCACATCTGTCAACTTTAATGTGCCCTGAAGGGGACAAAGCCAGCACGGAAAGTAAATGTTCGCCTCATGCAGTTTTAACTACGGCAAAATTGTTCCGGCTAACTGAATTGCCCAGCCCGGGAGCTAGTGAAAACCCCCGCTGTTTGGCAAGTGAATATTCTATTGACACGAGGTCAACTGGCTGAATTTCCCTGTTGAAGCGATGTGATTAGTGGCTGCCGGCGGCGCACATCTCACCTCTCCTGCAGGTTTCCCCCTCAGCAACCATTACACAAGTATTGATTACCAGAGGAGTTACTCCTAAGGATTAGCTCAGGCAATGAATATCATTACTACAGCACTGACCCATACTCCAGATTTGTACATCAGACGTCAGCATGTTCCTCCTGACATAAACTCAGCCAGAATACGGGATGAAGAGATTTCAAAATGGCAGAAACACTTTGTTCTTCTAAACACTCAAGGACTATATAACTGGAACTGACACGAGGTAGAAGAGTAAGATCTTTATCTTGCTAAGCTTTGGAGTGAGCGAGCTTTTATCTTTTTAGGTCAATGACCTATAATGTGCATGTACAAGCATTTTTCTTGTAGTCAGGACAAAACTTGTTCCTTAAAGAAATGCCTTATCTTGTCGGCTGTTTTGCTCTATCTGGGATACAGTATCTACCTCCAATGTGCTGATGATTACTGCATATAATGATAATAACAAATGTGTCTGAAGTAACATTTTAACACTTCATACCCATGTCTGGGATTCATCTTGCCTAAATTGTTTTGTCTGTTTATTTCAGAGCAAATAACTTCTCGAATATCAATCTTACTGTAGTATAGTACTTGAAGTGTATTTACTGCCTGAATGTTCACCGGCATATGTGCACACACACACACACACACACACACACACACACACACACACACACACACACACACACACACACACACACACACACACACACACACCACACACACACACACACACACACACACACACACACACACACACACACACACCACGCACACACACACACACACACACACACACACACACACATAAAGGGAACGTACAAAACATAGATAAAAGCAGGATAGATGTTATCTGAAGGGTATGTGAAGGTTACTATGAATATGTAGTTCTGAGTTGAAGAGGTTGAGGGTTTCACAGCCCACATTAGTACTGACTGATCCTTGAATGGGGCTGACCGAGTCAGTCAGAGTCTTTTCATCTTAGCTAGATAACGTTAACAGTGAGGCATACCACTCTGTAGTAGGCCTGTCTGTCCTAAGGCACACGGGAAAAAGCAAGTCTTTACAATGTATTCAGGGAATAGTGTTTCAACCAGCATACCAAACTACACAACAAAGTACTCTGGCATCTTTCTATTTTGTTTTTATAACCTCAGTTTCAATCAATGCATGATTTTCTCCATTCCAGAATCGAACAGGATTTGTGTATCAGGGTGCATAAAGTGTTGTCAATGACTTAACTACAATGGAAAAGACCAAATTCACACGACTTGACAGTAAAATGAGAACAACTACTAGTAATGTGATTTGAAGCATGAACACAACATCCACACATTGATGGACCCTCCAAATAGATAAATTCTAGCCATTGATTTCATACAATGTCACAAGATTTATTCAGCTTAAATGCAAACATAACTTGCCCCTCTGAGCATCCATCTTTGAACTGCTGTCAACTATTGACTGCTGACAAAGAGGCTTAAAATAGTTGAGTGACATTCACACCGAGTGTACCAAGTACAAAGAAGATCAACATGCCACCCGCTGCTCTCAAGGCTACCATGACATCTTCCCACAGCACACACGCTGACAGTCTTATCAGTTACCCAACCTTCAGGAGTGACCTATCCTGAAAGGAATGTGATATGGGTTATCGTATCTTCTAATGCAGCAATAAAGAGGGACTAATCCCAGTCCAACTGGTATTTCATGCACCACTCAGGTCAAAGTCCACCATCTGAACCCCCACCTGCCTCAGCTGGACCTGTACATCCTGGGCCAGGCGCAGCATTTCATCGGCAACTGTGTCTCATCCTTCACGTCGTTTGTCAAGAGGGAGCGGGACGTCTACAACAGAACCTCCTCCTTCTGGGGTGTGGACTGATGGTGGGCAGCAGAAGGTACTCTCCAAGCAGAGGTTGATGGGTGAAGATTGTAACCTTTTTATATATATGGCCCTTTTTCTTGTTTTCCCTTGGGTGGCAAATTGGACGCTCTCTGGCCAATGGATACTGCTTGGCCAACTTGTCGCCCTGGGATCTGCTTGGAGATCAGCAGGAAGGGTGGTGTTTGGTATGAGCAGAAATGGACAGGAGCAGAAATGACTGCTAAATTCTTCCTAAAGTCTGACTTTTAAACTTTCATTGCCGTGGTACATTGTACTAGTGTTAGCCTTTTTTTTAGCCAGCTGCCAGGCTCTGGTTGACAGGAGACAAGTTATTTGGCAAGACTACCGCAGGTACGTTTTGCATGTGTGATGCATTCTAAAATACTGGTAACAGAGATTCTGTAAGAACTTAATTAACACCAGTAGGAAGTTACAATTTTGTTGCCAATTGAAACCTGAGACAAAAGGCTACACTGTGTTCTTGTAGGTTTATGAGTTTGTTGGCCCCTAATCCTCTCCCTTCAAAAAGCCTGTACAATGCGGGTAAATGTCGTTGCAATTTTATTACCTGTAGTCCGGTTTTATGCTCCTGTCCATGAAATCAGATGGTTGAACTGGAGTGCCAATCCTGTTTTATGTCCGAAACAAAGTGTGACTCCTTCCCGTGATTTTTATGTACGAGCTAGTTTTTAGTCAGACCCAGAAGGCATATTTTAAAAGCTTTTACCAAAAATCAATGTGATAATAGGACAATGGCCTGTTTCATGAAGCTGCTAATCAATGAGAAAAGTGCAAAGATATATTACAGAAGTTTAAAACACTGCCTATTCAACAATAGTTATTCAGAAACTATATTTGAGATTGCATATCAAGAAATCAATGTGAATGAACTTACACAGAAGTTACTGCAGACAGTCTGTAGGTTTAAAAGGCACTTGTAAAACTATTTGTTGTCTGTAGGGTGTGTCAAAATGTGAAGAAGAAAACTTGGTGAGACAATTATCTTCTATTGTACATGTATATGAGGTATGCACTTTACACTTTATAATGGTCCCAGTCAATTATAATACAGGATTCTTGTGAAGTGTGCTAGTATCTCATAGATGTGAAGGCAGGACAACAGGGTGTTGTGTGTTGCAGTGTAACAGTTTGGTGTCAAAACTATTGCAAGAGATTGTATGTAAATTGTCTATCAATCAAATCAAAATATATCTACATATCATAATTTTATCTATTATCTTTATATATCGTTATGTATCATATCTATCTATATATATCTTTACATATCATTATCATCAACATATCTCTCACTGTATAATTCATACGAACATCTTGTGAGAATGTTATATCCTTGATGTTTTGATATTATTCATCTGACAATGTACGTCAAAAATGTCACAACAATAAACTGAACAAGAGTCATCCATGATTTCTTTGCACTCCTTTTATTAATAGTACCGGGTGCATGTAAATAAGACCTACCACAGGTCCGGTGCTGCCACCACTGCAAAAGTCACACACACACATTTTCACTTCATGGTTAGTTACTGGGTCTCCCTAAGCTAGTACTGGAGGTGTACATGGGGCTACTTCAATTATGTCCACAAAAATTGTACTCTATATAGAGACAGACATATTCATGATTCTGCATTTTGTAACAGCAGCTTTTTGGCCTTTACCTTGACCCTGTTGATAATTCTTATGGCTGATATGATTTAGTCTGTAAAATCTTATCAATTTTCAGCAATTGAGAACATTTACCACAATGAATCACATAATTTCCAATTCATTCAAGATTTGGTAAAAATTAAGCAAAACATTTCCCCATGTACACCACTTTCAACAGCTACTACATTCATAGATATTTATATAGCATGTAAAGAAGTACAAATAATCTGGCATTCAAAGGTAATTAAAATATAATCTGACTTAAATATAAAATTATATGTACATTCATGGACTAAATTAGTTTGGATGGTGGCGGTCCACCTTGTGAACGATTAGGTAAGACAAGGTTATTAGGTGTCAAAATACTTACTGCTTTTTTGTGGCTACTTCCCATTGCAGTCACCAAAAATGTACATTAAAACAAAAATGACCTTACAGCTACTTATCTCATGAGTACCGATGCTGTATACAAAGGTTTTTTAAAGTATGACTTTAAGTATGTTGTATGTACAAGCCCTGAGAATGTGTCATTGCATTGTTTGGACGTTGTCTGTTCCAGGCCACAAGAAAAATAGTCCAGGTTTTCTCCACAGTCCATGGAATGTGTCCCTACCAATGTATTAGAGATATATATATTCTTTATATATATATATATATTTACCACAACTGTGTACCACTTCTTTGTCATACTTATGTGAGCTAACAGATAAAGTGTACTACTGGCCTTTCTCCAAGTTACAAAAGGCATTTTCTCTGTTCACTCTGTCTCACTGTACGATGACAGACGACCATTGCAATGATCAGTTACAGCGTGCTGTACTGTAGTTTATATAACACTGATAGTGGCAGTGAAATGACTACCTTTTTCTACATGGCTGTACCCACCAGGTCAGGAAAGTTTCCACGAAAACCTCTTTTTGACTAAATGTGTGGATGGGCCCTGGAAGAGCTGGCTTTATACCTTCTGCATTGTGTTCACTGGTGTTCCAGTATGAAGCACTGTAAGTACAAGTGCCTTTGAGAGGTAGATTTTCAAATGTGACCATAGATAGATTTTCATCTACAAGCATTTTGAGAAACTATAACTTGATGACTAGAAAAGTACATGTCGAAACACTGATTACAATATCTTTCATGTTACAGTATATCTGCACTGACATAACCACAGACTGGTGCAATTACAAGTTACAAGGGTGTGTTCCCTTCAACACAACAGTTTGAGTACAAAACAGCACTGTACTGTACATAAATAGAGTGTGCGTATCCGGTTGAGTTGTAGACTACAGTGTTTTGTCACAGATGGCAACCCAACTGTGACATGATGCCCATGATATTGGGACTAAGATTCCATCTATGTACCTTATGAGCAATGAAGGACTTTAGTGACTGATAGTATCCCATTTCAATATTTAATATGTCCATCAAAACCATCTAAAATAAAAACTAAAAAAAGTATATCCAGAAGGAACTTTCCCCTCTGTTGTTGCTCTTAAAAGGCGATGAAGACCTTTTCTCCCAACAACAGAAGAAATAGAACCTTTAAGTACAACTTAATGCAATAATCACATTACAACTGATTTTTAGTCTTTTGCTTTCAAACATACTTGGTGATCATAAGGTAGGGATTACTGCAGGCCACATGGGGAATTTGTAGAGGGGACTAGTTCTTGGCTTGACTTACTCTTGCTTAAGCTGCTCAGTTCTTGGGAAAATACTTCTCAGATTCATAGAGTCAAGTGACAGGTATGGAACATACTGTATGTGCGCATTGATAACTCCTTGAATGTGTAAGTTATTTAAGTCCACTGTGCTTTGTCGTTGAATGCTGATACCTTTGGTGCAATGTGCTGGCCCGTGAGGAAGTAGAGAGGCTTGTCCTCGGCAGTGTTGGCTGTCTGGAACTCATCGCGCAGGCGGAAACGCCACTGGTCCTCCAGCTCCAGCCGAACGATTTGTCTCCGCAATGTGTTGCGGTCAGGACAGATGACACACAGAGTTGCACCTGTGAGAATGGACAAGTTTTAGCCAAATATACAATGTGTATGTGTTTTCCACTGGAGAATTTCAAATCACTCTTTACAGATCTGTTCTGTGACAGTTACATTCATCTCAACAAAAACACTGCAAAGTTTGTGATACATCAAAACTGAACTGCTGTACAAGAAAAAGCAAGAACATTTACTGAACAGCATTATTATAAAACCAACTGCTGTCTTAAGACAACACACACGTGATTGTGTACATACCAGGAACAAAGTTGAACTTCTTGAGGAAGTCTGCCATGACAAAACTGTCACACAGGTAGAGCAGCAGCCCACTAAAGCGGCAGTCTGTGTCAGTGTTGATGGAGTGGGGACGGGAGCTCATGTAGGCTACAGAGATCTGTGGTAGGCAACAAGGCAGACAGACACTCAATACTGGTTCCACAGCTGTCAACATATCACAGAGGAGAATAATCAGACTGACAGGTCTAACAAGCAGAAGCACCATTGCACTAAAAAACTACTGGCACTCTTTTTTCTTGCCCACTCTGTGAAAAGTAAGCATTACATTAGGGTGGAAACCTTACATTAAAAAAACAACATAGGGGCCTGGCAAAAATCAATCTAATCTCAGACATCTCAGAAGCATTCTGTCGCATCACTTCAGGCATAACAGTGTGCCATCCTGCTGAAGAACAACATAAGTGCTGCGTCAGTGAAGGCTAGACATCCAGGTAATAAGATACGCGAAAAAAACAGTTACTCAAGCAACTGGATATGGTTTTGGAAACCGTCAGATGTTTCAGGTAGCATCCACTACCTTTTGTCAGTGACACTAGAGAACTTATAAGCAAGAACTACTGATTTGGGCAGAACACAAGTGCTAACCTGAGCTCCCAGGTTGAGGTAGCAGTCGATGGCCAGGACAGGGGTGAGTTGGTTGCCTACGGCCATGGGGAACAGAGCCTTGCTCTCGTGTGCCAGGTACTTCTCCAGCAGGAACTGTGGGGGGGCCACCAGCGGTACCAGGTCCTCACTGTCAGGGGCAGCAACAAACCTGGGGAGGGGACAGACGCATGGGGAACAACCTGGTCAGGAACATACCACAGCAGAGAGGTCACTTGACAGCTGGTGTGAAATCCAACAAAATAGATGCAGACTACTCTTCTGTATATTTCAGGACAGGTACAAAGACTACAGATGAAGAGGAGGCACTAAGTGAGTCGAGAAGAATCACTTATCTCCAAGCAGAATCATACAGTGGCAAGGCAGTATTCATTGACCAGAAGAGTGTCCATTAGCCACTGAAGGCTAATGAACCCTCCTCTGGCCAATGGATACTGCCTTAATTCATTAGAATCACAACTTTAATTCATTAGATAATTCTTATTTTAAGTACATGTGTACTTAATGTGCATGACAAGTATATGTTGAAGTACTTTTGACCTGGTTACCACTTAATAGTAGGTTGTATAAGCACCAAGAGTGAAGTGAAGAGGCACTACGTACTGTCTAGTGGTGATGTTCTGTGCGTTGGCGTTGGCAACCTTGGACTTCATGGGGAAGTCCATACCTCCGCCTACGTGGATGGCCTTCTTCATGAATGAGAAGCGGTTGAATCGGCACAACAGTCCATTGCCGCAGCTGATCCGCATGTTGAAGTCTATGTCTTCACAGTTGTATCTGCATATCATACAAATGTGTTGTGGTCAGTTTTTGCATAGATTCTCAGTGAGCAAGCTGTATGCAAGCCTAATAATATTTAATATACAAAGGTAAGGTTAGTTACTCTGATACATTTGTACCTGGCTTCATGTTACTCATAATTACAAATAGTGTTGCACAGATGATACAGTTATGTGTAACAAATCATTTGGTGTAATGTAGCCAGCTACCGCCGCACCGCGTGCCTGTAAAGCTGGTGTGTTACGCCAAAGGGCAGTTATACCTGCTATACCGAAACAGATACACAGAGAAGTCTAAAATCAAGCAGCCAGTTTTCAATTTACATCTTTAAATGGCAGTCATTACATTTATGTCCTGGCAAGACACACTACCATGCTCCAGTCTCCAGACACGAGCTCCCCCTACCTGTTCTGGTCGTACTGCACGTTCTGGGTGGCGTCCACGTTGAGCATGACGAAGCTGTGCAGGTGACAGCGGGAGAAGGGCTGCATGCTCACGTCCACCGTGGACTTCCCGCTCCACTGCCGAGCGCCCAGGATGCTGAAGTGGGTGATCTTGGGCGTGGCCTCCAAGTGCTGGATCACGTTCTTCAGGGAGATGTTCTGAGTTTGCCTGGAGAGAACGCACAAAATTGAACTTAAGTCTTTTTACTCTCAGCTCAAATACTCAGTAAAAGAATGCCACAACAAGAGTTCCACGATCTCATACCTTCGCCAAATGATGTTGACCCTTGCGGTTGAAATATTATACAATTTTGATAATTGATTTTGCAAATAAGATCCTAATTTGCATGGGTTATATCAGTTGATCATATTCTCCACCCAATGACAGTCTTATCTTAACAAAAAGGCTATTATAGCACTTCCTCATAAATTATGCAAATGAGGTCATTATTTGAATAAATTATGTTTATTGATGTTCGCCTTCACTTAACTTCCAAATGTGGCAAGTATGAAATTCCCAGTAGTTACAACTATGAAATTATAAAAAATTGCCATTAATTATGCAAATTAGGTCTTCATTTACATAGTCTTTATCCTCAGATGTTTCTTTTTAATTCTCAATTACATGTCACAAGTGTTTCATAGTCCTATTATCGAACAAAGCAGATTTATAGAATTTCCTCATTAATTATGCAAATTAGCTCCTGATTTGCACAACTGTCATTTGATTATGTCAAGCATCCCTTCAGCTATATACATACCAAAAATCACGACAATCCGTCAACCGGTTCTTGAGTTATCATCCTTCGAAAATTTTTCAACAAATGCTCCTGCAGTTCCAGAACAAGCCGCTAGGGAGCCCAAACTCATGTCACTTCTTCCCTACCCCGAGAGCTATCTACCAACTAAAATTTGTGACCCTAGCATGTCCAGATCGCGAGATATCAAAACCGGAAGTTCTGCTGCAGTACCAACAAAAGCCGCCAGGGGGCCCAAAATCTAATCATTTCTAGGTCTCATCAAGACCTACCCACCTACCAACTTTCATGACAATGCATTCTAATCTTCTTGAGTTATGCTGTTCACAAACAGACAGACAGACAGACAGACAGACAGACAAACGCTACTGAAAACATAACCTTCTTGGCGAAGGTAATAAAAAGAAAAATGAAGCAGAGAGAGAGGGGAAATGTTGTCTTATGCCAGTTACTTTAACACAGATTTCACATCACATCCCATGTTGACTGAATGTTATTAGTTATAGACAGAATTCTGATACATTTGTTTAAGGTGTCTACAAACGTGATCATGTGTATGTACATGGGCAACCAAACAAAAAATGACTGTCTGACTCACTCACTCACTCACTTAACCCACCCACCCTCTCTCATTCTCTCTCTCTCTCTTCCTTTCTACCATTTGGCATTAACACTGTGTGACAGCACAATGCTCAGCCTTACTTGTCTTCCTGAGTGTTGTCGTGCAGGTTCCACATGACGAGTGAGTCGTCCATGATGATGATGTAGGGCCAGACGTCCTGCCGCCGCACGCCCAGCTCCTCCTGACGGTTACGCTCCAGCTCCAGGTTGTAGTAGGCCAGCTCCTTCACCAGGAACCGCGCAGCTCCTGAACAAAACCACAAGTCAGCGCGATGTCTGGACTTTCTACAACCTGTACAACGAACTTCTCATGCAAGTAAGACAGGTGAAAAACATTGCATTTCAAGCAAAAATGGAATGTCCACATTCCCTTCTTAAAAAAAAGCATTGCATCAAGTCCAAAACACCTTAACCATGGGGGGAATGTCTAGCCTGGGTGCCATTCTATATGTATGCCGGGGCTCCCATACTTAGTAGAAGAAGAATGACTACTAAAAAATATTTCTTAATCAACGGACGCTAAACCGAGCAGTGAGTGTGAGTGTGAGTGAGCGAGTAAGGGAGCTCCGGCATACAGATAGGATAGAACCCAGGCTAAGGAATGTTGGATTCAGGAAGTGAAACTGGTTTGCGTCTCACCGATGCCGGCATCGTTGCAGACCACAGGCAGCACGAGGATGATGTGGTTGGGCCAGAACTTCTGGTACAGCGCCATCTCGCACTGCTTCACCACCACGATGTGGGTGTGGCGCCCCCCCTCCATGGCGTGGTACAGGTTCAGCAGCCCATGCTCCTGACGGCTGCACGTCGGGGTGAAGATCGGCGTCTTGATGTCGTTGTGTCCCTGGAAGGAGAAATACACATATATGAGCTCTTCTGTGCAGGAAAGTGTGATGTGTAATGGGAAACATGATTAACAGCATCCAGATTAAATCTGGACAATCCAGAGCACTTTGGACAAATACTTACAATACTTACACTTATAGTTACAAGGCTGATATTTTGTGAACAGCTTCCCTGACACCGTACAGATCATATTGACCCTCAGTGCAGTCACTCAAGATTTTTCAAAACAATCCCAAGATTTTTTTTAATAATCTCAAGATTGTTTCAGACAATCTCAAATCATCTCAAGATTTTTTAAAACACTCTCAAGATTTTTTACAAACAATCTCAAGATTCTTTGAAACAATCTCAAAATCGAATTCTTCAACATTCCATATGGTCTACTGTGCATCAGAGTCCTACGGGCCTTACTGTGGACAAGCCCATTCCCCATGACCTTGTTTCCTTACCACAGCGTCGAGTGATGGCAGCCTGAGGCTCTCCAGGTGGTGGCCCTGTTTACTGAAGACAAAGTGTTTCTCCTGGGTCTGAGGGATGATGAAGTGCAGGCGGACCTCCTCCCCGTACACCGCGGACGGGAAGGTGAAGCTGTAGAGGCTGGACTCGCGGGTCTGCTGTGGAGGCATGGAGAGGTACAGTTAGGAGAGCCCTCTGGAGCCAGGTGACAGAACTGCAGGTGTATCCACACCTTACAAACTGCAGAGTAGCTCATAGCTAGATGCATTTTCTTACATTTTATATTAGGTGGTCAAGGACAAGAACTAATGCAGTCCAGGACTAGAACAAATAGGAGCAAAACGATTTCTCCATTCTGTGGAAATTTTTAGTAATATCCAGTGTCATTTGAATTATAAAAGTTGCTGCCCTGAACAGTTACACCCATCGAAACAAGTCCACTAACCTGTGGTGCCACAGACTCCATGTAGTGGTGGCAGTGCTCGCAGTGGTGGAAGCTGTTGTGTGCGCTGAACTTGGACAACATGATGGACATGGTGGGTCTCCGGGAGTCCTTGTTCGCAGATGGGTTGTGATCTGAAACAGTGACAAATATGACATCAAATCAAGACTTAACTTTTAACAATATACTAGATCCAGGAATGTAAAGAAGTTATGACATTACAGAAAAAATACTAATTGAAAACAATTTTGATTGAAATTTACAAGCAACTCTGCTCTATAAAATCTGTTGTAAACATTTTTACACCTGACCTACTGGGTATGAAGAACTCCCTCTCACCTGTCTTCTCTGAACCAGTGTACACAGGACTGCATGACATGAATTTGCCCTCGTGGAGGTTGGCATCGAACGGCATGCTGCGCACAAACTCGTAGTCGGGCCACTTGGCCGTGAGGTGTGCCGTCTGGTTAGCGTTGAACACCAGGCTGACGGCCGGCGACTCGCGGTCCATGTTGATCTCCTCCTCGTTGTAGACCTCCACCTCCAGCAGGCGGATCAACATCCGGAACAGAACCCGCAGGAACTGGAGATATGCACCCGTCTTACCAACCTGGGGAAAATATGGCAACGTTTATGAAGTGCTCTTTGTCTTATTTTACAACCTCTTAAGGTACAAGTAATGGCTGTAGGACTAGGAGGAATGTACTGTACAAAACGTACTGTATACCTTTCAAAGAAGCCTCACTGGGTCAGTCTACTGAGGAAGACCAGAGTGACTGGTCAAAAGCTCTTGGTGAGAGAACTTTCTTGTGTTGGATCAAAAGTTTTAACTCTAAACATGTAACTACCAACACAGATGAACTTCATGATAATACTGTATACCAGGTAGTTTACTGAAGGATGATCAAATTGAAAAGCAACGGCTAAAATTTCAAAAACAGACATGTTGTACTGTACCTGTGGGGGCCCGCTGAGTAGCAGCCGTCTGGGGTGGAACACTGGCAGGTTGTTCTCACCCTTGTTGTCTGTGTCCATGTGATGCTGCAGAGGCTCCGTCCATTGTCTACAACACAGGGGAGGGTGTTGGAATATATGATGCTTCCAAAAAACTTGAAGTCTTAATGGTGTGTGTGGGTAGATATGTTTTAAACAAATAATGAATCTTATCAAAGATTATCTTAAGAAAAGAATCATACAAGGTGAAGACAACAGCAATATCTAAGTGGTGTCTGTGGCATGGTCTGCAGCTATTTTACATTTAGGACCAGAGGGATGTCTACTGACCTGTAGTATGCTGACTGCACTTCGTTGGTGACTTCTCCTAACAACATGGGCCTGAGGGGACAGATCCACCCGACGTCAGGGTGGGGCTGTAAGGAGATGTGCCGCTGTTTTCCCTGAGGGTCTGGTCTGAGGATATCGTACGCAGTCTTTGATACGATGATGGTCACCGGGAGCAGGGAGGACCCTGTTTTTCTGCTCGCCGACGGCTTGGGCTGGCCCAGAGATGAGGTAGATGTGGTGGGGAGGTTGTCTTTGCTCAGAGAACTTTTCACGCTGGCCATCGGAGACGTTCCGCTGCGGTCGCGCGCGGCTGCCGCTTCCCGCTGCTCGAACGGTTCGTTTGGCAGGTCTGCGTCTCCCTCCTCCCCGGTGTCATGGCTGTTACTGTTCTTTTCCGCGTCCTTCCCGTAGATCATGTCTATAGAGTTCTCCACCATGCCCTGCAGGGACGTGACCGACCCGCGGGGCTGCTGGGGAGACATCTCCGGCACGCTGTTACCCTGGGACTCCTTCCCGCTGTCCTGGGCAGAGTCGGGGGAGGACCTGCCCACGTTGTCGGTGGGAGTCTTCCTGGCCGTGTCGGAGACTGAACCGTTGTGGTGCTGAGCTTGGTTACCTGAGAAGCCTGGTGATGTCTGCTGCACATCTGTTAAAGCACCGGAAAAAGTGTAAAGATATTTGTATAGGATTTGAGGGGAAAGGGTACCAAATTTTTTCTTTTAAAAATCTGACATTTCTGTTAAGATATGGATGGTTTAAGAACCACTAGTTTTATCCGAAGAATTACTGAAGAAACACCAGAAAAAGGGTCAAGATATTTGTAGGACTGGAGGGGAAAGGGTGGTACATTAATTTGTACCAAATGATTCTTTAACAAAATCTGACATTTCTGTGAAAACGATATTTTAAGGACCACTTAGTTTTACCTGAAGAATTACTTCGAGGACGGTCTGTGTCAATCTGTAGGTCGCCCTCTTCGTTGTCCATCTCACTGTCGCTCTGGCTGTCCTCGTCGCTCATGTCGCACACCGTGATTGGCTCGTTCACAACGTCCCGGCTGATGTAGCGACAGCCTAGACTGATCTCCTGCTCCAGGCTAGCACGAGTCACATGACCATGGTTGACCAACCGGAGGTCGCAGTACTTCAGAGACCTAAATATGGGTAAACAGAGACATCACTACATGGTTCATGACAACGCAAGGTAAACAACCTGACCTGCTGTGTTAACAGGATTAGGTCTGACCTTGGACTGGTTCTTCAGGAGATGCACAGCAAAACCAACTTTCTCATGACAGTGTCAGCTTTGACCTGCTTGTAGAGCAGTTGTAGAACAGTATTTTTTTTTGTATTGCAAGACAGATTCATATCATATTACCACTAAAAAGGTTTTGTCGATTGACTTTATTGACTACACAAAGCTTTGTAATCCGTTATGTTAGTAGCCAGTTAGCCTGGGTTCTTCCCTTACCTGGGCATGGTCTCTCCCAGTGGGTCCTTCCCACAGAGGATGAGGATACAAGGCAGTCCCTCCAGGTCCCGGTAGGTACGGGGGACCCACGACGACTTCCTCTCAGGGTTGTCCAACTCTCCTCGCCAGGCCTGCAACATCAACCACAACAACGATTACAATTACACACCTTCCCCAACATCCAAGCCTCAGTTTACATGGTTTATAGTGTAATCATTAATCAATCGCCACCATGCAGTTTCTTGACGAGCTACTGAATGGCTAGCTTCGTCCACTCTTCTAAATATATTTGTGGTAACTTTTTGTAGATAACATATCTTTTTGTCAATTATGCCTCAATTCAGCAATTGTAGCTGCAATGGCAAATTATCTGTTGTGTGATTTTATTATTGAAAATAAACCAGTCAATATTAATGATATTATAGATATCCAGGATACTGGTCAATGTGGCAATCAGACATTACCTGCATCCTCTTGAGGAAGTACTCCTCCAGCGTGAGGTCAGTGTTGGCGCTGCTGAGGATGACGTCGAACCTGTACTGCAGGCCCAGCTTGTCCCTCACGCTGTGCAGCTTGTCGTACGCCACCATGGCCAGCTGGATGGAGGGAACGCGCAGCAGCAGCATGCTGCCCCGCCCGCCCGCGCTGGTCAGCGGGGCGTTCACCACGTCCTGGAGCATGTTGAGGGTCTCCGTGGTGGTCATCTCCTGGGCCCCAGGGACGCCCGCGATGGTCATGAGGGCGGCAGAGTAGTGGCGGACCAGGATGTACGTGCGGATCACCATGCTGTGCAGCTTGGGGTACCTACAGAGGAAGGACATACACAAACATAAGAGGAGATTAAAATATCTCACCTTGTCAACAGGCAACCTCAGGGGTCAACAGACAACCTCAAGGATAATGAGACAAATTTCACAAATACAACTTGTAGAAGATCTGTATGGTTAAATAAAGGCTTTGGGTAGCATTGACAACCTGGCAAGGACAGAGAATACTAACAATGAATCTACTGATAAAGATACAGCAGCTCTTACTGCTATAGTATAGTGGAAATGTTGTTAATCATTGGTACCAGTATTGTTATGGCATCTACTCATGTCTACTTTAACACCAAGCCAGGGCAGGACTTACTTGGCCAAAAGAGAAGTAGACATCTGCTCGAAGGAGTCGTCGGAGCGCAGGGCAGGCATGTGGTTACTCCAGTCAGCAGTTCTGCAGTAGTCACTCACACCAAAGTACACCGTGTCCTCAGGGGGGACGTTAGGGTTCTGGGGAGGAGACCAAAAGCAGCTGAGCTTACTACAATATGTCTTCCAGCTTACTAAAAAGCATAGCTTCACGTAGTCACAAACATTGTCTTCCAATATCAAAATTGACACATTGCAATGTCATAAGACTCATATACCAGGAAAAATGGTCACACGATGGGACACTTTAAAATACCAACATCGCTTACATGATTGTATACCTTTCACATTTTCTTATAATCCATATTCCCTGAAACTTTAGTCTTGTTATCATTTCTGTGCTTCAACAAACTACATTTGTACTAAAAACTGAGAAACCAGCCAACATAATCTTCCTGTAGAAAGGCTTACTGACCTGTTTGATGTTGCTGGGCCAGAAGACTTCGTTGTGGGGGGTTACCCGGGACTTCTGTGTCTGCAGAGAGAAGGGCGAGGCGCTGACTTGCAGGGTCAGCAGGTTGGGTGCATCGGCGATGTCCTTACAGTTGATGTACTTGTCAGCCAAGCCCATGTTTCCAGAGGAGTGCCTGAAACAACACACACCATCACTCAACTGACATTCTTAATTTACTTGTAATATACCAGACACGGTGGAAAAAGATGAAGAAAGACTGAATGCGGCTACAGGACATGACCACACGACTGTAGACGCAGAACACTGATGATACCAGACTAAGACCTGTTTCCTTGCAATTTTTGCCTCCCCTTGTCACCTAATCTACATCTGTACAGTTCAACAAGTACATGTTTGTATTTTGACAGTTACAGCCCTTTCACAGCTTTACTGTCAAGTAAAAAGAGTTAAAAGAATCTTATTCTTTCTAATTTAAAACCCTGACACACCAAGTCTTAAGAACTAGAATCTAATAGTACTCAAAGATAGATCCTACTGATAGATGGTGTGGGGACAAACTGACCTGTTGACGTCCACGTGAGCCTGATCCTGGATCAGCACATGTAGTGTGTAGGGGTGCTGGCGGACATGTTTCACAAACGACTCAAACTTAGCCTGGTTCTCCGCCACACTGTCACACTTCATCACGTACTGATCCACCTTCTGGTCGATGGAAGAGGCTGTCTCCATCCCCAAGTCCACAAGGACTCCTGTGGCAAAAGATATAAAAATTTAACATCAATACTTTGTCTTAAAAAAAATTAACATAGGAGATTCAATGTAGTGCTTCTCTTTCGCCTTTGCTATTAGACATTTCCAACACATGGAGCCTGCAATGCTATAAAAAACAGCATTGTGAGGAAGTTTTTCTCATACCCTTCTCACAAATTGGATTTTATGAAAAACAGCTTGACGCTTTAATTGTTTCTCAGAGAAGATACAAAATGTGAATGGTAAGTTAATAGCGCACCTCCCTCCAGCTGTGCTACAACCCTTTATAGATGTCCATCTGCTCATACCCTTTTCACAAATTGGATTTTATGAAAAACAGCTTAACTTCACCTTAAGGGTCTTCGTTTTTTAATCCCTTACAACTTTGTGAAATGATTAGTCAAAATCAACAGTGCAAATCCCTCCAGCTACTACAGACTTTCATAGGCATCCACCTGCATGGTACAACATACTAGCCACACATGGCCTCAGCCCCTACCTGACTGCTTGAGTCGCTCCACGGTCTGGTTGTACAGGATGTTGGAGGGCGGCACCATGACCAGGATGTCCACCTTACTGAAGCGGCCCAGGTCCAGGCTCTGTGTGCCCGAGTCAGCGATGGCACACACCTGCGACAGGATCTTCATCGCCACGGCGATCTGGACCGGGTGCAGCTCCTGCTGATCTGTCAGGTCTGAGGTAAAAAAATCAACATGTAAGACAAAATAATCGATCTGGTGTGTTGTTACACACTGTATGTTAGGTATGTAAGGTATGTTGACTTACTTGACTATGTTAATAAGTCTATTTATAAGAGTAAATTTTCTCTGCCTAGCTAGCTCATTCAGCTCTTTCAGGAGTGTGACAGTTGAACACACACTACTAACTACTAACACTAACAGTGGACCAGCTCTCTGCTGTGGTGCTTGCACAACTGTTTCATAGGGTTTTTGGAATGGAGATAGGACTCTAACAAAACTTTACCTCCTGCAAATTTACCTCCTGACAACACCATTTGGACAACACAATGCACACACAAACAAACCTGGGTGTTTGTCAGGGAACATGTCCTTGGCCACGTCCTCCCTGACCCTGTGCATCTCCCCGCCGTGGTACGGCACCATGACCTCCCCCGTCAGCGTACCCGCAAAGTCATCCAGCAGCTTGTCCAGCTCACTGTTGCCTGGAGCGTGGGCTGCGTGCTTCTTCACTGGAACCGACACGGCTGCAAGGACAACACAGTGAGCATTACACATGATGGAATGGAATGAAAATACTTCAAACTTTGTAAAATACAGTAGTGCACTCTTCATTAGATAGCTTTAGACAGCAACTGGAAATATACATGAATGGTCTGGGTACGATATACATGTAATCAGCCACAACCATGAGTCTACAGACATGGTGTAATATATCAAAGTACAGTTAACTAATTCAGGTTTGATTTCCCAACAGTTTTTATGGCTTAAACACAAAAAGAACAAAGGAAACAATATGGTACTGACCAGTGCTAGGCTCCTTGAAGTGTGAGGTAAGTAGGTTGAATTTGCCAGTGATGATCTCGTAGCTGATCTCCTTGAAACAATCACTGGCTGACAACATGCTCTCTGCCACCACTCGTGCCTGGTGCACGCCTGTAGAATAAAGAACAGTTCAAGGTCATTGTCAGTTTGTCACTACAAAACACAATCTTAAGCCAGGAAAGAAGTCTCACTACTAGTATACAACTGAAGCAAACATTTTCTCTTCGTATCTAGTTGAAATCACAAGCTGCTGACCTGTGACGAGAACGCAGAATTCCGTGCCCCTGTGGCGGGAGACGTGGATCACCACCACAAAGGAGGGGTATCTGGTGTAGGGCTGAGGCATGCAGATCATCTGCAGGGTCTCTGAGATGCCCTCTGCTAGCGAGGCTTGAGCGTTCACAATCCTGGGGAAACATGAGAGAACATGTCAGTGATTATTTTGGTTAAAAACAAAAACAAACATTCAAAATGATACAGACCAACTGAATACATCATCCTTTACACTATCCTTTTTCAAAATACTGAAAAATACTCTGTACATTTCTCATATTACACACAAGAAGTTGACATCGGAAGTGCTATCCAACACTTCGCCAACCAGAACAACATTTTGAGTCCACATTATAACAGGGTACTATACAGAAACGCCTGTATCAGTTGTGCTTTAAAACTTGTACTGTACCTGACAAGTCCGTTGGAAGCGCTTGCAGCCACCTTCGCGAGCCATGGCAGCTGTGCGGGGGCGACAGACAGGAACTGGGCGTGCTGCTGCATGTTCTTGTCCTTGATGGCCGACTCCTGTCGAGCCTGCAGCAAGATGGCGTCAAACTCCTCGCGCAGAGGGACCTTCTCATTTCCTGTGTGATACAACATAACACACATTGAGGAAGTATACAAAATTCACAAGAATGAACATTATAATAGAATTTTCAAAACCAATCTTGGTAGACCTGCGAGGTTAATGACGACAGAAACATTTATTTTGACACAATACAGAATATCTTCTTCCACTTAATTTCAAGGCAAACTACTCCTATAGAATTTTCTAAGCCAAGCAAGTAAACTTGTGCTTCCATATCAGAGTCAAATCTGGCCTTTGGCATATAAGCAAATCAATGAATATTGATGTGCACACACAATTAGACAAGTCCTCTCCACAATGCCATCGAAGTGCACCAGCCCGTATGATATCCCCATGACAACACACTGCCACCGTGGGGTTTTGTGGCATAACGGCAGAGCATTCAGCTCAGAACCAAGAGGTCCCGGGTTCGAATCCTGCCATGTCACCAACCTTGTGCGCTTGGGAAAGGCACTTTACACAACTTTCCTCACTTCACTCAGGTGAAAATGAGTATGCCAGAACGATCATTATCATGATCGTGGGCATTAAAAGAAAAACCAAACCAAGACTCACCCAGCTGCACCAGATACTGCACAGTCAGCAGGGCCATGGTCTCCACACTCAGCGGCGGGGCGTTGGTCAGACCCAGCCCCTCCAGCAGCTTGGGCGGCATCTGGACGGGCTTGTAGCAGTCCACCAGCAGGGTGCTGACCACCACGTCGTTGACGTTGCCATGGAGATAGGGCAGGTTGCCATGGCAGGCCAGGACGACGGGCTTGGTGCAGCAGATGTTGAGCAGCCCCGGCTGGATGAACACGGACTCGGCTTGCATGGCAGGGTGGGGGGGCATGACCAAGTTCAGGTTAGACATGGTGTCTGGGGAGCAAACAAGAGGCAATCGCTATGACAACAGCAAATAGACGTGGTCTCTCTTCTCATACAAATATTCAGTTTGGTGTATACCACACAGGATAACCTTAAAGCTGTCTTTCCATCTCATTGCTGATTTAGTTAGAAATAAATGAATGAATATTTGTTTTTTATTATTGATGACTGAATATGACTGAAGAAGACTTAAAGCTAAATCTGTTAGTGCACAAGAAATCCTCATAGTGTAGACACTGACGTCAATACTTTTAACATAAATAGATCCATGAGAGAAGGTAGCACTGCCTGTACCTGGTCTTCCTGGTCCCCACCCCTTATGTCTCTTCTTGGGCGGCTGTGCGGACCCGTCAGGCGGGCTGGGTCCATTGGGCAGGGGAGGGCTGCCTCCTCCTCCATACTTGATGGTAGAAGGGCGCGGCTGGGGGGAGGGGTGCTGCTGCTGAGCTGCCAGGAGGGATGCTGGGACACGGTTGGCATGGTAACTGATGGTGGCCTGCTGGGCACCTTGAGCTGGAGGAGATGGAAATGCAACGATTGTTACACTAATCTTTTTTTCCCAAACATCATCTTTTCTAACTTAAACCAGACAAATCTTTGTTTCTGGTCCACTTAAGTCCCTACAGTCCTACCTAAATGGAATATGTATATGTTTAAATATTCTATACAAATTAGGATACAGAGAAATAGTGCAGAGAGCTTGGCCCAACTGACCTGCTTGTGAGGAGGCTGCCCCTGCCAACATCTTCTCTCCTGCGGACAGGAGTGGGGACACCACCTGGGGCGCCATGGGGAACCCTCGCTTACGCACCTCCGGGGACACCACTGGTAAGTAGAGGAGAGTAATGAATGAGAAGGGACAGTGTAACACATCATTCTATATAATGGCCAGAAAAGAAATGACCAGAGTATAAAAAGAAAATACTAGAAGTAATATACTAGTATCAGCGTCAACATACAGATCACACCAAGCTGCCAGAATGGCTGCCTTGGTATGTATACTGGTCAAAAGTCTGGTTACTGTTGTCCAAAAGAGTTGAAAAGTGGCGAATAAACTCTTAGGTGTACCAATAGCTTTAGTCAATGGACAGAAATAAACTTTTGAGGATTATAGGTCCCAAGAAATGTACATATATAAAGAAGGGAAGTTGTATGGGACCTATACCTTTCCATGGCACCAGAGGTCCCCTGACTAGTAGACCCAGGTTGTTCCGCACTATGTAATACTTGAGGTGCTTCTGCTTCTTGGGTTGTGTAGTCAGTCGCAGGTTGATATGTGCAGAGAATTCTGTGAAGTAGCGGAAACCCTGCTCCCCACACCCAATACAGTTCCCACTGAAACCTGTACATAGGAGAGACAAATATATCATTCAAACATAGGCGGGAAAGAAACATGATACTCTTGTGTTTGTATTCCTAGAAGTTGAATGAAAACCTTTTTTTTTTCTAAATGGAATCTGTACCTAAGAAATTGAAGAAGAATTGATAGGCGCTACATTCAGGAATTATGCCCTCTCCTGACAAAAACAAGATATAGTGTCAACAACCACAAAAGAATTTCAATATTGGACATCGATAAAACATCAACAAACAGAGGCAAAGATGTTATCTTACCCAGCAATGCCAGGTTGGTTTTAGGATTGGGGAGGAACCTGGCATCCACAGCTGCTACCAGGATGTTATCGGGGAGGTTTGGACTCTTCCCACCAACAAGAACAAAACCTTCTGGCAAGGTGAGCTTCACTTCTCTCAGGGATGTCAGACGGATGTCCTTTCCTGCCTGGCAGTACCCTGAATATCAAAGGTCGAAATTGTCATTGAAAAAACTGCATGCAAACTATTCTCATACAATTTTACAATCGAAAATGCTTGTTGCCTGTGCAGAGGAAGAAAAATGTATCGTTTTTTATTTTTAAACAACTGGTTGTGAAAAAAAATTCACTATGCACACTGAAATTCATTCAACCACAGTGTTCAATTCAAACATAACCTTGAGTCCAGCCGGTGAACTAGGATATATATATAGAGAAATATGTAAACAGGATATACAAACTGCACATAGGGTGGAACTCTGCTCTTTAAACTTTCTAATACTAGTTATATTTCAGTCCATACCATGGTATGGATGAAATATATTGTGTTCTCTCATGTTTCTTCTTCTCCTCCTGCCAAACAGTCAAAGGGATTCAACTCCACCATCATTCAGCCAAATGACTTGAAATTTGGCATGGAGGTAGAGTGGGCCAATACCCCCAGGCGTTTTTTTCATTTTTTTGATACATGCCTTTGAAAAATTTTTATGAAGGTTTTTTGGGGCATTTTTCGCCAAAAAATGGATTTTTGGATCCTGAGCCCTGGTTTTACAACCAAATGATCTGAAATTCGGTATAAGGGTACCTTGAACATGTGTCTACAGAATAGCAGTCACATATTTGGCATACACCACTTCCAAATGACTCATTAGGGGGACTTTAATGGCTATTTTCAGCAAAAAAAGGGCCAAAAGTGCTGTACCCGTTCCATGTTCTATCTAAAGAATGGCCGGTTCCATCCATGGAACACGTGTTCCATTGCGGGTTACCTGAGGTCACATTGCACCTAAGTGGTGCGTAATGACACACACATTCAATTTTATGTGCCTAAGACCTTCAAAATGTATCAAATCTCATGATTGTTAGTTTTTGCATACCTGTAATAAGATTAGTAAAGCTTTCGAGATTCAAAGTACTTGTTGTTGCATCTTTGGTCTCATATACATGTAGCTACTATTTAATTCATTTATTTGAGAACCTTTGCCAGTTTTGCACTGGGGTAAGTTTGGAATAGTCCACTTTTGCGTGGGAGGGAGATGGACTGAAATATGCTGTATTTGCTCCCAAGCAAATGTCGGCCTTTCTAGTTACAGTAAATATTTTCCTACAGGATGTTTCTCTTTGATATACTGAACCCATAGATTTTCATGTAAATATGTCATCACAAGTCAAGAAGTTCTTATGGTTACACAAAGACTGGCCGTACACACGAGACCCCCTTCTCACCTGGTGTCTGACACGCCCCCTCTGGGGGGGTGGGGAACCTGTAGGGCTGCTGGGGGCTGCCAGGGGGGTCCTCCTTATCCTCCTCCTCGTAGGACTGGTCCACACTGGGCTGCTCCACGGGGGGGTTTCCTCGGTAACCACTAGTGCTGCTGGTGCTGCTGTGTCTGTCCCTCGGAGCAGCTTCTAACTCTTTTATGTTGGGCTTCACGTCTGTGGGTTGAAAAAGTTGAACCATCAAATACTAAATCAGACAGAACTGTATCTTGTGAACTGTAATTGTTATGTAAGAAAAACATCAAAATTTAATGACCTGTTTGTTGGTGAATAATGGAAGGGACCAGTACCGATATACCTCTAAATATCATTGATGATAATAATAAGAAAAGTTCAGACAGAGTTTTGTGATGTTGCCTTTTCATATACATGTGGATCATAATACATCTGATCAAATAAAAAATGTAGCCTGGTGATTACTAAGTATCATTAAGTGTCACAATTGCTACTCTGGGCTCTTAAGTGAAAAAGTAATCACCATCTTTACAGTCTGTTCTTTACTAATTCAAATGAAGTTGATATCTGGAGGAAAGCACAAGCTCAGTAGTAAACATTAACCATGTTATACAAATCTTACATCGTTCAAAGTATTTGCACAACTGACCTATATTTTCTGGTCCAGGCTGGCGTACATGGCCTTGCTGCTTGTCTAGGTAAAGCTGGGAGAAGACAGGACGTGGAGCCACATCCTGGGACCGTAGGGACTGCTCTATGGAGTTGTGCAGCGCTGCCTCGAATCGGGAGGACTTCAGCTGTCCGTGTGTATTCCCCATTGCCTGGAAGGAGAAACTTTGCAGTTGAGACCGCAGCAAAACAAAACTACAAGAAGATGTGTGTTCTTGAGTGATAGATGATTCAAAATGTTTCACTGTTACCCTTAAAACACTGCTGTGAACCAGACACGAAATAAACCACAGGGTTAACACTTCTATAAGATTAGCCTACAAAGTGCATTAGTTGTATTTTTCTCAGCATAGGATTTTGACAAGGAAGCTGAGTGGTCTAACATTGATAAACGAAATTTGTCTGCCACAGTCGCTATAGTGTAGACCTATGCCCCATATGGGGCCAAGGGCCCAAGTAATAGTAGTATAGTATTACATGTAACAGTTAAAGTTCATGTCAACATTTAAAATTTGAACGATTGTTACAGATTTTCAACTTAACTTCTCGAATACAAATGTTAAACACTAACCTGTTCCTATTAACAGGAAAGGGCAATTAACCTTTGACCTGAACCAAATATTTGCACTGCTCACTACAAAGGCAGGGTTATTGACCTAAAGCAACACGAGGCTGTACTCTGAAGCAAGTGTTGGTCAACCAACTGCCGACACACACACACACAAAAACACAAGAAACTTCCCACATTGAAAGTAATCTGTAATATAATCTTATTCTAAAAACCTCAAGAAACACAAAACATAGAAAAGCTGGGTTTTTGTTCCCACTGGTTCCCATTGAGAGAGAACTAGTTAACTGAAGGGCCCCGATGACCTGACCCAGGTGTGTGTAATTACATAAAGAGTCACCTGTTGGGTCGGTTCTCCGTACTCAGTACAAAGGTGGTTATACCAGGTACAGGGGATAGATAGCACATGCCAATTCCACATGGCATACCAGTTAAGTAGGTCAGTGAAGACAATTCTGCCCACACCTACGCCAGAAAAACACTTCGACACTGTTGCTGTATCTCATGTGCCTAAAGGTCAATGAATTCATTGGTAATTTGTAACAGAGCATAGTCATTCTCAAACAGCAACTAGGAGCGAAAATGGATAAAACGCAAACAGACGAGGTTGGTGAAGACACACCTTTGTCTTCACAGTGGTAAAGAAATATGTAATCCATACTTTGCCCTTCCCTTGGCTTTAATCCTCTCTAAGCCTGGTGGGTTTATAGGGGTTCCTTTGTAGCAACCAACTAGCCTGTCCTCATCAGCAAAATATAGTGGCCATTTTTGTTTTCCCTATCATGTGGACCAATCATACAAATAGTCTGCAACAACACGAAGATCACACCCCAAGTTCAGTATAGAAAAACAGACCACTTGCCCATCCCACTGTCCCACCACCATTGTGTGCTCTTGTATACACTGAACTTAGACTTACCAAAAGAATGTTCTTGAACAATAGGAGAGACCAAGGGTTTTCCTCTGTAAAAAACACCCCTTCACTCTTGGTCAATGACGCTGTGCCCTCCTGACCCCTTTCTTCCTCCTGAAGTCCTTCAGCAGCCTCCCTGTCCAGGGACTTGGGAGTCCCCTTCTTTCTCATGCTGCCTGCCCTGCCCTCTCCACATCAATGAATGCTGTTGACCACTGTTTAGACAACTGCTGCAAGCTTGACCTCCCTCATTTGCATAAAAATGGGCTAGACCCATCTGACCTGCTAATCCTGCTGAACATGACCACTGACCCTTCGGCCAGTCCACTTACAAATAGGTGGTACAGGTTTGGAATTCTTTTCCCTTCCTGCTTACTTCAGAAGTTTATTCCACACATGTAGTACTGTTTGCGACAAAATGTTAACAGATACTGACAGGAACGTTGTGATTGAAGTTAAGAGTTATAAATATTAAGGGGACACTTTTTGCTGGAAGAGGTGTACAACTCACTAGATTTTTGGTTCAGTCTAATGGAGAAAAGAGGGGCATGAGACAACAAAGGGGCGGGATAATCTACTTACAACCTTTGCATGACAATAGCATTCTCTCTGTGGACCCATCAGCTCCAATCTTGTCTTGTGTACAGAGGGAAAAATGGTAATGCATTGTGCAGGTGACAAGGTTATGGCTTCCTATTTTCAACCTATCTATTAGTATTTCAATGTGTATTTTGAATCATCAAATCTACGTTAAAAAAATTGAGATGACGAGTACAATAGAGCTTTGTAGGAAGATCTCTACCAGTTGGGGCTGCTCATCCTATTATTTAATTGTCATTCCCTATATTTGTCTGTTCATCATAACGATGAATTACTGTAAGTCTCTATATATCTTGTCTATCAGCTGTGGATCACATTTTATGAATTTTTTTCTTTCGTTCTGCATGTTGTGTACAAGTCAAAATATGAAAAAGACTCAGTTTCCTGCAACTTGGGTTGTATCTTATAAATCTCAGAGAATGAGTGCTGATAAGGCATGTACAAAATTTCTACACGGGTTTGATGAAATATACGTAAAGGTGGAAAAACTCCATAAATCCACTTTCGAGAAATTTAGGGCTTCCAAATAAACTTCTTTTCCTTCTAGTCAGTGTTTTATTTGGACATGAATAGTGTGTTGCAGAGCTGCTTTCCTGTTGGTAGTATGTTTACACTGGTGGTCTTATATTCCACTTGAGTCCCACTCAACCAGATTTGACAGGTATCTGGTGGTTCCAAACTATGACCACACCACCTGGAATCCAGCTAACGAGACTGGATCTGTTTGCAGCACACCTGCAAGCCTTTTTTTACTGAACGTTCACATTCTTTTCAATGCCTTGGACACAGTGACCATCTGGTCTTTTTTTTTCGGTACAACAACATCTGTTTTTCCTTGTCATTTCAATGCCTTGTACACAAGTAACATTCAGTTAGTCAGTTACCATCTGTTCTTTTGTTTCGAAAGCAAAAATTGATCAACAAATTATTCATTTGCATTGGGACACAGTTCTGTCTCAGAAGGTTACGACAGAGGCTAATCTCAGTAACAGTTACTATTAACTGAAGGTTGTTGAATTTGAAGGTCATCTCACACTCCCAAGGACTGCTGGTAAAACAAGTCTGGGTGAACCATTCATGAATTATTGAATCATTGAGAGGGGTTATATGGAAAGGTCAATCAAGGTGTATAAAGTCAAACAAAACAAAACAACCCAATTAAACAGTAATTAGTTAAGTACTGACATAGTAAAATTCCAAAGTCAGGACCATTCAAACCATCTTTAGAAAATGGTACCAGCCACTCACTTGCTTCATAATCATAATTCAAAGTTTTATGGACTTGTCTACTGCAGGTAACATATCCACTCACTTCATAATTCAATGCTTTATGGACTTGTCTGCTGCAGCTAATATATCATGCTGCACGTATATACAGAAAGAATTTTGAGCCCTGCACGCAAAAACCATGTCACAGCCTTCAGAAAGATTATTTTATGGGCATAGACACCCTGCCAGGCATCTGAACTATCATTCTATGTAAGCCTGACATTGCCAAAATCAATTAAAGCTACACAAAGGTAACCTAACTGACTCTGACACTGGGAGGGTTATGCCATTGTTTTGTTAGTAACCTTCAGTTTACTGCTATTCTTTCCATGACTTCAATTACCTCTTAGGCCACACCAATTTAATTTCTTGGTTAACGGATTCGCCCGCTTCATTTTTTTCTGATTTGCAAATAAAATAAAAATTCAGAATCAACTGCAAAATACTCATATTTTGCCCTGAAGAGTTGAAAACAGTCCTTTTCATCCTAGTTGTTACAGTTATTCCATCTTAGTAGCGTACCATTTTGGGCCATAATAGGATGCCTAGGCCTGTTTTTATTACTCCGTGAAGGAGGTCAGGACCTCCGGACGGAGTGTTGTAATCGGCTGATTTTTCATGTTCGCAGTCAAAACACTGGGTTCTCTTTGTGTAATCGGCACGCAATTTTATACGCCGTCTGCGGGCATGCCCGTGTTGATGCACGAATGTGTATTTTTGCCGTTGCTGCTTTCGCGGTCAATGTAATATCGCAGACGCACCCCTACAATTACGAGGCGAATTGGATTGGTCCAGAAAAACGCGTTGTTTGGAATAGCAGTGGGGTTCAAAAAAGTTCATGCAGATACGGGGTGGTTTTTATAAGTGGTTCCAGATGTTTTTGCCCATGGTTAAGAGATGCCAAGTTTTTTGGAAGATGTTCGCAGCCAAAACGCATTCTTCCGTACGTCGCATTTCTGTGTAATTTCGCATGTGGTGTTGCATTATGTCCGGGATGATGCACGTCTTTTATTTTTACCGTAGCTGTTTTGATATTGGAGTAAATGCTTATTTTCGAAACATCCCCATTTCTTTGAAATGGTTTCGTCCGTTTATGCAACTGTTACTGCGCTAATGACGACCAGTCGCGCTGTCCTGATACACCGCGAATGTGCGAGTGTTCCCTGTAGACAGTCCCGGGAGTCATTTTTTTGCACATTCCAGGAGCCAAACCAAAATACGTTCATGAACCGAGTCCAAAAAACCGAAACGTGAAAATCGGATGATCGGACCTGATGTACATTTCTCTTTCTATAGATTGTACACACAATACACACATCTTTAGATAATCTGGCCATGGCAGGTTAAAAAAAAAGTAACCCTGAATCATACTAGATTAGCGTAAATGCATGTTAATGCGTTCAAAACAAGAAAAAATTGTTTCCGGGTATTAATCTCTTGAATCACGGCGCTGAATATTGACGCAAAAATATTTCGGGCATCGCGCGCCCTTCCCGCGTCACGTGTAGGCATCTCGCATCTCTGATTGGTTGTTGCGTCTTAAGATGACTGAGCCGACGCGCGTTTAAACAATTTTTCTTTGTTCGATTTATCACACTTCACAGAGAATTGTCGCCAATGGCTACTTCTTTTTGTTGCAATATATAATACTTCACGGAGAATTGTCGCCTATGGCTTCTTGTTTTTATTTTTTTCGCCCGCCCGCTCCATTATTTTTTTAGAAAAATCCATTAACCAAGAAATTAAATTGGTGTGGCCTTATCTATTGTAGGTTATGAACCCTCATACACAGACCTAGTGACTATACCAGCTATACAATAAAACAGCCAAGGCCTTGGTGCATAAGGGAAACATTGAAATATCCCAACTTGCTGGGAGAGGGGTATATCCTAAATCCTGTTACAGAAACAGCAAGGATATTCATGCCTTTGTCCCACTTTGCATGAAGGGGACCAAACAACAGCGATCTGTTGTATATTACGTGTACATACATTGACGATTACTATCAGCTACCAGCAAATATAGCTAACATTACATGTAAACAATGCAAGTACGTACCTACACATGCACACAACACATAAAATGTAATCAAAACACAATTGCAGTGTTTGATGTGGCCACAAGTGCAAATGTTGCACCATAACTGTGGCGTAGAAAGAGCTTCAAACATACAATACCAGCACACTACGTACATGTATACCCTCATGTATAACCAAGGAGGTTCCTACCCTGTATCCTGTCCTGTTGTTCTTCCACATTGTAATGCTGGATCAGAGGTATCAATAACATTGGACAACTGCCCAACAGGATTCGTTACTCAAACAAATATTTTCCAAATGCCCAAAACAAGGTTTTGCCAGGTTAATGAATGTGTGCCTTTTCCCCGTGCACGATGGCTGAACTGTTCTCCAGTAGAGACCTGTTCCACCACATGCGTACAGCCTGTCAGCCTGCCCCAGTAATGACCTATCTGAACCGGCAGGACGACTCCCTGCACATGAATATGTTCATGAGCAGAATCTATATCTAATGGTCCTTGAACTTTGACCACCAGGCAAGGTCACAGGTTCTACATCACATGTGTTGGGTTCAACATTGGGATGTTGTGTATCCTGTTC